CTCCTTCGTCACTGTCTCTAGTCTCACCACCCCGACCACCCATCTCTACGGACACTCGCCATATCCGGCCTAGACCCGTGTCAGCTACGGCCCATAAACGGTTCACCCAGCTATAGTACCTGCACCTATACAGCCGCATCATTTCCTCGAACGCGTTTACTTCCGCGCCTGCTCTGTTTCGCGTCTCCCCACAGCAACAAGACTGGGGGCTTTTTGTATCTCATCCTAACAGTTCCACTTACATTGCCGCATCCTCCTCGCTTCCCCCAAGAGGACGACCGCCAATCGACAACCATTTCTTTTTCCGGGCAAGCTGGTGCTATATTATCATCCTACTTGCTGCCGTCTTGATATCTACCCTGCTGCAAGATCCTGCAACCCCTTTGTCGACCATTCCTCCGAAGCCTTCCGAGGCCGCTTGCCCGTACCTCGACAGTACTTGCAAGTCCTTCCGGACCAAGGCCTACTTCTTCTATCAGTCATGTTACAGTCTCGAAAATCCTACCTTGCGCTTGTCGGTGTTGTTGCCTGGTCAAGTACAACAGTGGACGCAGTCTTATCCATATTAGAGGCGGCGTCCTTATCAACTACTCACTCTTCCTTGGCCAGCATCGCTGCCATGGCAGGCACACTCGATCTTGTCTCCCTTTGCTGCATTGGTTTCTATACTCTCCATAATGTCGGGAACGTACGCGGCGCACTGGAGCGATCAGGGAAAGCAAGCAAGGCTCTCATAGCCATCAGCATTCTACTATCAAGCGTGGCATTGACCCTCTCACTTGCATTGATCATCGTGATCAAGTCGAGATGGGACGAGATCACTGCTGCCTCTCCGGTTGCACCCATCTCAAACTGGAGCAACCATGTCTCCGCACAAATAGCGCTATGGATCATCTCATGCGCCAGCCAAGTCGTTCTGTACACTTCCCCTCTGTGGAATCGTAAGGCTCCAAAAGTTCAAACTGTCGTTACGTCCGGCCCCCGAGACTCCGTCATAAGTGAGCTGCGAGCACACCGCCCTAGCGACTTGTTCTTGGGCAAAGCCGTCGAGCCATCATCGCCATTGGCTGCTCACCATCGTCCGGAGGCTATGGGGTCACTGCCCTCGCCTACCTTGTCTATTCAGTCGTCAAAGTCACTTAAATCATTCAGAGAATCGCTTCGTCATGTAGTGCGACCCGTTACATCACGCACTACTTTGATCAGCCAGCGATCATTTAGCCGAGATGCAGCCCCTAGTATTTACTCAAATCGGCAATCCTCGGATACTATCTCACACTCGGACGGATTCGATAGCTGGGATACAAGTGGCGTAATCATTCCAACACGCGACGTTGTCCTGCAGCAAACGATGCCATACAAGGGCACGACGTTGGAGCCAATTCCTGGAAGCCGACCAAACTCACTTGCTCGGGCCCTGGACGGATCTTTTCTTTCCGAGCTTCCGGAGGAAGATGACGAAGAATTGTACCCGCCTCCCAGGATGATGCCAGACGTGTCTCGACCACCTAGCCCTGCCGTCAGTGAAGCCCATATCCATCCGCTATTTAGGTCGGAGAGTCCATCAGGCCTGCCACCTCCAGCCGCTACGCCAGGCACTAGCATCATGGCTAGCCCGTATTCGAACCAGGCGATTGCATGCCCTCCGCGATCATTCAACCGGATGAGATCGAGTAGCCAACTGAGCCAGACGAACACAATTAATAGCCTCCACCATACCAGGAGCTTTACCCGCGATCGTCCAGGAAGTGTAGGGTCCAAGTCAAGGAGCCCTTCACCTCCAAGCCGCGCAATTACACCTCCGATTCCTGATTTTGTGTTGAACACCTCTCCTCGAACTAGCATCAACGGTTCTCGGAGAGTCAATCTGCAATATTCTCCCGACCGATAAAGAGCTGCATCTAGTCACGAGTCGATACTACGGTTGTTGAGATGATGCAGTACTTGGTCAAAAATTTCACGTTTTCTATGCTTGTATGATACGATTCCCCCAATCCCCTGTATTCATTTCTTCAATGCTTTCTCTGTTTTGCGAGCTCTCGCCCAAGGGCTTGATCGAGCTTTCAGCGTTTCCTCAGTTTATCCCTTATTAGGGCTCCAGCATACGGACTGTCGAGCAGACCCAAGTAAAGATTTTTTTTATCATAGTACCTATTTTTATTAGTCATGGCGGGAACACTGGAAGACGACCAAGACAAAAGCTATAGAGGCTCTTTTATGCCTAGTGTTTCAAGAATTGAAATCTGGACACTACCAATACAAAATACATAATACCTATTCAGTACAAAGATCTACTATCTATAAACAACTCTTTAGTGTCTACAGTGATCGCTTCTTGTTACACGAGACCCTCCACACCGTACTTTTCAGATTCAGCAAGCGTGCCTTGTCCTTGGGTATTGGACCCATGGGAGATCTAGACTTGCTGCAATACCACGAGTCAGTATCATATCCGTTTCGCGCTCATCCTTTTTTTGAAAGAAAGAGAAACTAAGCTGTTAAACTAGGCGATCCTATCCATAGTAAACAGTCGATCTCCGCATTTGGGGGATAAGGGGTGTACAGTCAACTCCACGTGGCTACCTTTGTTGGTAGCACGTTTCAATCAAAACAATGGTGTGTGTACATGTTGAACTGGAATGCCCGAATGCGGATGTGAACATGGTTGCAGCTGTCGCACGTAAGGAACGTGGCAGGGTGGATCTTTTTTTTGTGGCATCTTGACAGGAAAGGAAGAGAAAACTACAAAAACAGGGTCCTCGTATTCGCAATAAATCTTAACTTTGTTTGTGCTGTAAAGGCAAAAAAAACAAGAAGGCTATTTATACGGATATACGGGTACTCTTGCACATATGGCGATGCGATTTCATGGTACGTAGGGCTGTTTTGATACGCTCCCGCAGAGTGTTGCTTTTTCTTCTTTGACAAGCATTGTGCTTTTTGCTCGTCTTGCGCCTTCCCGCCCTCCACACCCGCGCTGAAAGGATAAGAATAACAGCACGGAAAAGAAACAAAGTTTGTGACGCTATACTGTTAACAAAGAGGATTGGCCGGTTAGCGTTCCCACGGTCAGTCTTGAAGAACAAAGGTTGTCAGTCTTGAAACGCCGCCTCTTCCCGAAAAAAAACCTGCTTTCATAATAGACGTATGCGTGTCGTACACTCCCGCTTCTGCCACTTGCAAGAAAGGCATGTTTATATATGTACGTGTGTGAAGGAAAGAACCACGAAATGCTGTTCCAAAAAGTGAGGAGATGCATGTGGTTCATCCCTAAACGGGTAAATAGCAACAAAGCAAAAAAGGTTCAAACAAAGAAAAGGAATACCTGACTCTTTGCCGAACAAAAAAGCGTACATTCTACTTACTCGATGAACCCTTCATCACGAGACCCTACTGCACACGAGTAGCTAACGGGCGAGAGAAAAGGATTGTGTTCACACCCCCACAAAAACCTCCCATAAAAAGCCCCCATCCTCTTGTCAATAAACCTTCGTATTACTATCATCAACCCACCTTCTCCTCTCCCCGCCATTCTCAAATTACCCTATTCTGAGAAACTTCGTTTCAGACACAGCGGGAGAGAAAGGAAGAAAAAATTCCACGCAATCATATTACAGCACCGTTTGCCCATTGCCATGCAGCGAAGACGAACAAGTGGCGTGCATGTTGATGGTGGTGACGATTCGGGAGGATCGTCCCACCCTAGGTTAGCCGGGTGCGCGCGCGCGGCTAATGACGTGCGACGTGAAACCTGTATGAAGCAACTAAGGAAAGCTTCCAGAAGCACTGGGCAACACACGCATTTTTTTTAATTTGTTATTTGGCTGCTGTTGTGGCAGAGACTATGGGTAGCAAGTATATATATATATACATAGATACGGATGTGTGTGACGTGACAACTTCAAGGGTCCAGCAGGTTGTTTACTCGGGTCGTTTTTTTGGGTAAGGGGCGAAAGATTGCAATGCATGTTAATTTGGGACTTTGCCGTTCTTGGGGGGGAGAGCAAGAATCGGGAGGCTCGCGCTGGTGAATGAAAACAGTTGCATCTGGGGGGGAGTAGAGTGTATAGTGTCTAGCATCTACTTTTCAAGTATATACAACGATGCGTTACTATATAGTGGTGATGACAAGTTGGTTGTATGTTGCCAAAGTTGGCCACAGTTGTTGGCTGCGGGCGGCTACGCAAAAGGGAAAGGCGCGCTGTCATTCGTGGGATGTATTCTCAAAGTAGTTTGGCGCGAGCAAGCCAGACCAAGGATCTCACAAGAGCTTCATCTTCATGCGCCGAAATCAACACCGTTGCTGCCACTCCTTCGACAAGGCTTCTGGAACCTGTTGTACAAGCTGCTGCTGCTGCTTCTTCCGTCTTTTGCTTTGCCCCCGGTGTTTACGTATCTTCTGTTCGTCTGGGTGCTTCGACTGCAACTCGGCCACACGGAGCATTTCCTTTTGCAAGGTAGTCTGCTACTCTTGCTGTCCATCTTTGCTCTTCTCGACGAGAAAATCACGTTTGAGGGTGGACGAGAGGTTGGTATCCTGTTCTGTTGCTGCTCCATGTATTTCCGGTCTAGTGACTCGGGTTTCGCATTCCGTTGTTGAGCAAGTTACGGTGGTACCTGAAGGCAGACTGGTACACGGTAAGTACCTCATCTTTCACCACGTAGCATTTGTAAATCGACCACACAGTCAGTCGTCTTTCCTAATACTTCTATGCGAAGCATACAACGAGCAGTGGCGATATGTTCGATCTTTCCCTCCTGGTACTACTATCACGACTATGCTGACACGTCTTGCTTACAGACCCGACGATCGCCGTGTCACACGTGCAAAGCAGCAACAACACCAGCCACGGAGTATATCATAGGATTTCGACTGTAAGTATTGATCTCAATGTTCCGAGGCAAGCCGTTGGCATATGCTGCTTCTCCAGCAACAAGGCCATGACAAGCTAATGACTGGATCATCAAAGGTGTCAGCCCCCAAGTGCTCGCCAACAGCAATGCCGCCACGGCGAAAGTCGCAGACGGGTGGAGCCATGTCTGCAGCATCTTTGAAAGGCCCAGGTACGTCCGAATTGCCATTTCCAACGGCGTCCCCATGTTCCCCATAGGGTTATGCTAACCTTGGCATAGCCGCTAGCGCATTGTCTAATAAGCGAAGTAGTCTTCAGGGTTCGAAGACATCTCGCCTTGCTCCTTCAGTACCATTCCAAATGACAACGCGTCGCGGTGCAAAAGGCACATCTAACCACACAAGCTCCGCGGGCCCATCTAGCGCGAGCTCTGGCAGCCGTCGCAATTCTCTGGATGAGAACGCGCAAAACGAGGATGCGACTGGCGACCATGAGGATGCGCGACCAGCCAAGCGCAGCCGAACATCGTCCGATTCTGGTTCGCCGCAAAGATCTAATGGCTCACTCGACAACAACAGCAACACGCCCATGAATGGCACACAAACCCCAGAGCTGCAGAAACCCGCCTCTGGCGCGACTTCGACGGCCCCTAAAACGGCTGGCAAAAAGAGGCGCGCATCCGACGGCTCCACTCACTCGAGCAAAACACGCCCAAACAGTGTTCTGACCCGGGCCCAAAGCGATGTTTCTGAGCAGCAACCGCGCAAAAAGCGCAAGACAAAAGAAACGGCTGCAGACACAGCCGCCGACCAGCCCCCTGAGTTGACTGATGCTAGCACTGCCCCCAATTCGCCAGAGCATATGCCCGATGTTGATGGCAGTCAAAGCCTGCACAACATCCTGCCAACCAGTGGCGATGCCCCTGCAAAGTCCAGCAGGCGCTTGCCTGGTCGCCGGCGCCAACCGCATCCGGACATCAATGTGGAGACTGATTTACGGCGACAGCTCAACCTGAAGATGAGCTATCGCAGTCTTGCAAAAGTCCAGAAACTTTTGCTCGAAGAGCTGGCCACCCGCACTACTAAGAATTTGGAAGACGATCCCGACTTTCATAAAAAATGTCCCGAGTACAAGGCCGTCATGGCCCAACTTGACCAGCGCCGCGACGCGCGCCTGGATCAGGTCAATGCCATGCGCACGTATCGACTCGAGCAAATGGAGCGAGTGCGTATTGCTGAAGAGCATATTCAAAGAGAGCAGTACATCAATCGATTCCGGGAATTGCAAGACGACTTTGTGCTACAAATCTACTTCCGCGCAAAGCAGCTGGAGCGGGAGATGAAGGGCCAAGATGCTAACGTGACTGATGATGAGGACAATGTTCTCCCGCCTACGTATAGCGATGAGCCGCATCATGCAGAAGATGACCGCATTGGATCCAAATTTGCTTCACGCAGCAGAGCTTATGTTGAGGCAGATAGGGAGCTTGAGCACGAGTCGATCCGTAAACGGTTCAGCCATGCAAGAGCTACTTTTGTCGAAAAGGACGAAGAAGCCGACGACTCTATAGAAGATGTTGCCGGTGGATTTGCGAGGTTTGACGGTCCAGATCGCACGGAAGCTATTGCACACTACAACATCAACAGCCTAGCTGATGCCGCATACGAAGTCGAGAGAACACCGTCACCACAACCGGAAGAACCAAAGGCCGAGGTCATTCCAAACGAGCATGCTGCTCTACTCATGATGCTTGCAGACGTTTCTTCTAACCAGCCCCGGAATAGCACTGTACTAAAACCACCCCTTCATTACCCGCACCCACAACAGCAGCCACCTCCGCCATCAAGAGCTAAGACGCCCGTGATCAAACAGGAGTATATGAAAGAGAAGATGCCCGAGATGGCTCCATCGGCAGGCCCACTAGGTATACCATCCCATGCTGCACGTAGTACCCCTGCCGAAAGCACACAGCCAGCGGCAGATTTCAGCTATGATATTCGTCGCTCTGAACCATCTGAAAATACGCCTGCAAAAGAACCGGAGGTGCCAGCAAAGTCAACGCCGAGACTATCTACGCACAGGATCATGGACATATTGAACGATGACCGCGAAGTGCCTGTATCGAGAACACGAGAACAGCAGCCACCAGCTCAGGAAAAGACTACTTCTTCAAAGCACGAGCCATTGGCCCATCGCCGCACAACGTCTCGAAGCGATGCCCTGCGAGTAGATGCCATGGTGAACAAGGAAGAACCGCCTATCGACCAAGCGCTGATGGATGCGTTAAGCGGGCCAGCTCGACCACCGAGCAACCCACCTTCATCACCGCCTTTGAATGCTCAGCCATGGCCACGAGCAAGTGTTCCGCCAACCCGGGAGTCAGAAGAGTCGCTGCGTCGTCGGGATCCTCTGCAGAAGATTAGGGAACTTTTGGATAAGAAGGCCCGCGAGCGTGGTCGAGAACCGCCGGACCATTCGAGCTATGTTCGGCCTCCTGTATTTCCTAATCGACCAAACCCTCAGCCTCCAAGTGGGCAAGACCGAGGCGAGGTGGCAGCTTACGATCCAACACGACCATCTACGGGACTATACGATTCGCTACCTGGTGGTTCGTACTCATATGCATCTCGGCGAGAGTCGCACGAGCAGGCAACTCCGCACTGGGAGCATGATAGGCGGATGAGTGGGTCTCAACTAACTCAACATTCAGCAGCGTCTCCGTACCAAAGTCATGCCGCACACTCCCACTATGGTGAGCACAGCAGGTCAGGGCCAACTCCACCAACACACCAGAGTCCCTATGCTCCACCTCCTAACTCGTTACCACTGCCACCGAAACCACCCGGACCCCCGCCCGCCATCAACTACCGCTTTGCACACTATGACCCTGCCCCACCTCGACCATATCCACCACAATCGCCAAGTTACCCGCCTTCTTCTTCTCACCCGCCACAGAGTGCCGCTCAACCGCAATATCCGAACCCATACGGCAACGCACCATCCTATCAAGGTGGTTACATTCCACCTCCAGGATCCTTCCAAGCACCACCACCTCCCCCATCAAGCATGACCTCATACCAACCCCTCAAGATTCATCAATATGGAGGCCAGCCCATTCTCCCCGCCAACATGGCACCACCTCCACCCCAACACAACGGACCACCACCGCCCACCCTACCTTTTATCGGCCAAGGCGCACCTCCACCCCCACCAACTCACGCCTCATCCCAATCACAAGGCTCGCAACAAGCCTACTCCCCAACGCATCCCCACCCACCTCCTCTCCAATACGAACAGCAGCCGCGAGAAACTCAGCAACAAAATGGTACCGCCGCAGAGCGTTCGTCTGATTCGCAATCCAGACCCAGACGGCCCTATCGAAGTTACCACGCCCCCGGCACGCAGTTTAGAAGTTATCAGGGTCCAGGTGAGCAGAGGAGGAGAGGTGGATAAGAAAAAAGGGTGGGAACGTTGATAGTGCGTGTGTTGGGAGGGAAAAAAAGGTATACAAAATTAATTCTCTTGTTTATTGAATATCATGACGGTATGAAAGACGGGGTGGAGGGTTGGACTTGCATTTTTTTTCTCTTGATTTTTTTATATTTGTTGTTCAGCATACTTGAGTAATTTTTTTTCTTTGTTAGCTATCGTTCGTTTGACCGTGGGAAGGGGTTTTTTTTTCTCTTGCGAATCTTTATACTAGCATTCAGGTTCTCGGAGATTAAGTGAGGACTTGGTATTTATTTTACCACTATTATTAGTTACTACTATTGTTACTTATTACTTTTCTTACTTTTGGTCTAGGTAGTGGCGATGGCGGCAGAAGTAGCATTAAAATAGCGTTGGATTGGAAATAGTATATACGTTTGGTGTTTTCTTGAGTATGTTTGCGTATTTCGAGAGTGTGTGGTTGGGCTCACTTTTCGGTTTGACTTTTGTGGACTTCTCTGTGGAAAGGGACGAAGGGTTGTATAATTGAGATGTGCTCTGATTTTCTAAATCGTGGGTTACTAAAAGAGGTGTACCGCAAGCAACTCTCCATCTCCTTTCTGCGTATCTTTTAGGTTGCAAACTGGGGCTTAGAAAAGAGGGAATAACTATGAAGCCCCGATTCCATAACTGCTCCTACTCGTGGAGTAAACTAGTGTGAGGAAAGACTTCTCATTCATTCATTCATTCATTGATCTATCTATACATGATCCATACACCAACACACCAACACGCTACGCTATCATCTATGCTATGAAAATAATAATAGTGGGTAGCAACACCATCCGCAACCTGCAATCCGCACGAGCACTTCGCACAAATCACCTCTCCATCATACCTTCCTCCTCCTAACCCTCGGCGTAGGTGTCCACTCCCTCCCCTCCCTCGCCCCAAATCCCGCCGTCGCCGCAGCACTACCACTCTGCCTAGGCGTCGCGCCACCCACCCTCTCAAACAGCCTTTGTGCCGCAGGCGTAAGATCCGCTTTGCCCTTTCGACTGGGCGTCTGGCCTGCCATAGCCGCACCAGGCGTAGAAGAAGGACCTTTAAGTCTGGGAGTTTGAGAAGTGAAAATACCGAGACCTGATCCTATTGACGACGATGACGGCAATGATTTATTATTGTTGTTGGATTGAGAAGAAGAGCGGTTCGCATTGATTTTGTCCACCATTCTATGTAGCATCTTCTCGCGGGAAGAAGATTCGTTCATGGTGAAGGGTGTGGCTTTGGTACTGGTGTTCAGACCGTAGCGTTCGAGGAGGTCCGTGGGGGCGTCTGCTTCGTCGTCGTCGGAGGGTGGGTGCGCGTCGACAAAGGCGTAGCCGTTTACGCGGGGTGTTTCGCTGCCGGTGTAGCCTCCTTCGCTAGGGTTGAGGCGCGGGCGCCCGGCGATGGCGTCGCGGACGGCGGAGAGGGTGGGGCTTGAGGGTCTTTGGGGTTGTTCGGTGTCGGGGATAGGGAGGCGCGTGTTGTTGTATACGACTCGCTTTGGTGGCGCGAGGGACTTGCTTTCTGCGACTTGAACGCGCGTGGGTGCCCATTGTTCTACGCTTTCCGGGCCAAACATTAGACTGTTGATGGCCGTATGTCTGTGTCCAGTTGGTGCCGCTGGTCGCTCGTCGAGGTCTTGGCTGGGTCGTGTGCTGAGGACTAGTTCTTTGCCCTTTGATTCTGCGGCTCTTGCTTCTATGACTTTCTGTTGGGCTATACGCTGTTTACTTGCGTACGTGTTGCCCTGTCGTAACCACACGTTCTTCTCGAATCTGGCCTTGTTTTGCTTGTCGACAATCTGACTGAAGCTCTCCTGGTCTTCGCTTGTGTATTTTGCTTGGAAAGCCCCCAGGCTCATATCCAAATCCACATGATCTAAATTGCCCAGGTCTTGGTCAACTTCTTCTGTTTTACTCTCTGCCACAGTAACGGGTGTATCTGCACCCCATACACTTGGTGTCTTATCCCCAGATCCACCCGCCTTCTCGAACCTTGTCCTTGCTGCCGTCTTCCGCTGCCCGCTCGGCACAGGCGTCATGACTTGTGTAAGCCTTTTGCCCGCCTCTCGTATCCATGCCCGGTTCTTGCTCTCGACGGCGTTAAGGTACTCGCGTTGTGCATCTGCTTCTGCCAATCCGGGGAAGAAGTCACGGCGGATGATGTGCGAGATTGCAGAAACATATGTATCTTCGTCGAGGACCACAGAAGGACGCTTGATACGCTTCGGCGCAGGAGGAGGCGGCATGAGGGCATCGGACGCGTTGCGCTTTGTGAGCGCTGTAGAGTTGGAGGCGGACATGGCGCGAATGTGGCCAAATTGGAGGTTGCTGAACGCAACTTGGAGGACTGTAGCTGAGGCTTTGTAAGGCCTAGGATACAAAGCGTTGAGGGTTGATCGTGAAAGCGTCTGAAGATTTCGACATGGGTACTGTGTTTGTGTAGATGGATGAGTTTGGCCGGTCGCAAAGTGACGTTCTTGGACGATTATATCTTGGCGCTGGCAGATGGCTCTACCGCCTTCAGCCCTATTGCGATTCAGATCGCAGGTGAAAGTAACTATATCTATCTAGCTAATCACAAATCATATGGATCAATTGACGAATGTTTCGAGGACTTTCTGTGCACGGCATGTATCGATTCTGATTCCAAAGGAACTTTGCTTTTAAAACGCCCTATCTCCTGTCTCGATCCTATACAGTATCTACTGTACAAAGGTATCGTCCAGACACTACCCTATCCTAGCATGGCAATCGTTGCTCAAATATCTCTCGGCGCCAGTATTGCCGCTGTTGCCTTTTTTTTTGCAAATGCAATAATGCTCTCTATCCTTGGCGATTTTTTGTACACTTCGGGTGCTTTTATCCAGTACCTCAGTGCTCGAGACGTTGCTAGGCGCCTATCAATGGATTACTGAAATGATACATAGTGAATATACACTTGTTTGTATCCCAAAGTGCTCCTTTAGTAAAAAGACTCGACCATGGCGTCCTTGTGCGTAGTGTTGATGTTGGCAGGGCCATTGCCCTCGCCGAGCCTGAAAACGGATTCGACGACTGAAAGCTCAGTAGCGGTAGTGTCGAGACCTGCGCATCATGTTAGCCTATTCCATTCACTCTTTCTGTAACATCTGCACTCACCAGTAACGGCCATCCAGTCGTTGACGACCATTCCAGCACCGACAACGGCGCTACCGCGGTTCACACTGCCTGCGACAAGCGGAACCTGGAGCAAACTTGACAGCTCATCCTGGTCTTGAATACTGGTCTTGGGGTGGACAATACCACCCTGGTTGCTCAGCGCCATGTAGCTTCCGGTGAGCACGTTGTCAGCAATGGTTTGCCTGAAAACCTCAACGCCTAGCACATCCGCTATTATCTCTTCCGTCTCACGCTCAATGTCCGGGTGGACGAGGGCGACGTGGTCGTTGCAACATATTACGTTGCCGAGGGCGGACAAGCGCTCTTCTATCCTTTGAATTTTGACTTCATCGGGTATGGAATTTCGCAGGTGCTGGAGTTCTTGGTCGGTCGTGGTGGTGGGGACAAGGAGGCCTTTCTTGTTGCTATACTAATGTTAGTCGCAGAGCTCCCTGTATTTTGCAACATGCTTCAAAAAGCTAACCCACGTACCCAGCTGTCAATCTGCCGACTATTCTGGTTCCGGCGATGGTGGCATGGCAAATGGGAATGACATCCTGAAGTTCGGCTTCGAAGACACTGTTTTGCCACCGTCAGTATAGCTGCTTTTTTTTTTTGCGGAAATTTTTGTCGCAATAAGTGCGCACCTGTAAAAGTTCTCGCTCGCGCCGACTGCGACAATCGCATATGCGTTTGTGAGGGTAGAAAAGACACCAACTTCGTTGGAGTTTTCAAATTGGGCGCGGACAGCCATGATTGCTAGTTTCTCGGTGTAGGGTGTTCGCAAAGGTTGTAGAGGTGAAGGTTTGTGGTTGGAGAATAAGGCAAGGAGTAGAAGCGCGCAGCTATCGAGCTAATTGTGTTGTTCTGCAGAGACTGTGAAGAGGCGTAACTATTTTGTAAAGAGCGACATCATTTAGCCCCGCTACTTGATTAGGACTAGTGTGGCGGGCACTATTTCGACTCATCCTGAGTGAACCTTGCGAGGGTCTGGTTGCCCTGTCTCGGCGTATCCAGATGTCCATCTTGGGCAAAGTATGGCTGTGATTTGTAAAGAGTCATCGACTGAGCCACCGCCACGGATTCAAGGCGAAGAGCAGCCTCGTCACGGGACATGATGTAACCATTCGGCAGACTCTTAGAAGTCACGCTCAGGCCCTCGGCACATGGCAAAAGCGAGTCAAGGTCCCGACAAGGCGTGCGCCGGTGCAACGGGTGTCATTTTCTGAACAGCGCGGACATTCTAGAGCCTCCCCTGGGCGACTGTCAACTTCATTTCCATCAAGGTCTTCCCGCGACGCTACTCTTCTCGCCAATGCTGCCTCCTGGCTTCAACCTGGCATCCATCGCCTTGGCATGATTCACGCAGGTAAACAATCACTAGCTGCCGCACCTTGATGTCACTGATCGCGATTGACATGTCGTCGATCAATTCGACACGAACTGACGTTGTGCACTTCTTCAAGCTCGCACCACTGCATTAATATTTGATTAGGGGACCAACGCACGGATAAGGCCCTACAACAGATTTACAGCCACCAGAAATGAGCATCCCCGTCTCACATCAATTAACCCTTCCAAAAAGGATACACAGGTAGCAGGTAAAAAGCAATGGATACGGTGACAGGTAGAGAATACAAGAGTGATGGTATTTTGCCATGGCAGCAGTGCCAGACAGATGATAATACAAATGGGTAATACGCTCACGGAGAGCACAAACAAGCCGAAAACAGGAGCAACACCCGCTAAACCGCTAGAATGCCGCGTACGATACGCTTCCCAAACTGAAGAAGGTAGAACAGATACAACAAAATAAGAAAACAGCACCAGACACTGTCCAGATACCAGACAGCCAGCTCGAGGCGACACCAAAGGAAATGTCGAGCAGAGCGTTTTGTGTCGAGTGACGCGACCAAGAAAAAACATTAACGTGTGTGATGGCATGATATGTTCGTAAAGCGGTTCGTTATGTAGAAGGATATCCCGTGCAACGGCACATGTACATGACCAACAGGGCCGCTGGTAGCGGCCCATAGATCAAGGGCTTTTGTTGCCGACAGATTGTTGGCGAAAATACATGGTGGAAATGCTCAAGTGGGAGTCACTCAAGACATGCGTGATGCGAGAATGGCCAACGCAATGATGACACCAATCAGGAGCGTGCCGACTCCAGACATGACGCGATTCAGGTTACGCCACCAGGTCGCTTTTTGGAAGGCTTTGTCGTCCACCGGGCCCACGGACTGGGCAAACTGCTGTTCCAAATCGGCCTGGCTGGAAGTAGAAGCAGTAGCCATGTGGTTTGGGTTAAGAGGCAGGGGGAGGAACGAGGCAATAATCCATGCTATTTTTCTAATTAGTACATTTGTTCACTGCCATTAGAGTTGAACCGCATGGGAGACTTACACAGAGGGCAGATAAATCCCAAACAGAAGAGCAGGATTTGTCGGTTCTGGCGTCCAAGAAGCGTAACATGAACATCGGCGTCGAGAGATGGTGCGTTCCACGCACTGTATCGCGTATCTCCTCGGCGATCGGTGCGGAGATGTGGTGTTGAGTATTGCCTGATCTGGTACATACGGGCACCAGCTGGGTTGCTTGCACCATCAATGGATTGAGCGTCGTCGGCAAGGGAGACGGTGTCAGCGAACGAAGCAGCTCGGTGCCGTGGACGGTTTCGTGGGCGGTAAATGTTGGGCGGGTAATTGCTCTCAGAGGGGGTGTGTGACCGTCCACTCTGTGACATTTCCTGCACTACACTTTCCGCATACTCTGATTCCGGGGCACCTCCCGAGATCCGCTCGCCTTTCTGGTAGTAGGCTCTTGCCCATGCAGGAATGTTGTTGGCGAGAAAAATGGACACGCTGGACTGAGCGGAAACTGGTCGAGACGTCTCGTCCATGGACATGCTCTCGACACTGTTGGCCTTGCGCAGATAGCCCGAGTTCTTCACGCGCAACGGAACCGATGAAGGCAATGGCGAGATTGTGTCGAGGTGTTCGCTGTTGTTGTCATCGAGAGAGCTCTTCGAGGCTGGTGAGAAGAGAGGTTGGGGCACCGCCGAGTACTCAAAGTGTGCTTCAGATGATGCATTGTCTAGAGACGATTGCGCGCTCGAGACCGTCTGTCCTCTCCGTCGTGGAATGTTTGTCCGGCCACTGGCGCTATAGCTCTCCTGTGAATGCGACCTGGCCCCAAATGATCGCGAGCCTCGGGCGATTGAGCGCGAGTCGCGCTCGGATGCCGAGGGGATAGTCGATAGTTGGGAACTCCATTGGTGTAGCGACGAGCGGTCCTGCATCCGGGACACGAGGCTGGCTTGGTTCTGGGACTCAGCCCGCAGTGTGCTGGACGAGGGCACGCGTACAATGGGATAGTTGATTCGAACACCGCTCGCAAAAGAGACCGTGCTGGCTTCATGAGAAACTGGTGATGTAGTTGGCTCGATGCTAGTGGACAAAATATCAGAAAACGTTATCGAATCTGTGCTTTGTTGAGGCTTCAATACATGTTGTCGATTGTCAGTGTCACTAGTGAGTGCAGAACGCCCTGCTTGGGATTCGGGCGACGGGGTTGGTTCATCGCCTTGTGGTAGAAGGGGCCCGATACTGAGACGCGACGTGTTTCCACCATGGCCAGAAGAAGATGGGTGGGCGGCGAGGATGGTTGAGGCAAAGGATGCAGCAGAGGCCTTTGGGGTCAATGCACGGTTGCGACTCTCGAACGAATCACCACCAGACGAGGAGGGAGGAACAGCGCGGATGGTTGGCCTCTGGCTGCGCGGCTCCTCTTGAAGTACGTCGAGGGTGTCGCCATCGTCAAACTCTGGTGGGGGTGACGACGGGGCAGTGCTGTCCTGCGAGAATCTTACAGATGAAGGGGTAAAGGCAGAGGATATGAAAGTATCTTCCTCTGACGTGCTAGTTGCGGCTGAGTGCCTGACACCTTTTTTCCGGGGCACGATTGGCTGTGGTGTCTGAACTTGGCTGGCCTCGAACTTTGCAACGACACTGGCTACCTGGCTGTTAGATGAAACGCGAGACCCTGGCCTCTCGGGTCTCTCGAACCCATAACCCGGCGCATGACGGGGTGGAGATAGAATCTGCGAAGGTTCGCTGGGGACTGGGTACTTTTGATAGATGTCATCGGGAGTGTCCTGCACTAGGCGGATTGTGGGACTCGAGTGCTGATTGGTCTGCGAATTTGAGCGTTCGTGAAGCGGTCTCCGGACGGGGGAGGAATCCTTTGATGGTGATTTCGGGGGCGAGAACCGGGGGCCTTGTGGAAGAGTTAATGCGGTTGGCGTTTTGGCGCGTTGGTTTGATGAGGACATGCTGCTGCGCAGGCAGCCGTCGCGGTGGTGGTGGTGGTGGTGTTGATGTTCTTCTTAATGTTGTTTTTGTTGTTGGGGGTGCTGGTGTTGGTGCAGGCGCGGGTGCTGACTGGGTGGGTCGGATGTCCAAGGCTGTGGGATGCAGGCTTGCGAAAAAGTCGAAACGGGGCATTAAGGATAAAAAGGCGCAGGGTGTAAAAGATTGTATGTGAAGGGGTGCAAAAGAGCGACGGAAAAGCTATAACATGTCAAACAACGAAAAGAGTGGCGGCCCGTAGGCGATTAAAGAGAGTGGGCGGTTGGAGGAGAGGGAGAGGGAGAGGGAGAGAGGGTGAGGGTGAGGAAAGCGAGCGACGGTGGGCGGAGAAGAGGAAGCGGAACAGAAGCAAGGGAAGGACGGACGTTGACAGGTTGGCAGCAGCTCGGCCTAAAGAGGGTTCGTGGCTGGATATGCAGATGCAGGTTCGCGGGCTGCAGTGGGATCCAGTTGGCAGCAGCTCCGCCCAGTAGCCGGTGCAGGCGGTCAGGCTCAGGCACAGGCACAGGCACAAGTACTTAACGCGTGCACAAACAGCAGCAGTAGCAGTAGCGGCAGAGCAACACACGGCCCAGCACCAGCCCGTCGACGGTTTGGCCCTGAGCGTCAACAGGCGCAATGCTGTCGTTGCGCGTGCAAGCACTGTATGCACTGGCGACGATGCGACGTGAGGCTAGACGCGCAGTCTGCTGGCCGCCCCGATGTTCTCCAGGAACCCTCGTCCGGGCAGGCTGGCAGACTCTCCACGTACAAGGCAGGCAAAGGCGCAACGCGAGTCGGCGGGTGAAATGATTGTAATTACAGCCGACGCAGCCAGTGACGACGGACGGGAGGGCGCTGCAGGGGGAGGGACGCGCCGGGGGTTTCAAGCGGATGGATCCAATCCAGAGTGGGAGAGGCAGCCAGTCGTGCCAGTCGTGCCAGTCGTGCCAGTCCAAGTCGAGTCGGGCCGGCCGGTGTGGAAGTGGAGTCGAGGCGAGGATTAGGTGATTATCGATAAACGAACAATGGCTGCGAGAACAACGAACCGGTTCAACCGCTCTCGCGATATTGCGACAACGCGGGGGGACGATTACCAGGCGATATAAGTACAACTTCCACACACGACACCGACCTGTTCGCAGGGGGCGATAGCGTGTTTGACCGTTGGCGCTGTGCTGCTGTTCAGCGCCTTCTTTTTCGTCGCAGCCCTCTCCAGTGTGCCATGCCACCACCACCCACACGCTGGCGCGAGGGTTTCAGCGCCCTCCAGGCCGTCTATCAACGACACGTCAAGGGCGGTAAGTAGCGATCCATTGGCCTGTGAGCCTCCCTTTGCCTTTGCCATGCACTTTTCTTGACGCCTGCCCCGGCCCCCGTCCGCTTGTCTTTCGTCTCCAGCTCTGCAAACGTGTCGAAACATGGCCCTCGCCTCTAACCCGTCGTCAGTCTCCCAGCCGCCCGTCCTCTCCGCCAATGCTGCAGCGCTTCTGTCGGTATGTTTCATCCTCGCGCACCCACCACCACTGCCGCCTGCATACGCTGCATACTGCTCCCGCACTAAAAATATACCACTGACGCGTGTGTTTCCAGGCTGCCTATGTCTTCATCTACGTAATCCCCTTCTACCTCTCCTCCGCCACCAGACCTTCGGCTTCCCTCTCGCGCGATGCTCCCTCGTCCATCCGCGCCAGAGTCCGCGCCGTCACCTTTTCCACACTCCTGTGCACCCTCATCACCGTAGCCCTGCTCCACCGCCTTGATGTCGCCATCTCGCAGATCCCCGCCCTCCTCGGCTTGTGGCCTGTGTCGCCCATGGACACCATCCGCACCATGCTCTTAGTCGTCATTCTCTTTGCAGGTCCTCTGTTCGAGAATGGTATAGTCGACGGTGATTGGCGAGACTGGATACAGCTGAATGGCCTGCACCAGTCATTGAGCAGCTGGATCGGGTACAGGAACTTTGTAGTTGTACGTCCCCACAAGAGTACCGTAGATCTCCCTTCAGCCCGCCTAACATCAACAGGGACCCGTCAGCGAAGAGCTAGTTTGGCGTTCCCTTATCGTGCCCCTCCACGTCCTAGCCCGCTTCTCCGGCAAGCAGATCGTCTTCCTGACCCCACTCTACTTTGGCATTGCCCATGTCCACCACCTGTACGAGTTCCGCATCACCCACGCCCAAGTCCCACTCGCCTTGGCAATTGCCCGCTCCCTCTTCCAGTTCACCTACACCTCGCTCTTCGGCTTTTTCGCCGCCTTTGTCTTTGTGCGCACCGGCAATGTTTACTCGTGTGTCTTGGTCCACGCCTTTTGCAATTGGATGGGACTGCCGCGCTTCTGGGGTCGTGTTGGTGTCGAGGCTGGTGTGCCCATCGGTCCTCCAGACGTCGCCAAAAAGGACGATGGTGATTCAAGGACCACACCTGCGTATCAGGGAAAGGGTATCGCATGGACTGTAGCATACTACCTCATCTTGGTAGCTGGAGCCGTGGGCTTCTACTACCAGTTATTCCCGCTGACCGAGAGCAGCCACGCTCTGCCTGTGACACTGACCAGGACGTAATGGTTTCATATTGCTTCTCCAGAGAACCGTCACCTGCGTCGCGCAATGGCCCACCAATTGTCCTTTTCGTATCCGGACTCGAGCACAACTCCGCCCGCCTGCTCAATATCGCTTTCAAGCTCGCCTTTACGATATAAATGATAATACCTCAGAAACGTCTTGTCTCCTTCGGCCGTCTTCTCCTTCTCTTCGCTCCCGTTCTCTTGCGTCACATTGTCCTTGTTCTTTTTCCGCTTTGCTTCCTTCTCCTTCTTCTGCTTCAGCACCCATGGCACCATGACATCCTGCTCGTGGCCTTCATCCCAACCGCGCCGGCTATCCTTCTGCTCAAGTGCCCATACGTAGATGAGTGCCCTTCCTCCGGTTGTGCTTATATCAGCAGTTCCATTTCCATGGCTAGATTCCTCGTGACCTGACGTTGACTGCGGTTGCAGGAGGTCCAAAACACTCTTGACGGCCTCTACTCTCCGCTCTGGCGTAGACAAGTGATGCACAACGGCAATGGATATGGCAAAGTCGAAAATGCCCTCGGGATGCGGGAGAGCAAGGTTATCCGCCACGACTACATCGTGCGGTTCGTGCCGTCTTGCAATCTTGACCAAATTCGTAGATCTAGAGCAGTTGGTATGAGGTTCAGAACAGTGCAGAACAAAAACAAGCCAGGCTGTATCCCTTTTTCAACAGATTCAACTCGAAAACTTAAAAAGCAAAGACCCCAAACAAACAACCAAACAGATGACGTACATAGCAACTGGAAGACATGTTCTTTTTTTCGGACAGAATAGGAAGGACGGAAAGAAAGAAAGAAGAAGAAACTTACCGATCACTCCCCACAATCCACACTTTATCATTGACACCAAGATATTTGCCATTACCACACCCTACATCCGCCCCAATCGCCCCATCACGCTGTTCTCGTAGAAATCGATCTACAATCGGCCAGGGCTGTGTAGAGTCGTATTAGTTTAAAAAACTTGGTACGGGCAACATATCCATGAAATTACTCAATCAATAATTGAAAAGTCTAGTTCTTTTTTTTAAAAAAAAAACTAGGGAGAGAGGGTAGGAGTGTTGAACGGATACAATTATCGAAATTTTTGCTTTTTTTTAACTACCACGTGTGGGAAGAAGGTAGATGGGATGAACGAAGAGAGATGAGAAAGACAAGGGGGAGAGGGAAGGAGTAAAACGGACCTTATACCGTGTCGAAGAAAAGTGCTCGGCGATTTCTTCGTAGACGGCGTGGACGTGGGTTGCTTCGTAGGATTGGGGGGGTTCGTGCAAGGACGTCATGTGTGCTGGTGTACAAGTAACACTCAAGTATCGAAGAAGATAAAGAAGAAGAAAGGGGAGAGGAGAGTGTAAAGGTGTTGGGGAGTGTAAGTGTAAGTAAGTGACTGTGTCGTGCAAGAAAAAAAGAGCCAATGAGGGGTTGTACTTGTGGTGCCAAGACGCTACAATCCAGCATCCTCCCTACTCTTTTCAAGCTCCTTGACATCAACTTAAACATTAGACATAAGAAAGATGAAAGAAGAAGAAGAAGAAGAGCCTAATATAAACGAAAATGCATTACAATTCATCTCTCTAGACTAAACTTCTTCACTACTCATCAAAGCACTGACAATCCCCCACCTCCCCACCAATCCTCCACCTACTAACCATACTCGCACACCTCCACGCTACATCGACCCCCGAACACTGAAACATCAAACTCCACGCCCGCTCAACCGTATACCCGAAATCCGGGGCGCTCATCTCATCCGGTCTCCCCTTTAGGAAACTCTCTTGATGCGCCCAGCTCTTCTCATCCACCAGCGCACTCCACATATTCTCATACAAACTCTTATCCACACCACGAATCCGTGCTGCGGAAACAGCGAATTGGCCTTTGTAACTAAGTAGTACGTGATTGCATGCAGCGTTACTGCCGTAGATTTTCGCATAAGTTTGCGGGATAAATTGGATTTCGTCGGACCAAAAGAGGCGGTCCGAGCACGAGTGGCAGTTGCAGAGTGTGCCGACCCATGCCAGGTCCAGGTAGCCGGTGCGGGAGCGGAGAAAGTAGTTTGTTATCCGTGTGTAGAATTCGCGGGGATTGTGGATTTCGGCTTGCAGGAACAGGGTTTGCTGCGCGAGTGTGTCCCAGCGGCGGAGGATATGGTTGAGGTAGGTTTCGCCTTCGCGGCCCATGTTAGGCAAGGGTACGACTTGGCTTGCGCCGAGCTGGGATTGGATTTGAGAAGGGGAGGCACTGCTGTCTTTGAGGTAGATTGTTATTTGGGCGTCGGAGAGGGCGGGGATGCGTTTGAGATTGCGGAGGAGAGTGGTGATGCCGTCGAGGGGTTCCTTGTACATGCTTATTACTATTTCCATGGGGATTTGGGGGACGTAGTTTCGATCGAGGGCGACGGGCATGCGTGGCTCTGGTCGTTCTGTGAAGTTCAGAATGCCATATGCTATCCATAGGGAGGCGATGCTGATCCCGAGAAGATACTTCGAAAGCGGCTTGGTGGGTAAGCTCATATTCATTGAAGACGATCTCATACGTCCATATGTGTTGTAGGCGAACCGGGTATTGGGCAGTCGAGCAGGGGGCACACGAGACCACGCCCAGCTGCCAATGCACGTCATGGCAAGCCAAAAGCAACAGAACTGGTATGTGCTCGTGTACGAGCGGCGGGTCAAGAGCGTCGAGTAGCATCCTGCAATGCCAGCGAAAACAGCAAGAGTCAAAGCGTCAAAGATGTGATATACTGGGGCATCAATAGTATGAAAAGACGTGCTGGCTACTTCGTCGTCGACAGGCAGCACCATTGACTTTCCCAGCTTCATCGCCATGGCGGTAGACACGGCGTTGACGCTGAGGAGCAGCCCGTTTCCGGCTCCAAAGGCGAAAATGTGACCGTTCATGCCAAAGATTACTGCCGACAGCGCGCCTACTAGCGCCCCTGCGATGACATGCAGGCTTGCCTGATTCAAATTGTTGGCAAGGACGTCTGGTTGATGCATAATGGCAGTTTTCCAGAGGCCCCGTGCCGCTCCCGCAAACACCATGGCCAAGATGCCCGTTACCAGGCCGGGCACAGTGATTCGATATTCTGTCAACAAAAGACCAACGCTCGCCAGCAAGAGTACACATGTGGGAAGCATGTCTGCGTACGTGACAGAAACCGAGCGGAGAGCATGACGCACCACACCTTCAGCAAACAAGGCTATAGGCTACTTTGGCGTCAGTCATTTTTTGCTGAAGGGACCAATTCGTCCAGATGTATGTGTGTGAAGTCTTACTGTAATCATGGCCAAGATGGGGAGATTATAAAAATGCAAGACTGCCTGCAACAGACACATGGTGGACAGATACATGAAGCACACGGAGGCAGTGATGAGCGTCGTTCCTCTGTTCCTCGATCTCCACGGCCGCAGCTTTCGACGAAACGGCCGCTGAATAATTCCCCAGCCAAAAAATGGTCGCAACGCCAGTAAGCTCGTGATAGCTAGCTGGTTAAAGTAGAGGCGCTGCGGATAGTGCATATTGCGCTCTATGAGCAAGTGTCGTGTGCTGAGTAGCGATGCACTGGCACAGACCATCCATAGCAGATGGCGCTGGATACGAGCAGCGTCATGTGTGGCATTGAGCCGCCCACTCATCGACTCGGCGCGGACCTTCCTTACGTACGCATCTGGTATCATGGCCATCTGGAGAAGAGGCACAGGCTCCGGCGAACGGGAAGGGAGTGATGGCTATGACGAAGCAACGATTGCGACCGTCGTGTGGAAGTCATCCGAGATTAGGGATTAAGCGCCGTCTTTGCTTGTTCAGTGCATTGGCCCAGCGCGTAGTCGAGGTAGCCGGATTGACGTGGATACGCGTGATGCGATGGCAATGTGGAGGCGACGACGGCGTGGATTGGGCGTGAGGGTACATTTGTCTTCATCTTGTCTCCAACGCTGGACGCGTGCGTTTTCTGCATGGCTCACCTCAATCTGGCAAACTGGGCTGCCCCACTTGCACTTATGCTTTGAGCCGTGCGCACCCCGCCAACGTCAGGCACTACTTTACGGACTTAGCTATGCGACATCCATGTGCAAGCCTTTTGGGGCAGAATGATCGTGGAGAACAAAGACTTGGAATGAGGGATAGAAAACGCTTCCCTTTCACGTTTAAACAAAACACTATCGCTATGCAAAAACAACATGCCTACGTGCCTCTTCCCCCTTAAACACCTTGTACCTTGCGGTAACTAGGCGGCTTCAACGTCCTCCTGAGCAGCTTGACCGCATACGGCGGCAACAAACTGATTGCTGCAATGACCGCAAATCTCCACCAGAACGCCATGCTGCCCACATACACGAGATCAAAATACTCGTCTAGAAACGGCACAGAGCCAAAGTAGATACCTGCTGTTCCCACAATGCTCGCAATCATGATCCAATGCCACGTTGTAACTTCCATGGCTACCATGATCAATTCGTTGACAATAAGCACCGAGAAGGAAACAGACACCATCTTCAGAAATGTCGGATCCGCAGTCTCGCCTGCGCCTGTCGCGTGTCCTACACCAATAAGAAGCTGACTGCAACCTTGAATAATGGAGCCTTGGTAGATGGACACAGCGACCCAGATGAAGAACGACTTGTACGATAGCGACCGGCCTGTCTTGAGTTCGGCATATAGTTCGGGATACAAATTGGCGACGCTCTCGTCCACATCGCGGTCCAGAACAAGAGAAAAGACCGGCATCATTGTGTAGATGGTCGAATAGCCGACCAAGAGCCAGTCCTTGTACAAAGCATTGGGCTCAAAGCTGCTGGCAATCGAAAAGACTGTTTGGCAGATGGAAATGATCAACCCGCGATGAATGACAAACTGAGAGAGTTTGGCAGAGCGTTTGTACGAGTTGCGGCCGTGCCAGACGAGCAGTTTGACCAGGTAACAGAATTGCTCTATCGAAAAGTCGGCGGCAAGGGAGGCTTGGCGACCTTCTTTGCCCACAATACCAACACCGACGTCAGCAGCTTGGATCATGGATACATCGTTGCCGCCGTCACCGATGCAGCATACGCGCTTCTTGGTGAACTCCCGAATCAGGCGCGCGACGTCTGCTTTCTGCGTGGGAGAGCATCGGCATGCGACGACAGTGGGAAGTTGTACAGCCACACTTATAAATTCCTGGCGAAAGTGCTGCAGAAAGAGCGCAAGCGACTCGCCGTCAATAAGCAGACAGGAATCAAGCTTCCCACGGAGAAAGTCGAGAGACAAAGATGCAAGGTCTTTGCGTTTCAGCTTGGCGATTGTGTGCACGTATTGCCCACGTGCTACCAGTTTGGAGCTGACAGCTACGCAACGCGCCGTTTCGACCTTGTCGCCAGTCAACATCCAGATCTTGATACCCGCGTTGCGAAGGAGCTCGAGAGAAGGCTTGACATCCTTTTGTAGTTTGTCCTCAACACCTGTGACGCCAAGGAGTTCTAGGTCATGCTCGAGGTATTCTTTAACAACACCAGCAACGGAAGCGTCACGGTTGCTGAGGGCAAGGGAGGCCTGCGCGTACTTGGTGGTGAACTCCTGGTATATTTGAGACGATAGCCTTTTGCGGCCCACAACTAGAGTGCGGAGTCCTTCACGGGCCATGTTTGCCGTCTCTTCATCTAACCAGTCGTTGGCGGCGACAATCGACGTCATGACGGTATCTGCGCCTTTTTGGTAAAACCAGATCTCACCATCATCGTCAGTCGGTGATGATGCAGGTCCGTGATAGAACTTCACGACGATACCCATGCGCTTGCCTTCCGATGTGAATGGAAAAACATTCAAGATGCGAACTTTGACGACTTGTTTTCCGCTATCGCATGAAAGGAGAGTCATGGACTCGCGGTCTCGAGACAGGAGCTTTAAACCAACGGCCTCGGTCCAACGTACAATGGCGATTTCGTCCGGAGATGATGCTTGGTAGGTAGTCACTTCTTCGCCATTCTCTTCCTCTGTCGTTGGTGTTACATTATGGCAAAGCGCCAGCGCCAGCACAACGTCGCGGACTCGTGATCCAATTTCCCTACGGGTACGTGTGGCAGAAGTAAGAGGGGCGATGTAAGCGGATGAGGGTGTGACAAGCGAAGGGGTTTCTCCAGCGGGAGGTGTAAAACACTGGCGCACATACGAGGATACCTCGTCCATGGCCTCGTTTGCATAAGATACGGTGCCGACATGGATCTTTTTCATAATCATCTCTATAGTCTGTTAGTCGTGTCATATTGTAGGAACCTGGATGCCGTACCGTTCTGTGTCAGAGTTCCTGTTTTGTCACTCAAAAGATATTCTATCCGACCCAAATCTTCAGGAATGGTACTAGTGCGGACAATCGTTCCTTTGATGCTTTCGTCGTGCTGGATAAACCATGCGTACACTGACTTTCCCATGTCAAGATTAACACGCAAACCCACAGGGACGATGGTCGAGAACAGAATGAGAAATCGTAGCATGGAAGCCCACCATTGCCGACCTTGGATTTCTTGAAACCGTGCAAGCGCTACGAGGATAAAGGATAGCGAGAGAGTAAATATACATAGCCATTTGGTGAGCGAGTTGATCTCCAGTTCCAGTAGACCAGTTTTGGATCTTGAAGGCGAAGTTGAAAGCGCCTGACGCGTCTGAGGTCCAGTATATACCACTACTGCGAGAAGACTGCAGCTCGACGCCACGACCGTGTTCGCCCAGATGGTGTTATCAATGCTAAGAGGAGCCGACTGTACTTCTTCAGACGAGGAAGGTTGCTCACTATCGTGGGGATCGTAGTGCCGCTGGCTCTTGGGCAGAAGCTCCACAGTTCCATAGAACTCATTGACCTTTTTGTCTGGTTTACCAGCGACAACTTGAAGTCGAGTATACTCTCCAACATCCAGATTTTGTGTCAGTGGAGACGTAAGGCGCAGTTTCCAATCAGTTTCACCGTCCAATTGATCGGTTCTGATAAAGGCTTCACCTGAAGACCCGCTCGTTGCGACGCTGTCGGCTTTTGCCGTATCCTCAGGCTCGTCACTATCGATCAACGGGACCAATGGGCTTTGTGCACTTGCGCCAGCTGGGGTAGCAGCGCTGATATCGGTGGAATGGCTCTTCAGAAGCACCATATCAGCAGGTACTCTTTGGTCCTTTCCCAGTTTGACCACGTCGCCGACTTTGAGGCTCCTAGAAGGTTTTGTAACCTCCCAGTAAGTGCAGGTTGCTAGTCCCCTGTCTGAGAGCCGCTGTTCCTCATCTTCAATCTCTGAAAAGCGACCTTCATTCCTGTTCTGTTTCCTCAGGCACTTCTGCCTTTGTGAACTTCTGCCTGGGGCGACGCCAGTTCCTTTACTGTTCTCCTCAAACTTTAGTACTGTGTAGCCCTCGGAGTTAGCTTCTGCATCTCTTCGCCGTCGGGCAATGTCATCCATAGCCTCCTTTCCCAAAGTTATGGTTATGACAAAGGCTAGCGGGGCGACGTAGGTCGAAAGGTAACCAATTCGCAATACGGGTATGACTTGCGACAGGGCAATAAGCAAGAAATACATATTGATGAAAAAGGAGAACTCGTTGTACAAAGTACGTGGAAGAAAACTCCAGGGCGTGTACTTTGCATTCGAAACCGCATTTGCCGGGAATCTTGATGTTTGAAGCTGGCCGACAGAAATGGTCCGTTGCGTGGTTGGATCATGCTCTTCTTCAGCATCTTCCTCTCCATCCTCGTTGAGTTTTATAGCAGCGCTGCTGTGCCGTGAAAGGAAGCTCGGTATTCCCATGCTCGACCCTAATCTTGACATGGTACTTTGTGGCGGTTGGTGTCTTTGGGCAGTTCGCTGAGCCGGTAGCAAGGGCGAGTCGTCCTCCCCAGACTGACCATAACTACCAGCCGAGTCCCTCTTTGGCCCTTCATCGTCGTCTAATAGGCCCCTCAAGTCGTCCTCTTCAGCCTCCTGCTTCTTCTTACTTGCTCGTAGTCTGCCTACTCTCAAGTTCCTCAGCGGTATCCTTGCGCCCAGCTCGTGGTATGGCCTCCTCTTGTCTTTGGAATTACGTGGCGGCGGTGTGGCGGCTGCCTGTGAGCGAGATGCTAGAGGATCCAACTCCTCCAAGTCTAGTTCAAGGTCGGAGTCCTCGTCTGGCGCATTCGGTTGGTGGTACTGGTGTGGAGCAGCCATAGCTCATGGGCGGGCGACAATGGCGCAATGGCGTATGAGAGGAAGATCTGTTCTCTAGCAACCTCATGCGCGGTCGGTCCGGGGGAGGGAAGTGGTTATGGCTATGGTGGCTGCCTTCGGGGGTCCGCGGTGTTTCGGGGGTGTCTGGATATGACGCCCAGGCGTTCAGACTTCTTGTTTCGGGCGCGGACGAATGTTTCGACGATGATGATAGAGTCTGGTGGTTGGTCGTTACTTATAGGAGTATCCGGTGTGTGTTGTATGATATGATAATTGTGAATAGTGTCGTGCATGCATCTGGCACGAGGCGCGGCACGATGGAGCAAGTGTGGCGCAGATACGTAGGGTGGCTTAAGGCCAGGGTTGCAGCGGCGGGCCGTTTCCAATGTCCAAAGGCGTGAACAGCTGTCCATATTACTCTACATTACACTCGCACGCACATCGACTGAATCGCATGCAATGCGGCCGGAACTTGCCTCTAGTATTTGATCCTCATTTTCATTCTGGCCGAGAGCTGTGCTCTTGATACTGTGCGGCACACCGAGCTCGCGCTCTCCCGCTTCCATAGAGGTACGTCCCACGAGCCTCTGACGTACAAAGGGATGACGATCACTGTGGCCTATGTACATTCCGCGACACACTCCCCGTCGCAACTTTTTTCCCGTGCCTCCGTTTCTAGCCTTGCCTGGCCCATTTCTTCCTTTTGTCAAGCTCCCTGTGTCCCTTTCTCGTCTTCTACCAGGCGCATCTCCTCAATTGCGTCTTCGGAACCCGACGTCTGCGCTCCACTATCAAGACTCCGCATCCGAGTTACCAAAGACCAACTGTAGTGCTGACAGCTTCTATAGCGCTTATAGATACCCCATTCATTACCTAGTAATCGCCTAATGGACGAAGACGCCCCCAACTTTTCTTATGCCTATGGTGGCGCGCCTTTGACACCATCGTCCGCTTCGTGGAACCCTGCGCTGCGAAGCGAAAAGGAAGCCAGTGCACCAGCCAACGCGAAACCACCGGCGCAGCCCGAGCCAGAATCTTCTTCCGAAGAAGAGGAAGAGGAAGAATCAGAGGAAGAAGACAGCGAGGACGAAGACGAAGACAAAGTTCCGTCCCAACCCGCTGTAACGGCACCAGCAGCGACTGCGCCTCCACCTTCAATCAAGCCTGCAACTGCTGAGCAACAGTCGAATGATGAATCTCCAGCGCGCGACATTATTGCTCAGGCTGAGCAGAGCGCATCACAACCGCCAGTGCAACAATCCCAGGAGGAACTCGGAGCAAGTGGGGCTGAGAAGGATCTCGTAAATGCAACGCAGGCGCTCAACATCGAGGAACAGACTGCCCCGGCAGAAGCTGAAGCAAACAAAAATAAAGAGGGGTCAGAAGAGGAAGACAGTGATGAAGAGAGCTCCGACGAAGAACCAAATCCCGAAGCGCATCCGGAAGTGAATTACGAGCACCAAGGTGAAAGCACTGTTCTAGAGGATGCTGTGACTGAAAGTGTAAAGGCACCTCTGGTAGCAGACACCGAAGCGGATGAGTGGGGTACCTCCGGCGACGATGCCTTCGATCTTGGTGGGCAACCACAGGAATCTGCTTTACCAACACCTGCGGTAGAAGCTGTTGGGACAACAGTAGGAGACGAGTCTATTGGAAACACCACCGTGGGTGGAAATGCAGGCGCAGGCATCGACTGGGGCAACACAGAAGAACAAGAGGACTTTTTTGGTACAATTGCGGGTCAACAAATTGAACCTGCGCAGTCTACAAATGAAACCCCTGGTGCGCATGTAGTACAGGCAGAAGCGAAAGCCCCCGAGAAGAGCGAGTGGGATTTAGACCTGGACTTGGACGATGATTTCTTGCCTGACAAGGAAGATGGACCGGTCATTGAATTGAGTGATGACGAAGGTTTTCTAGAAGACGAACCCCCTGCGGCAGCAGAACAGCCCGTACAGTCCCATCCGTCAGGCACTGCAAGCCGGTACGCGCCTCAAGCTGCAACGCCAGCTGCAGTCCCTGCTGCGAGCCCATATGCCCCCCAAGCGCAGTCAACCCCTGCGGCCACCCCGGCTTATGATGGCTTTGGGCGGAATCTGGCATACCAACAGCAGCAACAATCCCGACCTCCTCCAGTGAGCTCGGCGCAAAGTTTTGTTGATAAATCCAAAGGTGGTTATGCTTCGCCCTACGACCTACCAGAAGACATTGTCACCACCCGAAAGCGACCAGCTCCTCGTGCAACAGTCCCAGCCTTACAGCCTACTCCTCCGCCTCCACGTAGTAGTAGTGTGTCTTCGAATAGTGGACTTCCACGGCCACCTCCTCTTTCATCGAGTATGTCGACGTCTAGCCTGTCTCCACCATCCTCGGGCCACTCGATGCAGGCACAGATAAGCGGAATGCCACCAGCAGCAGCTCCGCCAAAACCAGCTGTAACATCAAAATCACCTTCGAGCGACTTCTTTGCCGAGCTACCTGTGACCTCCAAACCGCGGCCATCGGGACGCTACACTCCGCAGCCGAATGTGCCTGTTCAACCTCCAGCACAACCACCACCTCCGCACATGCCACCCAAAGAGCGTACACCGTCATTGTCCTCTCTGAGGAACGAGTTTCTCCCCAATAATGCAAACGTTGCTACGCCCCCTCCATTTAGGCAACCTGAACAGCTGCCTATGTTCCCAAGTCAACCATCGGTACCCGCGCGGACGAACAGTCTTCCTGTGCCTCAGCCCGCGCCTGCACCTCCCACGAACAGATACTCGCCCGCCCCACCACCTTCAGCACCGGCAGGTAATGCACGGTATTCTCCTGCCCCGCCTGCCGCCGTACCTGCCGCAAATGCTCGTTACTCGCCCGCACCTCCATCCCAGGCACAACCTCATGCTCGATATGCATCTGAGCCGCATAACAACTTGACGCGAACGCCGTCCCAGCCTTTTGCGCCTCGCACATCTAGCCCGCTAGCTTTCCACAGCATGCCTCAACAGCATGGGCAAGAGTCTGAATCTCAGCCTCAAGCCCCGCCAACTCACCAGCTTTCTCAGTCAATCGATGGTACGCCACGTCCGCCAATCAGGAGTCCATTAGGAGAGGTTACCGAGATTGGAGAACAAGATTCAACACTGAGCTCGAGACCACCCACATCTGGGAGGTCCGAGACTCCGCCTCCACGCAGTACGCCTTCATCGAATGTGGGTTCTCCGCGTAAAAGGGACAATTATGTGCCCAGGTATCAGCCAGCGCAAACAGCCGCTCCGCAACGCTCTCAGTCTCAGTCTCCAACAGCGACTATGAAACAGCCTCTTCGTAACGTGAGTAGCTCAGAGCTAGGGGGATCCATGTTTGGGATCATGCCACAAGCCATGACTTATGGGCCATCTCAATCTGCTTCAAGCACGGTCAATGTCATACCCCACCGTCAGCAGGCATCGGTCAACTACGACTTCATTGTACCTGAAGACGAGCGTGCAGCTGACCTACTTGAGAGGTGGAAGGGATATCCCATCTTCACATGGGGTCTGGGAGGTACTGTGGTAACGAGCTTCCCAAAGCAAATTCCTCGATATGGAGGCGGTGGTTCGGCGCCAATGATGAAGACCAGCCCCGGTGAGGTTCGTCTTCAAAGCATCAAGGAAGTCCTACCTCTGCCAGAAGATATCGCAAAGTTCCCTGGACCGCTCAAGGCAAAGAGCAAGAAGAAGGACGTACTAGCGTGGCTTGGCCGCAAGATTGAAGTGCTAGATGCTCAATCCAAAGAGCCTACACTCGAACACTCTATAAGTGAAGACGACATCAAGCGCCTCGAAGACAGAATACTTCTATGGAAGCTCATGCAGATTCTCGTTGAGCATGATGGTCGACTAGAAGGTGCACCTGCGGAGGTCGCTATCAAGAAAATATTCTCCCCTGCTAAAGAAGAAGTCCCAGATGCCGACGGCTCCTATTCAACCGGAGTGGATATAGTTGGGCGCTCAAGATCCAATACCTCAACCATCCAAGCAGAACCTTCCGACCCGCGAACTCTCGAAAACCTGCAAAATATGCTTATTCAAGGTGATCGCGAAAAGGCAGTCTGGCATGCTGTTGACCAGCGACTATGGGGCCATGCTATGTTGTTGTCTTCGACTGGCAACAAAGACACATGGAAACGGGTTGTCCAAGAATTTGTCCGGAAAGAAGTCAAAAATGTCGGGCGCAATAACCAGGCATTGGCCGTGTTGTATGAGGTCTTTGCTGGCAACCACGAGGATTGCATTGATGAATTGGTGCCGGCGTCAGCTCGTGCCGGCTTCCAGATGATAAGTGCAGATGGGGCTGGAGCTACACAAAATGCACTCCAGGGCCTGGACAAGTGGCGTGAGACGATTGCGTTGATTTTGAATAACCGCAGCGAGGGTGATGCATCGGCACTGTTGTCTCTCGGAAGACTGCTTGCTCAGTATGGCCGAGTCGAAGCTGCGCACATTTGCTTCATCTTTGCCCGTTCAGTGATCAAGATTGGTGGCATCGACGATATCCAAGCCGATCTTGTGCTCATTGGCGCTGACCACCGCCAGTACCCTCTAGAAACAGGCATTGAGCTTGAGCCGATACTTCTGACCGAAGTGTTCGAGTTCGCCATGTCGTTGTCATCACCAAGCGTTCCGTACGTGCTACCTCATCTGCAACACTACAAACTGGCACATGCATATCAGCTAGCGGAAAATGGTTACAAGACGGATGCACAGGCATACTGCGACTCTATTGCGGCGGTCATGAAGGCAACAACACAGATTTCTCCATACTACAACCCGGCCTTCATCACTACCCTAGACGACTTGAGCCAGCGCCTGTCCCAAGCTCCTAAGGATGGTTCGTCTTCGTGGATTTCCAAGCCTAGCATGGATAAGGTTGGAAGCTCTCTGCTATCAAAATTCAACAGTTTCATTGCAGGCGACGACGAAGCCGACGGGGGGAGGCCGGCCGGAACAGAATCTGGACCTTTCGCTAACATTGCTGGAGGCAGCCCAGCCCTCACGCCATCGCAGTCAAACGCGGACTTGTATAGCGCCATGTCCGGCTACGGCGTACCTGCACAACCAGCAGCACCAGCTAACTCGAGGTACGCTCCGTCAAATGCATATGCGCCAAGGTCATCTTCGGAGCAACAGCGATCTCGTTACGAGCCTCAGGGCCGACCATCGATGGAGTCAAACGACAGCTTTGGCATGCGAGCCGCGTCGGACTCGTACACTCCTATGACTCCAACCTCAGGCATATTGAGCCCTACGCAAAACCAGTTGAGCCCACCAAGCGCGCGTACACAAGGCAAGGTTCAATCGTATTCCCCACTGCGTCAGGATTTCAGCCCTCGTCAGGCCTCGTACAATAGTCCTTACATGCCTATGTCTTCTGTCGAAGGGTTGGCTGCCTCTCCTGCATTTGGCGGGTACCAGCCTCAGGCGAGCTTCGACGAGCCCGCCCAACCCGCAACAGACGAGCAGGGGCAGGGATCATCTAGCACCTATGAACCTCCATCATACCAGCCGTACAACCCCGATGAGGATGACAAGGAGGAAGAGGAGCAACCCAAGAAGAAGAAATCCTTTATGGACGATGACGACGACGATGACCTGGCTGCTCGTGCCTCTGCATTGAAAATCAGCGGTGGCAGCAGCTCCAAGTCCGAGGCAGACAGGAAAGCAGACGAGGCCTTCCGCAAAGCTGCGGAGGCAGATGAAAAACGCGACAAGGAGGCAGCAGCGGCGAAGAAGGGAGGCTGGCTTTCTGGGTGGTTCAAGAAGGACTCGAACGCTGGGCCTGGACCTATCAAAGCGAAGCTTGGAGAAGAAAGCAGCTTCGTTTACGACACTGATCTCGGAAAGTGGGTCAACAAGAAGGCGGGTGCAACAGAAGCGGCCAAGCCCTCTGCCACACCTCCACCTCCACGGTCTGGCCCGCCTGGGGCACCTCGGAGCGCTCCAGGAAGCACTGCTCCCGCACCTCCATCGTCTGCTGGGCCTCCGGCTGCAGGCACATTGCGTCCACCCGTCTCGAACCTGCGCTCGTCGTCATTGCCACCACCACTGCACGGTGCTGGTTCCCGTGCATCAACGCCAGGCATTGCTGAGTCGGATGAAGAAGGTCTTACCGGGCCTAAACCACCTATCCTAGCGCGACCCAGCTTTGGTGCTGCGTCAGGACCGCCATCACGGCCTGGTACAGGTATGAGTAACGCTAGCAGTATTGACGATTTGCTGGGAGCGCCTCAAGCGAGGAAGGGACCAGCAGCAGGAAAGAAGAAGAAGGGCGGGCGTTATGTGGATGTCATGGCCAAGTAGGAGAGATCAGGGGGGACGAACTAGGTGGATTTCACGGTTTTACGAGAGGTATGTGTATGAGTGCAAGGATTGTGTGAATGGGTCGGGTAGAGACGTGATGCATGTGTCGGTACCTGCATTAGACGGGAGCCAGCATCCTGGGTTGTGGATGTATGTACAATAACGAGTTATTTTTTGCTGTTATCTTGGCTTTGTGCTTTTTTTGGGGATGGAATGACATCGGGTATGTTGATAGCGGGTGGTGTTGGGTGCTTGACAAAAGATACGGGAAAGGCCCGTCGGATGACAGGCGCAGACGGGAGCGATAGGCACGAAAAGATGGGGTAGGTGCACCGACAGCGGAGATGACGCACGACAAACCGCCTAGCCCTTCGGATTCCTGACTACGACTTGACGGCAATCTTTACGTTTCCGGGCCCTGGTTGGCTTTGGCGACGTCTTATCTCTGGTGCTTGATGCCCTCCAGCACGCCGCCTTGATGTTCCTTCTTCATATGCATATGCATCCTCGTAAGGGCGGGCCCACTCTGCTTGCACTTGTGGAGTAACGACGATTGCAGCGTCGCATCCCAAGCCACTTACTAAGTAGTCTTCGGAACATGTCAAGCTGAAGACCCGATCCAGAACTAGCCCGGCATCACGCCGTTTATCTCCCACCCTGGCTGCGGGGAGCACTTGCGGGCCTTTTCGCACGCGACAACATTCCGCATCCTTATACATACCTGCACCCATATCTGCGACCCTGCCTACACCCTGCGTCCCTGTCCTCTCTTAAACGTCTTTGGCGACCTTGGCAGCCGTCGCATCTCGTCGCATTCTACCTCATCGCAACACAGCGCACAGGCGCTCATCACGAGCTACGATTGGACCTCACCACAGCGAGCCACCACCATGACCAAGAGAAGCCTCTCCATCACCCAGGGCGAGGGAGATGGCGTCCGTCGGCGGTCCGTCAACGACCCAGGCGCCGACGCCGCCCTCGCGAAGATGGGCTACCAGTCCGAACTCCCACGTAACTTGTCCATGTTGAGCGTCCTCGGCATGTCCTTCGCCATCATGGCCGTTCCTTTCGGTCTCAGCACTACCATGTACATTACGCTCACCGATGGCCAGTCAGTGACTATTCTCTGGGGCTGGGTCCTCGTCTCACTCATCTCCCTATGTATCGCCGCTTCCCTTGCCGAAATCTGTGCCGTTTACCCGACAGCTGGTGGAGTCTACTACTGGTCTGCTATGCTGTCGACGCGCGAATGGGCGCCCATTGCCTCGTGGGTAACTGGCTGGCTGACCCTGGTCGGAAACTGGACTGTCACCCTCTCCATTAACTTCTCTGGTGGTCAACTCATTCTGTCTGCCATTACACTCTGGGATGAAGACTTTGTGCCAAATCAGTGGCAGACGGTTCTCATGTTCTGGGCGGTTATGCTCATCTGCATGACCATCAACATCTTTGGTGCAAAGCACTTGGACCTCATCAATAAGATCTGTATTTACTGGACGGCTACTAGCGTGGTCGTCATCTTGGTTGTTCTGTTAAGCATGGCTGACGTCAAGAGAGATGCCGACTTTGTTTTTACGCACTATGACGCTAGCCAAAGTGGATGGTAAGTGCTTATTTGCATCCTGCATAATCCCCCAGTCGCAATACTAATTCACATGATCTAGGCCATCGGGATGGGCATTCTTTGTCGGCCTTTTACAAGCAGCGTACACGCTCACTGGCTATGGCATGGTCGCGGCCATGTGCGAGGAAGTGTCGAATCCATCGCGCGAAGTCCCCAAAGCCATTGTTCTTTCGGTTGCCGCTGCAGGTGTCACGGGTGTCATTTACTTGATTCCTATCCTCTTCGTCTTGCCTGATGTGCAGATGCTTCTTGACGTCGCCAATGGACAGCCAATCGGTCTCCTTTTCAAGACCGTCACGGGTAGCGCTGGTGGAGGCTTTGGTCTTCTCTTCCTAATTCTTGGCATTCTTTTGTTTGCCGGCACTGGAGCGCTGACTGCTGCATCGCGCTGCACATATGCCTTTGCTCGCGATGGCGCAATTCCTGGTTCGCGTCTTTGGGCCAGGGTCGATAAGCGCTTTGATATTCCTCTCATGGCGCTCGTCCTGTCCACTGTTGTGGATTGTCTTTTGGGTCTCATCTACTTTGGCTCGTCTGCTGCTTTCAACTCCTTTACCGGTGTTGCTACCATTTGCCTGAGCACATCGTACGGTATGCCCATTCTCATCTCGGTTATTCGCGGTCGGAGGGCAGTCCGCAACTCGTCATTCTCCCTTGGCCGCTTCGGCTACGCGATCAACGTTGCCATGATTGCCTGGATTTGTCTGGCTGTCGTACTGTTCTGTATGCCAGTGAGCCTGCCCGTGGAGGCATCAACGATGAATTACGCAAGCGTTGTCTTTGCTGGCTTCGCGACAATTAGCGTGGTCTGGTACTTCATCCGAGGACGGAAGGAATTCTCGGGTCCACCAGTCCCCAACGACGTGGAGCCTGGTGAGGAGGGCGTTGTCGCGGGGCTAGCAGTACAGGACAGCAGACAGGATGTTGAGGGTATGGGAGAAAAGGCCGTGGATTACGACAATACGAAGAACAAGAGTTTTTGAGGTGGTGCACAGCCTTCGCGTTTTGGATGAATACACACGGTTGGAGCTTGCGTAGATCTATCTGATATAGTTGTATGTGTATGTACTACTTACGTGTTGGTGCTGATGCACAAGTAATGCTAATTGAAATCATCCATTTCAGATTGCTGAAACAACCCAAGAGATTACATTGATACATGATTAGCTGTCAAAGGTGCGCCACAGGAGGCTTTAGCCTCAGTAAGGGCCCGCCGCTAAAGCCGGCGCTAGTGTATGCGGGGGGATACGCGTTGCGCGGTTCCATAGTGTCGCGCCTCGCACACTCCTTCACATTTGCTCTCATTCTCACTTCCACTCCCATGGACTTGCTGCCCTTCGTTAGTACGTCTGATTGCGATGAGGTAAGCAGATCCTTTTCAGGAAATGTTGCGCCACAAACACTGTATTACACTTGACACACCTTTGGACACGAGCAAGCCTAACATGCGCAGCAACTGGCAACATACAGCGATTGATCTCACCCATGACACCGATGAGGAACATAATGCCAGACGCCGTCAATCGTTGCTTATAGGGGCGGATCACTCTGCGAGACAAGATGTATCTTTACCTCCCGTCCCAGGACTAAACCCTCACGTTCCTGCACCGAAGCCGACAAACATATACAATCCACCTCCACCCGGAAGCAGACCACAATATGTGCAGGTCCCATCCACAAATCCTACAGTACAGCAGCAGGCGCAGATGCTACACGAAAACATGCGATCGACAGTCGCGAGGCCGACAAGTGGGATTACCATGTCGCAAAGCAACGGTGTACTGGTGCCCGCGCAGAGACATAATGGGTACACCTACGATGCGCCGTTTGAAGCCGACAGGGCAGCCAAGAGGGCTAAGATAGATCCTACAGACCCGCCGTCTTTTACGTCGAACAGAGTACTTCCTGCCCAACAAACAAGTCTGTCCCCGTTACATGCAACGCAAAACGCAAACTACTTCGGTGCCCCTTCTGGGTTGTCATGGAAGGAAGACAAGGATGGTTCCACAGCTAACATTTTAACTTCGGACGTGGCCGGATCACAACAACCCACAGACAATGTTTTGGTCAATCACCAATCAGTCTTAGCATCCGACCATTTCCGCCCGACTGCGCTCACATCCGAGTCGACAATGCCGGCCATGGACCCTTTCACGGCTCGCGCAAAACGTCGCAAGACGGTCCACAAACCATTCGACACAGCTCAAGACCACTTACTGATATTCTTAAAGGAAGTCAAGCAATACAAGTGGTCGGAAATTACTGCAGAATACAACAAGGATATGCCGTACCGGGAGTATACCACACTCCAGAGTCGCTATTCTACAGTCTTGAACAAGAGGGATCGTTCCCAGGATCCCCCGACTCTTGTCTTACCCCCACGCTTTGCCGCAGAGGTGAACATAGACTGGTCGCGAATTCATGGAAACAGATTTGTCGCACCCAAAACACAGTCAGTGCAGCAGACAATTGAGCACGACTGTTCTTCTGGCGGCGATTCTACCCTTTCTCGAGAACGGCCACGCCGCGCGCAACGCATTAATTACACATGGCCAAAACAGCGCATCAGGGCCAGAGATGTGTTTACTGACGATCATACCGACGAGCATGCTGACGAGCATGTGTTTGGAGAGATGTTCAATGAAGCCTCACCTACACGGTCTGAAACCCCGGAAGATGACTCGCCTCCACCTGATACAGCCTTTGCTGTCGATAATGACCCGGTAGAAGTTGAATTTAATGCTGGAGACGCGAAATTGGTGATGGGGCTGTATAAGAAATCTCGTGATGCTCCAACAAGAATGGTGCCATACCTGAGCATATCAGAGCGTAGCATAATGCAGAACCCTCCTGGGTTCTGTTGGGATCAGTTGTCGAGTCGCAAATGGCAAGGCTCGTTACTTCATGTGGATTTTAGCCCAGCTGAAATCAAGATTGTGAAAAAGGCCATTGTCTCAATCAAAAGGCCCCTGCAATTGAGACACAGTACAAAGGGAAGACAACTTCGAGAACTCCTGAAGGATTTCTCTGAGCCCAAGGTTCTCAAACTAGTGGACGCTCTGCGACGGTATCTCCCTTGCCGAGATAGAAGCAGCATCGAAGCGTTTGTCAAAGACGCACAGGATGGTCAAATTTCCGAGGTTTCGCACATCCAAAGACTTGCAGCTGCCCGGCCCGATGTCTCTATGAGCTCGACACAAAAACCGTCTACAACATCAATCATACGTCAGCGCGAATTGGGATGCCAGTCAAGGAGAGGGTGGCAAGCTGCTGCAAAGCCTCTTACATACCAAGTAAAGAATCAAATCATGGACACAATCGGCCCATTGGCTTTCTGGACAGGTGCCTCTAGCGACATACACACTGTAGCATGGGCTCCAGATGGTGAGCGGTTCGCAGCAGGCGCAGTCGCTGTAGATGACCCCGACTCCATGCAATACAACAGACCTAACAATTTGCTTTACGGCAATATGATCCATGGTTCAATACATGAGCTGGCTGAACACTACAGGAAGCGCGAAAGAACTGAGGCCGGTGTTAATTCGAGCCATGCCATGTTTGCATCGCAAGACCGAGAGCTATACTCTACAGTCAGCTCTGTGGCCTTCTCAACTAGCGGCAGATATTTGTACTCGGCGGGCTACGATAGCCACATTGGCATATGGTATACTGAGGGTGACGTCGTGCAACCGATTCTGGGTGCAAAGCTGAATATCAAGGATCCGATCGACATCCTCTCGGTCAATCACTCGAATGCTGGAGTCCTAGCAACTGCAGCTCGTGTCGCTCGAAGGTCAATACGAGTGCTTAGAATAAACGAAGAGGATCCTTTCAAGTTTGACAAGTTCAGCTATGAATCCATTAGGGCCAATGAACGACCTGATTTGAAGATTCTGCCTACCGCGATACAATTTGAGCCCAAGTACGGTGGCCTCCTTCTAGCTGGATTCGGTGCTAATCTGAAAGAAACTGGTTTTGACACTACTGGAGATCTTTGCTTGTGGGACATCCGGGCCGAAAGCGCACTCCCTATCTATGGATCGAGCAAAAACGTGTTTGATGTTGCATTCAACCCCAATCGTTCATGGATGCCTTACTTTGCAGCTGGATGCGTGGCTGGAGGTGGCAAAGCTAATGGAGGAATGCGTTCGTGCATCAGATTGTACGACGTCAATAATCTCAACAACAGGTTCACCTCTCCCATGGAATTCGACTGCAAGGCTTTGGACATCAATGATGTCGTTTGGTGCCCACATGACGAGCATCTTATTGCTGCTGGGTGCACGGATGGCCGAGTCTATGTTTGGGATGGTCGATGGCCAGATGACCCTCTACGCGTTGTTTCACACGGCCGGTCCTTGATGCCGTTACAAGAAGGAGTTAAACATGAAGTCACTGATACTGGCGTTAGATTCTTATCTTGGGGCGACAACGCTACAAGACTATACTCTGGATCTTCCGATGGCGTCGTCAAGGTATGGGACGTCACAAGAGCCAAGGAGGACACGTTCATCAAGGATGTCATTACCACAAACTCGGGCATCATGTCGGGCGCATTCAATGCCGACTACAGCAAGCTCATCATCGGCGAAGTCAACGGCTCAGCCAATGTGCTCGAGGTAGGCAGAGACGATGTCTCGTTCAAGGGCGCAGAGAAGCTTCGCTATTTTTCTTACCAAGACCATGAGCAAGACGAAATTCAGGACCACGAGACTGGCGAAATGACAGTGCCAGTACTGGAATCAGGCATCGCCGAGGCCCGACATCTACTCGGCACCAACCAAATGCAGCTCGCACCCATGGGCGGCTTTCCAATCCGACAGGCAGTTCAAGGACCACAATATATGGGCCCATTCAACCAGAGCGTCGATGCGCCGTTTCTGCGTCAACAAGCCCAGGAGCTTCAGCTCGATCTAGCAACAACACCTGGACTGCAGTGCGAGATCGCAGCTTGCAGAGAAGATCTGAACAAGACGACTAGCGAGGATGTAGGCGATTCAGGAAGAAGTGAAGACCGTGTGCCGGATGAACTACGTCTGCAATGGAAGACTATTGATACTACACAGATTATACCTGGTAAATCACGATGCACACACTGCAGACGGCCAGCTCGCCCGACTACCGAGTCCACTTCCAACATCCTCTGTGAGCGCTGCTCCTTTGCCTGTTTCCGCTGTAACGCGGTCAATGCTGTCGACCCTGCCACCACAACGCTGGTGTGCAGTGCTTGCGGTGGTGTCTGGGATATCGGTGTACTGGGTTATGAGTGTGTCCAGCAACCTGCATCCAAGGGTGAAGCTCTTAATGTGCCTAGTTTGAAGAAATGGGGCAAAGAAGTGGAGGCTGAGAGACTCGAAGCTTTTGACACGGATTTTGGAGATGAAATGAATGCACTGACGGAGTACTACTATTCGTTGGCGATTGATGGACCAGAGCATCAACCGTTTTGAAGGACTATTTTGAGACCAGGGCGGTTTGAGGGAAAGATTTGTTTGGTGAGGTGAGGGATGGAGCTGTATGATGATGATTTGGTGGGGCTGGTACATATTCAGCGTGTATATCTATGGAAAATGTAGCGACATAGCTCTGGTATTGCTGCTTGGATTTGTATCTAGCATGTATTGGTTCACTTTGACGGGAAATAGGAATTAATGATACCCCTTTTTGCTTACCTTTTCCCCCAAGTTAAAAATGCGAAATGCATAGCTCAAAGTTTCGAGCTCAAACTCCATCATCGAATTCATAATCTTTGTCCCATCGCTTTTATCACGTTATCAGCATGCACACTGAAGGCGGGTAATTGCACTTGCCTTATCCCACGGTTTACTTCCGTTCACGAATCGTAAATCCGTACCAACTCGAATGACGTCGTTGGGATCGTAATTCAGCGTCGAAGCGTGGATCTGCTTACCATCAGTATATCCCCCTTTTCCCATTTTCCCAATCTTTCTCGCATGCAGTGAAGTAAGTGGACTTACAGTGTAAGGTGTATGCAACACCACGTCCCCCGCCTCATAATCCGTAACCAGCCACCTCTTCCCAAACGTTTCTGCATACTCTTTCGGCCCATCAGCAAGCAAGCCATTGGACATCATATTCCGATTAAACGCATCCTTCGTCTCCTCTTCGCTCAACCCTGATTCTCGTGCTCGGCGCGTAAACTCCTCTTCTATCTCCCTCCCAAGATGATGTCCTACCTCTCGTCAGCCTCACATCGACAACCACTACTAGTATACCCATAGAAAATCATATGGAGGGCCAAACCTACCATTCTCAAGATAAATCAACCCACCCCCCGTCAGCCCAATATCCCCTATAGGCACCCAAGCAGTAACACTCGTATCCTCCCCTTTCCTCAGAAAAATCTGATCATAATGCACCCCAATCGCTTTATTCCCCGGCGTATTATTCCGGAGCAAACTGCGCCTCACCGCCAGCGTGTCCGCTCCCCACCCCGTCAATTCCGCTATAAAATCCCTCAACACGGGGTGCTTGCAGAAATCCTCTTTATACCACGGCGCATAATGGGCTTGCAGTGCTAGATCTACGAAGAGCGAGGCTGTGGCATCGGCACCGGGCTTCCCGTTGTTGGGCGTTGCGCCCGCGCCGATGCCTGGGTAGGACGAGGAGGGTTTGGAAGAGTCGAATTGGCCGAGGACGGGGGGAGTGCTGGGTTTCAAGACGCCGCTGGGGGCGAGCATGCGGAAGTAGGATTCTCGCGCGCGTAGCACGTCTGCGCGCGGGAGCAGGGCTTTGAGGAAGAGGTAGCCATCTTCTTGGTAGCGGCGGCGGAGTTCATCGAGGGGGAGGGTGGGGGAGGAGGGGTGGAGGCGGGATACTTGGGTGGGGTGGAGCAGGCCGTCATTTACGTAGAGTTGGTTTCCTTCGAGGGTTGGGGGGATGGCGTGGGGCATTGTGGTGGAGGTTTGATTGGTATTGTTGTACTACTACTTTCTATGGGGTGTAGTTGAAGAATAGTCTAGTCTTTGGGTCTATTGACGCTCTGGTCTTGATATGTATGCTCATACATGTGTAGTAGTAGTAATATGCAGTAGAGTAGTAAGCATGGGGACCCTGTGCATGAATTCCCCGCGGGGGAGCAGGCGTGTCTTCGGCCTCTATTGGCACGAAAGGGGGGTTTGTGGCGGGCAAAGTTGCTTCTTCTGGCGAAATGCACCATGTGGGGCACCCAAGCATGCCCGTTTCCCTGCGGCGAATTATTCAGGTTTTCTGACAGCAAAGCAGAGCCCAGCTTGCTGGTAATTTTACTTGCTTTGCTACTACTCTTGCTCCGCGGAGCCAAAACCCCTTCACCGTTTTTGTCCGTTTTTACTAAACCGCAGAATATGGTTGGATGCTGCATTGCTGCTGATATCGGCGCGTCCTTCTCATCTCGGAGCCTTGGAATGCAGTATCCTCGCGCGCATGTCCAGTCTTCGTAAATCTGCCCGCTCCTGTTCTATTACGGTCCCACTGCCACACGCATACCGCGTGGCCCAGAGCAAATGCCATGGTACGAAGACCCTTGGGCCGTGGTTTTCTTCTACTATCCGCTGGTACAATCGATTGACGCTCCGTATCTAGTATTCGATGCCGCTCGCGTCACTATCGATGTGAGTTTCGAGCGCTGAGGCGGGTGGCTAAAATCCGCGGTCCCTTCCCCCCCCCCCCGCCGTTGGCTAATGATCCTGCGACAGGCGACGGAAAGCAGCCGAAATGCGGAAGATGCGAACATGCCAAAAAGGAATGCGTATACGAAAGTGGTAGACGCTTCCGTCGATCTTCCATATCAGATTCCTTCAGCTCAGCCCAGCCCTGGGTTTCATTCCCACCCCGAAGTAGGAAAACAAGACTACTCATGTACCGCGACGGCTTTTTGCTAATGGAATGCGCAATAGTTCAGTTTTTGGATGAATCGCCAGAGATTCGTTCGCACTACGTTCAGAACGGCGACTCGCCTTTTAGCGGATCTTCTGTTCTGTACCAATCGCCTGGTCCTTCGGCAAGTGGCCAGGACAATAGTAATTTGACTGCAGGCTCTACTTTGTTTACACCCACAGAGGGATTGACGGTTTTGTCCTTGTTGAATTCCGAGTCGCCAGTTCAGCGGAATACTTCTGCGCCATCTATGACCCCGGATCAGCCACCTAATACGAGTGCTTATCAAAGGCACGACAATGCCAACGCTAGCACGTTTGTTTACCAGCAGCCTCCTGGTGAGCCGGTTCTATGGCCATTGGAGCATGAGCAAGAGGCCATGCTGCTTCAGCACTATATTGAAAATGTTGCCTTGTTTGTGAGTCTTTGGCCGTCAAGAAGAAGAAATTTCCTGCTCACTACCGTTAGTTTGACATGATGGATTCTAGAGATCATTTTGGTGTACACATTGTCCAGATGGCCAAACAAAACAGTACACTAATGTGTGTAATCTCGTGTACGACCCACTCTCATAAGAAGCTAACTGCTGACTTGATGCAGGAATGCTATCCTTGCCTTGTCTGCACGCCAGCTTAGCCGGATTGCCGACTTTGATCCCTACATTGCAGATGCTTACTACCAGAGATGCTTTGACACTTTGATCCCTGCATTGAATGACAACTCAACCATCAAAGAGGAGCCACTGCTTGCAGCGACTGTTATTCTACGGCTATTAGAGGAGATGAACATATCAGTTGTAGGAAGTGACCCTCAAGGTCATCTTTTTGGTACTCAAGCCATCATTCGCGCCGCTGAACAGTCATATGCTGCTACATCTGGTCCAGACTGGCGCCAAGCCATATACTGGGCCGCTTTTCGTCAGGAACTATGGATCTCACTAATGACCCAAAAAGCCTTCAAGTTACACATCTTCCCTGCAGACCGCTCACTCGAGCCCGCTACCGACTCAATGTGGGCTACGCGGACTATTGCACATCTTGGCGACGTGAGCAACTTTGTCTTTGGGGAGGACAGAAACAGCATCGCCCGTTATAATCAGCTTATGGATGAAAATAAGGCCTGGAATCAGTGCAGACCTAACAGCTTCGATCCATATTACTTTCGTCACAAAAACCCTTCGAGCGGAAACAGCTTCCCAGATATCCGCCTACATCGAAAAGAGCACGTAATGGGCATGCAGTACAATCTCCTAGCTCATACACTATTGATTGTACATGACCCTACAATACCACAGCTGGGGCCTGCACATAAGGCTTCACGTGCCGTCGTGGACAAGGCTGTACAAGAGAATGTGCGCATAATGTGCGGTGTCGCTCAATCAAATCCAAAAGTGTTTCCCTGCATATTTGTCGCCTGTTATGCGATTGCACTAGGTACGTGCTCTACTTGGAACTTGCTCACGCATGGCCCTTTTCTTGCATTTGATTCTAGAAGACTTTCTAATGTACATAGTTGGCGACCGATTCACCATACGAGAGGAGCAACAAAGCCTCCGTGATCTGTGGTACAGTTGTGAACAAACGCATGCTTTCCCTCCTACCGCGATGATTGCACAGCTTGAGGAATCTTGGGGGTGGCATAACCAGTGAAAACCGAATAGCCTAGGAACAATATTAAACTGGGCTGACGTCTCCGACCTCATCAGTGGCCACACTACGGATCGAATTCTCCCCGAACCCGCTCCTCGTAGGAGAATCAATGTATGCGTGCTTGTGAGAAAATCCAGGGTATGAGTATGGGCGGAATACTCTTGAGCCTGCAAAGAGTATGGCTCAAAAGAATGAGAAGGCCGATGCATTCATCTGATTCCGTCTTTGCCTTCCGCCTTGAGCCAAAAATACTGGCCATTCGGGTCCTGACTCGAACGCCTGTATATGATTTCTCGCTGGAGGGCTCTCTCGGTCGTATGGCTCGAAAAGCGCCATTGGACGCCTATCCTTGGACAACGTTGACATTTCTGTCACACTTGCTTGGTCCAATAGTTGCAAAATTTGATATGAGGTTGATCGCTGCCGGGGACTTGTTGCCAGGCACAGCTTGATCTTTGAATTGAGCCTGCCCGAGTAACTGTCTCCCACCGGTCTCGACTTATCCCATATCTGACCGCCAGGATTCACTCTACTCTTCGGCGACCTGGTCCCCGTACACAAGCACATCATCGTAACACCCAGCTGCCAAACATCCGACGCTCCCCCGAAGAACGGATACTCTGGTGCATCGAACCCCGGCGTCCCTACTTGCTGCTTTACAGCCTGTTGTTCGCTCGACGCCTGCGCAAGATGGTCCTCGGAAACTCCGCATCCAAAATCCGCCAGCTTCACCACTATCTGTCCCCCCTCTTTAGTCAACAGCACATTCCCTGGTTTAATATCCCGATGATAAATCCTACTCCATCCCGACTGAAAAATCTCATCATCGCTCCTCCCCGGCTCCGGTCCCCAATGACAATACGTCAGCGCACCGCACAGCTGGAAAAACCAGCTCCACACCTTGCGCTCATGGACATGTCTGCCCTTTGCGACCTGATACACTACCGCGTCCAGACTCCCCAGATCGCATTATTCGAGGTATATGGCCGCCTGTAGCGCTCCTTCGTTGAGGAAATGATCCACCATCGTGACGACGTTCATATGATCGCTTACTTGGTGCAGCAGCTGGATTTCGCGATGGGCCACTTTATACCTGAATTCTTGGGCGCCAAATCGTTTTTCGATGAAGACCATGCCCCGTGCAGAGGAATTGCTGCAGGATACTTTTGCTATACCCGCATTCAGACCGCCGTTGAGTTTGCCGAGGTTTTTGAGGAGGTGCCAGGATTGTCTAGGGTTCGGGCGGTATTGGATGCGGAGGCGCTTACAGTGCTCGACCATTGTTTTGGATGGTGGGTTCTTGGAGAGTTCATGTGAAGATTGGTGGGTGATGGATGGATGTGCGGATGGGTCTTTTAACGTGCGGCAGGGAAGGAGCTGTCGGACTGGGTCATATGGGGAGTCGTATACTTCACAGATGGATGTAGTCAATGGGGTGGTGGTGGCATCACGCATCTTATTTCACATATTTCTCATTCTCTTTCATGCATTCTAATCACGCACGCACACTTCTCTTTTTCTCCTCTACCCGGATATTCACGGATTTCGATGCACAGGATGTCTAGTTAAGGGAAGGACCTCTAAGGTGAGGGGTCGTGTAGATACTACTCCGCTAGCTAAGAAGCATCACTTGTCCTTATTACATATATGCCGATGCACATATGGACCACTTCTCATATACTTCAGCAACTATCACAATCAAACTAAACACTAAGCAGGTGTTATACCAAATTCCAACCTCCTAGGCAACATTGCCCACTGCACTAAACTTACTATGCACAAAGTAGAAGGAAGAGACAAAGCTCTTTATCAGAATATTTTCCGCAATGAAAATGTCACTATTTGCATAACGGTCGGAAATAGATGATTAATCGCGTGTGTGTATATTAACTGGTACGGACGTATCTAAACGTAGCCAGATATAGGAACTTGCAGGGGAATTTAGTTGGTAGTAGTTCAATCGATGAGAAAAACATTAAGAAAAGCTTCTTCGGCACTAGAAATCGAAACTTCATTCCTATGGGTCTTGAAGATTGAAAGGGAATTGGGGGTTTTGATACTTGAATGCTCTCTAAGAACCATGTATTTCTTTTAATTTTTTTTAGGGGAGATGGATGTATAATTTTATAAGTTCCATGCCTTGATTCTACCTTCTTAACTAAATCATCCTTGTGTTTAGGTCTTGGTCTTCACCATCTTAGTCGTTTTCCATACCCTCTCCTATCCTCTCTTCCCATCCTCCCCTATCCCCCTCTCACCCCTACGCCCCCTACGCCCCACTCACCTCTCCCTGCGCCTCCCAGGCCCCCTGCGATCATATGGCTCAAACCTCCCATACCTTCCACCACCCGTATACGTCCAGTCCCGTGACGTAACGCTGAGAACATGGTTATAGCGTGTTTTGCCGCTGACGCTGCCGGGGGTGTGGGAGTACGTGCGGTTGAGGAAGAAGCCGCTGTTGGAGGGGCAGTGGTCGCTTGGGAACATTGTTGGGGGGTCTATGAGAAGGTTGGATTGCGTGATGTATGGTTTGCTGAGGTGTAGTGACTTGATTGTTGGTAGAGGAAGGGGAGGGCGGATTGGAGTGTGTTTTATAGGGGAGTCTGGGAAAATAGATGGAGTACAGTGGGAGAGGGAGTGAAGTGGTTGGTGGTGATGTGCGTAGTGCCATCATTCTGTGTGAATTTGTGGCAGAAGAGATTAATGGGGGGTCAGATGATGGAAGGGAAGGCAGTGACATTGACAGTGTACAGGATGTTGGGAATGATTCGATTCGAGAGTAGCTTAATTTCAAAAGCTTTATCCAAGATGTTGTATACCAAATACTGTCGATTGACATATGTTATTTGCTGCTGTAGTGTGATTTTGCCTAGTAAACTTCAATCAACGTCCTTTTAGGTCTCTTCGGAATGTTCACAGGTTCTGAATCACTTTTCTGGCTAAAAAAAATTCACTAGCCCAATTGGTCAATTCTAAATGAAATCCCTGCTCACGTTACACGTTAGTCGACTGTGCTGTTCCTTTCCAGGTGTCCTTAGCTGAATGATCCATGAGATAATGAGCGAAGTACGCCACCCCCTTGAAGAAGCCATGTGGCAAGAAAGTCAATCTTGAAGAACCTGTCCGGCGATCGAGATATTATATCTGCTGGCCACGGGCGCAATGCGGACACACTGGGGAATAAGACCGGAAGTAGTTTTCCGTTTAAAATTGCGCAACCAGTTAGCTAAGCAAGTAAGTAGAAAGGTATTCACGGGAGTGTCACGGAAAGAACAGACCGAACCCGCCTGCATAAAGCACTGGCGTAGTTCATCCAGCAACTCGTCCGCCCATATGACTCTTTGTTGGACATAGAGCCTTGCTAGTATGCAGTGGCACTCTTCTCACATAATTCAAACATGCCTAGTTCATATTTCCTTGTTCTTTGGGGGGCTGAGAAAAAGGAGTTCGTGCGGAGTTTGCAAACCCGAAAGACCTATAATAAGCCATAACACCTAGCGGCATGCTGGGTCTGTCGTGACTATAACGAACACTCAGATATCTATTGTAGAGTCTGTAGAAATGGCAGCGTCGGGCAGGCCGTGCACGCTTTTAGTGGCTTGTTTTCCTCGCCGCGTCCTGTGCGAGCTGATGCGCCCCTGAGATGTCACTGGTGGTTGTTTGTGTGTATGAAAGTACAAACTCTAACGCCACAAGTCTAGACCTGTACCCATGGTTCATTGTCTCCGTGAGATGGGCGATGAAGGACACAACTGTCCCGTTATTTTGGATGAGCTTACTATGCTTTGCACAAAGTCTGGCCAAGCGGATGAGTTACAGCGATGTGTTTTTTGGTTTGGCGAGGACGATAGGAACTTTCCGTATTGTGGGGTAGCAGATAGGTACTAGCGGGTACGGGAAAACTGATCGGTCAAGATGACAAGACCCGATCTTTGGGCCCTAATAGGAGAAGCCCCGCAAATCAAAAGCTCTGCGAAGCTGTAATAAAGGAGGGAAGTGATGCGTCCTGTTAGTAAGGGCCAAACTCCAGGGCCAAACTCCAACGCCAAACCATTTATCTATTAAAGCAGACATGCCTGACTTGAGCAGTTTTCATGCTAGCATTACAATGCGATGCGCTAAGCCAGTGGTACAAAACTCACGTGACCGTTTTACATTGAGCCGAAAGTTTGATAGTAGATACGATGACGCCTGGCTGATTTGAGATTGGAGACAATTGATAATGACGCCGATTGAGATGTCAGAGGCTTAGGCCATACGTATGCCGTCAGCAGCCAGCAGCCAAGGCACCGATGGAGACGGCAGTGAGCATGAAGAGAAAAGCGAATAGTTTTCGATTCGGATGGCACTAGAGTATCAAGCCATGGTGCGTCGAGATGATGCTTGCGGCCGGGGCAACGACAGGTCATGCAGCCAGGACCTCGGCTAGTTACCACGTTGTGGTTTAGGGCGCATGCATCTAAATTTAGCTGAGGCAGTGCATGCGCTGCATCTTTCATCTCATCATGGGTGGCCGCCTTTTTTGCCGTTACCGTTGCTATTGCCACTGCCACTCGCACGAGCTGTTGCATTCCTAGAGTAGTAGGATTTTTGCCGCTTGCGCGCACCCCGCCCGGCGCGTCCAACTTTTATGCGCGGAGGACTCAGGTGGCCGGCTGGCTGCATTGAGGTTGGGTAGCATGGGCCATGTTAAGCCTCACCGCTTGCACCTTCGCTACACTTTATGTCGCCGCCAAACGGCGCATTATCAGGGCTGCTTTTTTGTGCCGTATTCGTGCTGAGTGTGATAAGCGTCGTGTGAGCCTTGGCCTGAAGGATTAGGCCAGCAAGCCGCCTCAAAATCCCTTCGACTCTCCAAGTCCCTGTCCCTTTCCGTCAACACCATTCTTTCAGCTGGGGTCTATCCCCGCATCTATCTTGTTGCTATCATCATGACATGCGTTTGGACAGGTGGTTTCTGGATTCTGCGCTAATATTACTCTCTTTCCGTACCTACACATAGCTACATACATAGCAATTCACCACTCTCTGTCCTGCCCCTGCGCGCTGCGTCGGCTACTATCCTTGGCTACGCCACACTTGCCGCTTCACCCATATACTTCGCTATCGTCCCGTCTGGTAATACTATACATCCGCTTCGTTGGAAGCATACTAAGAAGACTTGGGCCTGTCAGACTGCAACTCGGCTACCGGTATTAATCTCTGGGTTTGCCCGAATACTACATGTTGCAGTAGCGCTCCACCATTGCACTGCACCTAACCACCACTTTAAAACCATCGTCCTGGGCCCAGCCTACCTACCCCTGGGCCCAGCCCTGGATTCATCTGCATGCGACACAGCTTCCTTTAGCATGCCACCACCGCCCACCTGCTGACGATCCCCATGACAGTCTCCAGCTATAAGCCCCAGAATCTGTCGTCTACGCCAAAGTCAGTCGCGCCGGCTGACCTGTTTCTTCTGCGCGTTGATCTCGCCTCAACACAGTACCAACAAAGGCTCATGGCGCACGACAATCACAGACCCAGTCCTTTGCGGCCTGCTAACGAGCTTTGGTACAACATTCCGGCTTCTGCGAGCCGACATCAAGAAGAGGAAGAAGACGGGCCAGAGCTATCTGCATACCAAGCCACGGCACACCGATTTAGCTCGTATTCTTCTCACCCAACCACGCCGTTGCGATCGCCGCCAATCATAAACTCAGATCTCAACAAACCACTACCACCCTCGCCCTCAAATTCCGAAAGGAAACCAAGCAAATACTCGACATTGTTCGGCCTTCTCCGTCGCGAGCCTCCCCGCCAACTAGACTCGACACTTCTGCAACCAGAACCCTACCAGTCGAACCAACGGCATTCCACAGATTTGAGTGTGGAAACGCATGTCCGTTACTCGCACATCCATTCTCGCAGTATGCCTAATTCACCTCGTGGTTTTATTCAGTCGTCCTGCAGCAGCGCAGAACATCTGCCCCAGACTCAATTTCCAGCTACGGATTTCTCAGAGACCTTCCATTACCAGCCGTATTCGACACCGCCACAGAATCCGTCATCACTATCTCAGCAGCGACGTACGGTCTCTTCCGATGCCCACCTCGAAATGATATCGCCCCGAACTCGCACCTTTCCTGACCCAACCCTCAACTCGACACCACGTGATACAGCACCCAGTAGACCACGACCACATACGACTTGCCTTTCGCCTACGGAGCCTTTTACGGATATGTCACAATTTCACCTCTTTGCAGAAGCAATGACTGGCCTGCCGAGCGACACCGAACCCTTCTCTCCCAGTGCACCACCACAGCTCCGAGGTTCACTTTTCGCTCGTCGGAGTACTAACGACAGCATTCCCCTGCCCTTGCAGCACCCTCAGGAATCATGCGCCCCGCCAATGCGACGGCCCCAGCGAGAACAAAGAGATGACTGGCAGAACTTTGAACCCCTACCACTCATTTCGTCACTAGCAGCGCCTGCGCTCAATGATCCACAGCCTTCACTTGATATGTTTGTGGACTCGTATCAGCCATGGCAACCACCTCCACAAATGGATGAAGTAAACGCGGAACTGGAATTGTTAGGACTGAACGACCCACTGCGAGGAGACGATGAATTACCCAATTACCAACAGAGCCAGGAAGAAATGGCGGAACGAAAGAGACTGGAGGCTGCAGCGAGGGCACGAGAACTGGAAGCACAATGGCGACGCACACGAAGATGACGAACAAGTACGCCCAGCGTGATAAGACATCAGATCGAAGATAATGGAAGCGCGACAATCAGCGCAGCATTACGATAATCAGTTTTCACCATTATGCTATTCAAAGCATGTGGCGTGAATTTGAAATACTAAGATTTGATCCCTTGCGGAGCTGTCAAGACCTGGTCATAGCCGTATTGTGAACACGCCTTCTTTTCACTACTTGCGGGTGTAAGAAAACCCAGCATCACCACTGGTTAATCACGGAGCACGATGGTCCTGCTATCCAGCAATACAGATATATAGCTCCTTCTCGATGCACCGGTACAAACCGATAAAGCTGCCTGGTTTCTTCGTGCATTGGCTCTGATAGCGTATACGAATCGGAAACGCAGCCGTCATCATGCGCAAACTTGCATAGTCGCTACAAGTCACACAAGTCATTGACCGGGACTCTGCATACCATCTATACGGCGACACGGACATTCTAGAATGCACTGACCCACAAAAATGAAAACTAGAATCCCTGTCATCTTTCCTTTCACATGCGACAAAGAGCCAGATATATTGACGTACACCCTGATGCAGCCTTTGTACTCTCCCTTCTTACCGCATCGGGAAATGCAGCCCCCACACCCGCACATGCTCTGCGCATGGGTATGAGTAATACCCTTAACAGGGGTCGTACGCCTCTCCGCATAGCATGCATGGTCAATCACGTTTCATTCACAGTGGGTCCGAACGCAATATATGAAGATGGCCAACGCCAATGTTTAAGCGAAGACAAGTAAGCTTCACGGGAAGCCTTAACGGAGCGGAGACTTGAGGTTGGACAAAACTCCGTCATTAGATGCTGATCTTTACAACAAGTTCCGAGGGGGAGGAGAGACCAAAAAGTTCTTTGCAACTTTGTCACTGTCTCAGAAGTTTCGAATTGCAACAGTGCGCAGATATAGAGAGAGAAAAAGCGATTAGAGCTTGAACTTGAACTCCCAGGTACTTTGGTGTCTCATTGCGAAATTCCACATTGTAAACATACATCATTATACTACTTACTCGCGACATCGGCCATATCCGCCCACGCCTTACCACATGCACGCCTAGCCGTCAAACAATCACGCAAGCGACAAGACGCACTAGGACGGGCATTAGACAAACACCCGCTAGGGCGGACATTCGACATTCCGCGGGGGAAAAAAATGAGAGTCTTTGGGGGCCAGAAGAACCACAAATTTCCGCTCTAGAGTAGTATGTACTGTAAATACCCGAAGAATAAACATGACAAAACAGCCGGTCCTAGTCTCAAATCCACAAATATCCCCCCTTGCGTGAGTGAACAAGCGTGACAATAGTAGTCCCCGCCCCCCACATACTTGCTCACACCGTTACAAACATCCCTCGGCGTCCGTAGCTGCCGAATCCGCGAAACGATGATCGGCTGAAATGTGGTAGTTGCGTAACTAAGAAAGGTAACGTTACACGACTCCGGGTAACGGTGTGTGAGTGTAGTGTGTCAAAAAACGTGTTGTGGGGTTCTGTGGCATGGGGCCGCGTACTAGGAGTGAGCTGGATAGATGGATGGATGTGTGGAGATGGGGGATGTGGGCGAGGCTATGCAAGCTGCACGCCTCATGCATATGCGGCCCGGGGACACGTGAATAGCTGTCGTTTTGAAAATAGAAAAGGGTGCATGGCGGAGATGAAGTGGAGGTGAAGATAAGGGGGTGAGAAGGACTTGAGCGACTGATGATCGTTTCTTGGATGCGTTTTGTTGGATGGCTAGTGAGTGGTACCAAGTGATAGGATATGAGGTTGTGATAGGTGGTGGCGAGGCCGGGAGGGGGGCGTGGAGTGCCTGGGCATTGGTTGCCCTGATTATCGTTAGGGGAAGTCGGCATGCTACATGCCTTTTTCAGGTACGCTTTGACTGATGGCATCAGATGTGCGAGCTTCCTTTTGCAGTTCGGTGACGACTTGGCTCTTGTTTTGTTGATCACGCTATCCGACAGTACAGGAGGGCGAGAGCGCGGATCTGGCTATTGTCATCCACCTTATCGTTTCGAAGACAGAGTGCTATACCTAAGAGCCGAAATAGGAATACTTCTACATCACCTGTCCAGGTGGCCATCAAGACTATGTATCCCCTCCAATAATAGTATTCAAAAAACTTCCACTCTTCAATTAAGATTTAACCCGACATACCGAACACTGAGTCACAGTATACGTCACATTACCTTCACAACCTTTCATAAGTGGATCAAGGAAATGAATTAATTTCGTCCGCTGCTGAACCCCAAAAACAAACCCCCAGCCAGGCACCCGATGCCAAGTCCTCACACGTGACATCATCCAAGGCACTCCTCGTCCAAGCCCTCCGTCGTCGTACAACGATCTAAACAAACACGTGAATAATTAGTTCTCCGCGTGATGTACACGAGCTTTTCTACTTCCATCAAGTGAAACGCCATGCAGCCTATCGCTACCAAACACAACTTCAGCTACACTTACCCATTATGGATAATATCAAGAAGCTCGTTCTATTTCTCGCACCAATTTGGTCGACTATGCTACTGCGTTTAATTCAACACTTGAGCCATCATTCTTAATTCTAGGCTAATCACGACCATGTGTAGCAAGGTATGTAGTACTACTAGTAGTACTCTTATTATTGACTTCTAAGAGATTTCTTATTTTCCAAACCACTAAGTCTACTTATAGTTAAATAGAATTAGACTGTTACGACTGATTTATGGCCTAGGGACTATAGTAGCATTAATAAAGCCTCGTAGGCTATAACATATTATATACCTAATCACAATAACTGTCACGGTGCTAGCTAACATGGCAGCGGGTCGGTAGTTTCCAGGTGTGGGAAGCTAGAATTCCCTGGAGGGCTGTTAGGGCCACGGACCAGCTAGGTAGCTGGTGCGCGGCCGGTCTGATAAGCTGCTGACAGAATCCAGGTGTAAACACCTGGATTCTGCAAAGCCGCTGCAGCGTCGCCAGTGTAGCTCTTTGAGCCACGTCCTGTCTACTACTCTATACTACCTCTAGTGAGAGCCTGTCTGATCAGTCTTTAACAATAGAATCTGTACACGTATCTATCCTTCCTGTCTGTGAGCCAGTACCGTGACAATAACACGCCTATTAACTAGATCTCGAAAGGAAGCATTACATTAACACTTTACTTTCTATTTACAGTAACCCTTGTTAGATAGATTTCAAGTATATACAGATATCTCTGGCCAAAACTTAGTTTTTGAAAGTGCAACTAGTGCGCACGGGTGACCCATATGCTGTCGAAGCCGTGCTGCAAAGCCAGAAGGTGCCGTTAGGTGCCATAGCATAGTAAGCACCACCAACTCCGTTAGGTAAACCAGTCTACAGATCTCCATATTAGCATTACAGTTTAGATAAGAGGTTAGCTATTGCACTCTAAAGAGAAAATTACAGTCCAGAGAGGAATGCCACGGAAATTTGATCCGTTGCAGTACGACGTAGCAAGGTTGGGGGCACTAGTCTCACGCGGTGGTCCACTCCTATCAGCGGTAAGAAGCGCATTGGCAATGACTGCTTTGGTGAGGCGATGACCGCCGTTTGCCGGGCAATCAAGGATATTGGGGAGGTTAAGGAAGTTGCAGAACGGATTGCACGCCTTCTGTCTGGCCTCGACTTTGGGGAAAGCGGCCGCAGGGACGGCGGTGGCGCCGAGGGCGAGAGCAATGAAGGAGCTGGCGTGCATGTTAAGGGTTTATGTTGGTTCGAGATTTATTTTAATCTAGTCGTTCTTGATGTCGAGGTGGAGAGTGAATTCTAGGGAGAATCCTCTATTTCTTATATGGTAAGTGAGTTGCTGTCCATCATCATCAAAGGCCCGACGAGTTACTCCGTCGAGCCGCCTAGATAACGGCGTGAAATACTATATACACCATGTTAGACGTACTACATACTTACTGGCTAGGTACTAATCGCAGGCCTGTGTCGTGCCTGCGCTAGGATGTTCTGAACGCATAAGGAAGCGCTGGGTACGACGGTTCCCGATTCCAGTTACTTATTTCTACTAATTTATCCTGATCCCTCCACCGTGGTAATTTATTCTTAATATTAAACGGCCTGAGCAATATATCTACCCCAGCGCTAGCCACAGCGTGATGTGTTACTCTCTATTATACATTTAATCATTCCTGTATTACAACTAAGTCTCTTGTGCTTCACACCACCTTCCCCTTCTAGCCCTCTATCTCTCTCTTTGCACTAAAAAAAAACTCGCATTAAATAGCTTCTTAATTACTACGTTATTTACACCCCCCTTCCTCTCTATCTCTCTCATACTCAATCCCAGCCTTATGATATGCATAGCACATGCCATCCCCGCCCTTTTCCAGCGCAAATGATAATCCCAGACTACACCCATACTCCACCTCCCGTATTCCCACTCCCAATTATGACTATAATGTGACTACAGAAAAGCCAAGTAATCACTTGAAAGAAACGCACACTCTAAAATACCAAGGTAAGCGCTTTTTCGGTGCTATTACTAATTTACGTGTTCTAGAAGAACAAGGGGAAGAGCTAAGGAGGCCAAGTTACGGGCTAACGATAGTGTAAACGTGTAAGCTGATTAAAACAGTTTATGAGCGTTACATAGATATACAGAGTATTTATGCAGTAGAGATAGATTTGTAAATGAAAGGCGCGGGCGTGGAAGATAATAGTACGTGACTTAAGGAAAAAGGAAGAGTACGCAGGGGTATTTTTTTACACCGCATTATTATAGGCTCGTGCGATTAGGAGTGTTACTAATATTTTTAAGAATAGATAGTGAACGGATGTAGGGAGTGCAGCTACCGCGAATCCTACTATGGCGGATACGAGTATCTTCACCTTCGTTCTTTCTATTACGTCGTACTAGTAGTCTCGAGAGTAATGCACGGCAAAGGAAATGAATTAAACTTAAATAGAAAGGATTGCTTAAAGTTTTACTATACACTGAAGTTCCGACCTTATACTCCTTAAGCCAGACTACAATTCCTATACTGTAATGGGCGGGCTTTTAGGGCCTAACGTACAACTACCTACGTCGACCATTTTGCCAAAAAGGCAGTAACAAGACTTCAAGCTTGTCTTGAAGTCAAGGTAGTTGCGTAGATATACTCGATTTGCTTAGCCTAGCTAAGCCACATATATGGGCGTAGCCCCTTACAATACTAGTATAGCTATAAGAGTTAAAAGAATAGGTAAATAATAGAAAGCTGAAGGAATTACACACTAGCTAAATTACTATATTACGGTTTAGTTACTCTATTAATAGACGGTATAGCGTAGTATAATTAACATAATATATAGAACCTCTAGTATAATAAAGTATTTTGTTTATTGTGGTAAGGAGGGTCTCCACTTTGGGATAGTACATCTAAGGATAGCGTATTAGATTTCCATAGGATATTATACATGCTATTCTGCTTAATGGCTACTTTCAGCTTCACTAGAATATATCGGTAGCCTTTGTACTGCTCTAGTGAATTTAATTCAGTTTCATAGAAGTTGAGGCAGAAAGATCTACACATCCTCTAGATATAAAACCAAGAATAGAAGTGCGGATTTGGCTTGCTGGATCAGTTGCAGATACATTTTCGATACAGCAACCACTATTTTGGTTCCTAGACGGAGAGAGCCTTTTTTCTTAGGAGATTGTATAAGGCCGTAACGAAGAATGTAGCAATGTAGAGAAATACGACACGTTAGGTGGTGGTGGGGAAAAATATGTGACTTTTACTTATCAAATATGCTCGCAAACTTTTGAACTCAGTGCGAAAATGGGACTAGAATAGATCCTGGGTTTGACCCGCTTACATGACCTGTAGAGGGCTTACATATAGACGTTGAACGAACGGATTGATCATTCAATCTACTTGTACGTATCTCGTTACCCCAAACTCTGAGTATGGTCTAGTGCTATGTACGACCAGCCCATCAATCCTTTTTAGCAAAGGAGAAGATCTGGCGGAACTGATCATATGGAACTGGTACGGCATCTGGCTGCGCGTTCCACTCGGCGTACTTTTCAACCATCTTTGCCTCGTTACTGTTGAGCTGATCGGTGGGAATGGGAAACTCGATGACGCCGTGACCGGTAGTCAGACGTGCAAACAACTCCACGTGACCAGAATAAGTCTTCTTCGATCCATTGACCGTCATAAAACCGGCTGAATCGGACGAAGTTGGCGTGATACCGTCCTTCTCCATATCTGTGGACAATGCCGTTGCAGGGACAGGAGCTGTTCTCTCCAAACCCATCTTCAATAGATCTGGTTTCGGGGTTTTGGCCGTACGCTTGCGAGTACTAGGCTCCGCTGACGAGCGCGCGCCTTTCTTCTTTGATTTGCGGGCAGGTGTAGAGGTGTTCTTTTGAATAGTAGCCATGTCTTTCTCCTCAATGCCTCTGATAGTCTTGTCTTCCACTGCAGTCATACTTTCGTTGCTCGGAGAAGTTCCTCCTGTTAATTCTTTCTCCAAAAGCTCCAAGTCTTTTTTGTCATGCTCGGACGTTGGCTCGTCGGCCTTCGAAGTATCCAAGTTGGCTGCAGCAGACTGTCTAGCACTTCGACGTGTCGTCATCTGGGGTAATGAATCTGCCTCATGTTCTCCATAAACTAGTGGCAAATTGTTTCCCTGAGCACCTTGAAGGTTTTCACGTTGTTCCGACTTCCGTGGGCGACCCACAATGCCGCCATATCTACCGCGTTTGCGCTCCCCTTCTTGGACAACCGGCTCGCTTTTCCTCTTGATGGCTCTACGGGAATTAGGCGGTAGACGATCCAAATTTGAAAGCACCGGATCAGCTTCAGCTGCAAGAAGATATGCAGGTGTAGATTCTGTCAAGGAGGTCACTTGGTTCTCGGTCCCATCTTTGGTATCAAGGACCCCGAGCGTAGCAGGCGCATCGTCCTCTAAATCACATGTCAGCGAAAATAAATTAGTAAATTCTTCCTTCACATACTGTTCTGTTCCTCTATCTTTTGGTCAGGAGGTGGCGTCGAAAGTGTCTGCACTTCAACGAAGACACCCACGTCTCCCGTTGACAGCTCCTCGGGTTTATCAGACGATTCATCCATCGTCATCGCATGATCTAGGTTGTGTAAGTACTTTTTATAATCAAACGTAGCTCTTGTATCTGGTCGACCGAATCGCGCAAAGCGCGGCATTGACTGCGCATCGGTGACAGAAGCGGGAATAGAAACTTACTTTGGTCAGATGACTTCAAACTTGGTCTACCGCCCTTTCCTCTGGGTTTCTTGATTTTCTTCAGGCTCGACAAATCGTCGTCTCTGGATAAATATCGGCCATTCGGTCCACGGACCTTGCCACCGCCAGCATCTCGAACGGGGTCCGTCTTGGAGTCATCATCGTTAAGCTTAGAATGACTTGATGGACTGGTAGACGGGGTCTCTATCTTGACATCGTCAACTGCAGCTTGATCCATGCCGTTCTCTGCATCGCGCATCCGTTCGATTGAGGTTGCTGCAGGCTGCGGCAGTTCAGGTTCGATCATTTCCCGGCTGTTGGTGTCTGTAGTGGTGTCTGCGAATGTCATGTTAATTGAAGAGCCAATTACAAGGGTATTAGTGTGATGAGACATTGTTGGCGATGACCATGAGAAGTTAGGTGCGGGGCGCAGTGAAGTGGGCATGGCTCTATGATGAAAACCGACATACCTGTACACGTGGACATTTCCTGTGCCAGATTCTTGGAATGAACTGAGATCTTCTCACGTGCCTGCTGCTGAGCAGGAGTTGCTGGTAGATTGAACGGGAGAAGAGCTGAATTTCGTTGCGCTGGACAAGTTTCCTGTTGTCTACAAAGCTGGTGGCGGCTTGGCTTTACCGAAGCAAACGGCACCTGAAGTCCTGGGGCTGAAGAAGCTACAGTTACTTTAAGCTATTCAAAATAGCTTCCAATTCACTCGACTTACTATTGGATACGGACGAAGCGTCCAGCTGCTCAACTGCAGTCGAGGCCTTCTGCATTTTTTCAATCGGATACAATACTCCCGGAGCGGCTTCACCGCGTGCGTTGTTTCGAACTGTGGCTGAAGACATCTCCTTGAAGTTTCTGTCAAAGAACGGCCACTTGTCTTGAGCCTTGTTAGTAAGTGATCGCACTCGGCGATATGCCCGATCCAACTGAGCAAAGCCCTGGGCTGTACGAATAGTCGCTGTAGGTTGGTCTTTTTCAACACCGTATAAATAGTTCTCCTGGATCCATGCCGCAAGGTCGATGTCGTCCTGTGCCTCACTCTCCCGGAGGTACCGATGAATGTCTGCCAAGGTTACCACATCAATGTAACCGAAAACCTCTTCGGGGAGTAGTGTGGTAGGTGTGCTGTGAGCTGTAGGACTGTAGGGGGTGTTTGTGTTGGGCATCATAGTCGCGGACGCCAGTCCAAAGTGGATTACTTGAATTGGTACTGTGAGGCAGTGGTACTGGTAGAGATCATGCCACAGTCTACTGTGTACTTGTATAAATATGATACCAGTATATGAATCTCAGTAGGAGAATTGGCGTATGTATTTGGGTTTTGCTACTGTTGCGCAACCAAGAAGTGTGGGCGGTGAGGATTTTTGACCGGGCTGTGGCCGGAGTGGAACGGCAATCAAAATGACTGTACAGCACCGACTGTTGGTAATTCTTGCAGTCGAAGCCGTCTAATAAGAAGATAAATAGTATAGCCCTTTGTAATATGTTGAAGTTTTTGGTCGAATGAGGGTATTGATCGAAATGTGGGGGGTGAGAGGGCCGGTTAGGGTTAGCCCGTGCTCGTTCCAGAAATTCCGTAGCCTTCGAGGACACTTCAGAACGGCTATAACGTCATCATGTGACAACACACTTGCCACCAGCAATCCAGTGATTTTAGAGGAGGCTTATGAACACTGGGCTTTGGAGATGTTTTGAAAATCTACCGGGAATCAGAGTTGTTACTCATGCGGAGTCCGAGCGTTCCAATTGAGCTGTGGGGCGGTTGGAGACCCGGTCGTATTCCGCGACTGACCACTTGCATACAGACTGCCGGGTAAGCAGTGAGATAAACAATGGATTTTTACCTATTCATAGAGACTGTCGGCAAGGGTAAGGATTTGTTAGCCTTTACCAGATGCTGTAACAAGCTCTGGGCATTTTGCCAGTAGTAGCTCGCATGGAAGTGAAGACCTAGTCGACGATCTCGCATTACCAGCTCTTCTCAATCTTCCATGATTAGCATGGGCTTATACAAGAACGGCAAATTATCAAATGCGTAATCAGTGCTGTAACAGTAACTTCACACTTGGTCTTCTGTAGATTAGTTTGGATTGGGCCTTTTCATCCATACCCGCTCGATAAATCTATTGCACAATATATATCTGAATATTTGTTTGATTATATGAGCATTTTAAGAGAAAAACATCAAGTCATGCTGTTGACATGTAAGAAGGGTATGAAGACTACAGCAGCCATCTGCGTTAAATAAGGAGCAACATCCGAACTCTTCTTTTGTCATGGCCCAAAGAAGAGCAGACAGCAAAGATGACAGCAATTCTACCATCATTAGTTTTCAGTATTGTCTAGCCCACAAATATCCTAAATATTCTGTCCCTAGCTCATTGCGTCCTCAACCGTCATCCTCGCCTCAAATCTCTCTGCATATGCCACACTATAGCGATTCAACATGATCCTCGCTACATGTGCCATTGCCGGCCATGCTGTTTCATCAACATGAATACCTCGTGGTAGTGCGTCGAGAATAGAGCTACGGATCTCATCATCGCTTGCAGAGAGAGGATCAAGCTCGTCAGGGTGAATCAGCAAGCGTTCGAATAAAACACCAATTTGGTACCAGAGATCGCGCACCAGGCGACGACAGCCGTTGGGTGTTACGTAACCATCTACTGCAATGATCTCGCCGCTGAGACACAGTAGATAACTCATACTCCGACTCCTTCCACGGAAGACTTCGCTTTTTCTCGCATTGCTAAACCTGGTGCTGTTTCGTTGGGTTGAAGCTTCACCAACTGGAGGTGACGGCCCAGTTTCGTCTTTCTCGGTATACGTATATGAGGCGAAGAGCTGGTTTCTATCCAAACATATATTAATGCCCTTAGTAAACCACGAATGTATACATTGTTTTCCGAAGATGTGACCGCAGGGTTGGAGAAGGGTGGGGAGGTGATTTTCGTCATATTCTTCTTTGCATATCGGGCAGTAGTTGTCTGCTGAGCATGGGGCGACAGATATCACAAGGTCTTTGACAAAGACATCGTGGGATGGTAAGCTGGGTCGAGAAGGCATGATGGCGGAATTTATTGGTGTGAAAGTGAAGGTCGTGAACAGATGAATGTAGGAGTGACATAAGATCGTTAGCAAATGTTATAGTAATGGCTATGCACGACATGAGACAAATATGAGTTCAAAAACATTCGTCTGTGAGACAGTGATCGTCAAGCTGGTTTGATGTTGTTATACACGGTTGTCAAACAGTCGGCATATGTGATGTGTGAAGCTGGATCATTTGTCGCAAATAAGCCCATACAATCAAGGAATTTGGGGAGTGCCGAATATTACACATGACTGTATTTCATTTCTATAATATGCGATGAGCTTTTTAGCACCTAAGAGATTGGGCGATGTGAATTTAGAGTAACTCCTGTTTCCAGCTTTCTAACCTTTTTAGCTAGGCTACATTCTTCCGCTAGACCTGCGCGCCGCTTCCGAATGGGACGACAATCGGAATCAAGGGTTTTGTAGAGTGTAGTATCTTCTTTGTTGAATGGAAGTGCCTTGTGCATATGTTCACACTTTCCAATCTGGCTCCTCGGGTGATCGTGGAAGCACGCCAGAGGACTTCGTATGTTTTGTGGTGCACGAACCGGTATAGGTACATTAGGTTTCTGGAGCTGTTCAGGAGTCATGAACTGCCATAGAATCTTTGCGCATCGCACACGGCCATTACGTGTTGTTGGAGAACCCAATACAGGGTCTGGCGTTACGGCACGCCTTCCCCATTGTTCCTGTAGTTCAATTAAATCATCTATAATTTCTGGGCAATCGCTCTTAACCACCCAAGCACCAAGCTTGTTTGAAGACTGGATTTTAAAATGGGTAATGGGAGCAGTAATCGCAGCTGGCCCTCGTTTACGAACTATGTCCCATGTGTCTTTGCGAAACCACTGCGCAATATAAGACATAGAAACATCTGAGTACTCTTTGCCTCCAGCCTCTTCCGCTGTTTTCGGATCTGCCCATACTTTGCGCATGAGTAGATATGTCCCCGGCTTGGATCTATCTTGCGGATTAATTACGCAGCCAAACATGAAATGCTCCCAGCCATACCCCCACTCGGTATCTGGACAATCAGCTCGAATATATGGTTCGTCAAGGTTGCCTCGCCGCAGCACACCGACAGCATGGACTACCTCATGTACTAGCGTGGTGGCAAAGAGGAAGTCGTGACGAAACTGCGCACATGGAGACGCTGCGGCGTACTCACCACTGGTATAATAGCTTTTGAAGTAGTCAGCCAACTCAATCTTACAAGAACATTTTCGCTGGAATAGGGAATGACATTCTGTGCTGTGAGTTGATGGTCCATCTTCTCTCAGGGTGCGTGCATACACCCGCTTCACAGGTGACACAAAATGAAATGAAACGCTGTGACTGAGACATTCTAACGCATCGCGCACACCGGCTAGATATAGCCGATACTTTTCTCCGGACGCACTGACTAGAGGATTGGAAAGATAAGGTCTATATGCGCCATTGATGACGCCTTTGAGTTCGTGACCGTACAATAAGGGTATGAAGAAAGATAAAAGTGTATCGTGGGTAAGGAAATGCGATGCTAGCTGCAGCATCTGCTTCATCGGCTCTACACTGTCCAACTTGGAAAACACAAGATGAATAGGGTTATCCAAGTCTCCCGGGAAAACAGTAGCACTCTCTAATAGTTCGAAGCGGTCATTTTTATTACATGTTGCAATGAGTCCATTGATTCCTGAATCAGCCTTGGGGGCTTTACGCTTCGGTCGTGGTGTCGCACTCATCATTACTTTAGGATATGGAATTGAGGTTTGTGCGTCTGCATTTCGAGGTGTTCAGTTGGTATACATAATAGAAACAAGGCCATTGTTGGCTTTTGACAGCAGTATAGCGAGACAAAGCTTGATGATAGGAAAGACGACATTGGTGGTGAAAGACAGTGTAGAGAATGCAACAAAGTGAATGCCATACAATGCGTGTGTTAGCCTCAGTGGATCTCCATGATGCTATCCAGATCAGAATAACATGGAAATGTGTCTATACTGCGATATGACTGAACACAGCTTAAGCGGAGCATGCCAGTGTTCCCAAAGCTGCCACCAGAACCCTGGCCAAATGCCGTCACGTGACAGCGCGTAACCAGTGCGTCTCTACAGCCCCACAGTTGTGTTTGCTGAGCGTTTGCCCCAATTACTAGCGGATAAACTCACATTCACTTTCATTGCAGTGCCCAGATGATATTTTAGCCTTCTAATGTCCACTGCTCTGCCAAACTCGTCAACATCAAGTACATCAACAGTGGATAGCCGCTTCCATGACTACCGATCCGATGCAGTCAAGCATGAATGCAGAAAATGGAAAAGAGCAAGGCATCGGTGCGACTCTGCCTAACGAACTTCGCAATGGTATGTTTGTTCTCTCTATAGCACTCAGTGCTTCCACTAATGGCCTTGTGCAAGACGTAAAACGAGTCAGCATTAAACACGAAAGACCGGCTTCACCCTCGCTGAGTTTACCGCCAGAGGACACATCAATGAGAGAGGCTACAAGCTTCGACTCCAACAACGTCTCCCAGTCATCTCTGGGCGAGGGTAACGAACAAGACCTTGCCCATCTCGACCGAAATATTCGACGCATCATCGAACTGCAAGATCCCCAAATCCTCGAAGCTGGCGCAGTTCGAGCGATGCAAATCCTCGAAAGCTTTAAACAAACCTTTGTCAATTGCGTTACATCTAGGCTCAACGTAGAGGTGGCTTCCTGGACGGAGACTATAACAACACTGATTCCACAAGCTCAGCGAAAGCGCACTGTCATAGGTGTGGTAGGCAACACAGGAGCTGGAAAGAGCAGTGTAATCAACGCGATGCTTAATGAAGAGCGTCTCGTCCCTACCAACTGCATGCGGGCTTGCACCGCTGTTGTTACTGAGATATCTTGGAATAACAGTGACGAAGCTTCTTCCAAGTATCGTGCGGAGATTGAGTTCATCAGTCCCGAAGATTGGGAAAAGGAGCTCTCAGTGCTCATGCAAGAATTTTCGTCCGAGAACGGCACACTATCTCGCGAAGCTCAGGACCCAAATTCTGATGCTGGTGTTGCATGGGCAAAGTTTCACGCTGTGTATCCATCTGTGCTAAAGGACGCATTGCACGAGAGCACTGTACCTACTCTTATGTCGAAGAACTCCGTTAGGAGCGTTCTCGGAACCACCAAACAGATACACATGAGCCATCCAGGCAGTTTCTATGTCGAGCTCCAAAAGTATGTCGACAGTAAAGAAAAGGTGTCTAAAAAGGATAAAAGCAAGAGTAAGTCGAAGACCTCGCCACCTGAGATGGAGTACTGGCCCTTGATCAAAGTCGTCAAAATATACACCAAGAGCTCAGCGCTATCAACGGGCGCCGTCATTGTGGACCTGCCAGGCGTTCACGACAGTAATGCTGCTAGAGCTGCTGTAGCTCAGGGCTACATGAAGCAATGCACAGGCCTGTGGATTGTTGCTCCGATCAACCGCGCTGTAGACGACAAAGCTGCCAAAACTCTTCTTGGAGACTCCTTCAAGCGCCAGTTGAAGTATGATGGTGGCTTTTCCAGCGTAACATTCATTTGCTCAAAAACAGACGATATTTCCATCACTGAAGCGATTGATAGTCTTGACTTGAATAGAGAAGTCGCAGAACTCGAACAGCAAAGTGGGAGTTACGACGAACAGATCGATCAAGTTCAGTGCAGCATTAAAGAACTCAAAGAATCGCAACAAGTATACAAACTTGCGATAGAAAACCTAGCCGAGGAAATTGAGACCTGGGAGACACTTTATGAGCGAGTGCAAGACGGAGAGCTAGTGTACGCACCTATCACTCAGCCCAAGAAGCGCAAAAATACCAGCTTAGATAAAGAACCATTGAAGAGACAGGCGTTACAAGAGAACTCTAACGATGAAGTTTCCGGCTCTGATGACGAAATCTTCGACTCCGATGATGAAGTTCAGTTTCAGATTGAGCGAGTGGTACTGTCTGAGTTGGACATCAGAAACAAGCTCAAGGAACTAAGGGAGACCAAGAAGAATGCTCGACAGGAAAGCGCTAAGATACAACATGCGATTGATGACTTGAGACCTCAAGTCAGAAAGTTGCAAACCGAGAAGGGCAAGATCAGAGCAGAAATGAGCCGGATCTGCATTGCTGGACGCAATCTCTACTCCAAGTCTGCTATTCGGCAAGATTTTGCTGCAGGTATCAGGGAAATTGACCAAGAGAATGCTGCTGAAGCAGACGAGGACAGCTTTGACCCTGATGAAGAGATGCGTGATTATGAGCAAGTCGCGAAGTCCTTGCCCGTCTTCTGCGTCAGCAGCAGAGCATATCAAAAGATGTGTGGACGCATGCAGAAAGACGATAATGTACACGGTTTCACAAGTGTAGAAGAGACTGAAATCCCGCAGCTCCAGATTCATTGCCGGAAGCTCACTGAGGCTGGCCGAATCCAGACTAGCCGAACCTTCCTAACGGGTTTCCTTCAACTGTTGATCACTTTCAGGTTGTGGACGTCAGGGAGCAGCCCTGACTTGAAGTTAACTGAAAAAGATAAACAACAGCACCTGAAGTTTCTAGAGCGAAGGATGGAAGAACTGAAAACGGGCTTCGATGACAGCGTGCGTGCTTGTGTGAAGCAAGTGAGATCCGAGGTGAAGCTTCAAATCTCCGACAGGTTCCCAGAACTCGTCAATGATGCTATCGAGGCTGCGCCTGCAACAGCTGACGTCTGGGGTCAGAAGGACCAAGGAGGTCTAAGATGGGGTTCGTACAAAGCCGTAGTCCGCCGTGCGGGTGTCTACCACTCTACAGCAGCGGGGAAGCGGGACTTCAACTCGGATCTTGTCGAACCCATTATGAAGCGGCTCGCGACGGGCTGGGAGCGCACTTTCCAGAGACGCCTCCCAGAAGTACTCAACAGCCACATCGATGACCTCAACAAAGTCCTTAACAAAGCCCATAAAGCCATTGAAGCGCGTACTCAATACACTGGGGTTGGACTTGCCAACCTGTCCATTTTGAAGACACGACTCCCAATTTACAAAGATGGTTTCAAGGCATATGGTGTTGATCTTGTCGATGGGATGAAGGAAATCGGACGCGAAGCTAACCGCGACTTTACACCTTGCATTGTGGACATGATGCGTGATGCATATAACATATGCGCCGCACAGAATGGTCCGGGGTCGTTCAAGCGGATGAAGGAACATATGATAAGCCATGTTGTAGTTGCTCGACATACCATGTTTCGTAAAGCGGTTCAGAAAGTGGACGAGCATCTCGAAGCCATGTCCAAAACGCTGCAGGAACGGATGGAAGCCAAAGCCTACGAGATCTTTGGCAACGTGAATAGGGACTACACACATGCGCTTGGTAACCATCCTACTCGAGTGCTGTCTAAGGAAGAGCATGAGATGAAGTCAGCGACTCGTCAGATCTTGAGAGGTATAGATGCGCAGTTCGAGCCCATTGCTAATGGAGATCTCAGCTCAGTCTATCCAAAGGTACCTACGAATGCCCAGAGCAAAGAGCCGGCTCACGATGGTACAGAGGAGCATGGTGGTATGGATGATTCGGGACAAGAATCTTCTGAAGAGGCAGATGAAGAAACCAACAATGTCCCTGGAACCTTGTGGGAGAAGTTCAGGTCATACAACCAGGCATATGTCGAGGATGACATGGATGATGATGAGTAGGTCAGTATACTCACATCTACTTGCATCGTTCATCTGAGCGCGGGGGGGGGGGGGGGGTTTCTTCACTTTTTTCTTTTTCTTTACGACGACAATGACAGGTCATGACACTTCACGATAATCCCCCTTGGCTTTCTTGACAGGTTGTCGACCGATGTTCCTGAAGATTTCCTCACGGAACTTTGCAGGTTGGAGCATCGTTACTATTTAGTTAGTAGCGTCAGCCAGTCTTGTGGAGTACTGTTTGGGCAAATGGTGGAGATGCGAACCTTTCGGCTCCTAATCTTGATGGAAAACACGGGCAAGTTTATCCGCAGGGTGCATTGATGTTTCCCAGGCGCACGATACGCTTTGCCCACTGCATGTATCTAGCATGTCGAGATAGCAACGCCAGGCACCCACTCAATACATGAGATACAAGATTGTGGTTCTTTGGGAGAACGACATGTGCTGAGTGACGTGATGTGATGAATTGCTAACGCACACTACATATCCAAACAACCCACTCTACGCCCGAGACTGATACGCTCTAAGGCGAAGTGCTACTTTGTAAACCAAACCCATAAACGCCGTATCATGATGCCATGCTCAATATCTGTACACAGGGACTGTCTAATCATCCCACTCCTCATCCAAGTTATCTATGAGCCTATCCTCATCCTCATTGCGTCGGCCTCTACGCGTATTGTCCTGACCCAGGGAAACGCGACTGTATCCGCGACGAGCAGGCATAAAGCGAGCGCAGGAAGAAGTCAAGATGACAAACATGTCCTTTTCTCAACGTCAGCACTCCAAGAGGCCAAAGGAACATTAAACTACATCAAACAGCGATACGACCGCCCTTCCGAAAGCACCGGAGTGGACTCACCGTGAAGAAGCGCCAGATACCAGCCCACATGGCATAATTGGGCAGTTGGCGCCATCCGCGCTGGTGCATAACGGTGCGTTGGTAGACGCAGCCACCAGCGAGATAGACGAGCACGGCAATCATGACCATGACACCGAAGACGCCGCCGGGACTCAGCGCCTGCGCTTCCTGATGTACGCCGCCGCAGGCAAAGGACGAGCGGCCTTCGAAGAAGTATGCGCAGTCGTCTACTGCGGCGACAAAGGACACGGAGGTTTTGGCTAGGGGATCCGAGTCGCAGAGGAGCGAGATCACGGTTGTCTTGCGGCGTTCTTGCGTCTTTTTCTTTCCATCTTTGCCTTTGTCTTTGTCCTTGCCCTTGCCCTTGTCATCATCGTCGTCGTCGCCGTCGATGATTTCGCGCGAGTCGAGGGCGACTGGCTCGAGCGCGCGCTTAGACTTTGAGGGCGAGGAGGGGCACAGCGAGCCGCCCGTATAGTTGAGGATGAGTTTGCGACCGCGGAATATGGGTTCCGAACTCTCGAGACTGTGGGGGAGGTGTTCAGTCAGCATTGCGACTCCAAGTTTGTTACGTTTCCGCCTTAGGGAAGGGTGCGCATATAACAATTGTCCTTATCGTCTATCTTTGATGGTATCATCATTGGCGGGCAGTAGAACTTACCCAATGGCCCATTGCTTGCTGCCCTTTTCGTAGAACGCGCTGACGTTGCGCCAGAGGGCCTTGTCGAGGTCCTGGACTTCGTCGAGCTCTTCTACGACGGGCCCGCAGAAGTTGATGGTGAAGTTTGCGCCGTAGTCGTAGCCTCTGGCATGCCAGCTGCCTTCATCGCCCTCCTTCTTACTGTTCTTCTTGCCATCAGACTCCGAGGGAGCCAGACGGCGCATAGGGTTCAGGTCGAAGAAGCGCTCGGTGGTGGGCGAGATGACGGTACATGGCTTGAGCGGCTTGTCCGAGGCGGCGGCTGCAAAGGGTAACGCCGATGCTGCTATGAGCACCAGGACGTGAAGTATATGTATCATGACGGCGTTGGTGGACGCACAGCACAATCCGGCGATACTCGATGGTGACGATGAAGACTGTGATGGACTGATCGCCTACACGTCTCGTCCTTTACAACACGTTGGCTTTCGGACCTGCCACCCCATGTCGTAGTGGCTTGCACCCGCAGCATCCCTGGCACTCCGGCTGGGGCTGGGTGCAGTTAGTGCCGCCAAGACCAGCCTGTGCGCGTCATTACGGCTGCGAAGCTTCCGACCTCCTCTCCCATCGACTGATTTGTGTAGTCCTGCACTCAACTACATAAGGAGACCCTGTGTCCCCCCTCGTCTATTCACCAGGTGGCGCGTCAATCATCCACTAGAAAAGAGCCTGGGATTGTTTGTTGTTGTGATACAGAACGCGACGGACCCCTTTTCCTTTGCTTACGTTTGTTTGTTTGTTTGTTTGTTTGCGCCATCAACAGCATTGAAAGAGCCAGAGGATACAATTCGACAGCTGGGATAATGGCAAAAGCAACCGCCGACAAGGGCATCAAGAAGCTCGTCGAGGAGCCCCATGGCTATGAGTTTCTCGGACCGTACGTTCCATCTTGCTTGAAGACCCTGTCCATAATCACGCTAACCGCATTGGCAGTCCTGGAGCCTTCCTCATCTCCTTTGGTCTTCCCGTTCTAGTCTACGTCTTCACATTTTTGTGCAATGATATTTCTGGATGCCCGGCACCTGTGCTCCTCCACCCTGAGAGCTTTAGCCTTGAACAGCTAAAGAAGGAGGTCGGATGGACCGGCTTCTCGGGTCTGCTCAACACACAGGCTCTCCTTGGTACCCTTGGATACTACTTCCTGAGCTTGGTCCTGTATCGTTTCCTCCCAGGTGAAGAGTGTGAGGGCACGGAGCTCAGGTCCGGTGGTAGGCTCAAGTACAGGTTCAATGGTAAGTCATGTTCACGTGACCACAGTCTACTATGCTAATTACGAACCAGCCTTCTACTCTGCTCTCTTCATCATTACGGTCCTCGGCGCTGGAACTATCTCCCAAGGTGTCGACTTTCCGGTCTGGACTTTTATTCACGACAACTACATTGGCATTGTCACCAGCAATATCCTCATCTCCTACTTGCTGGCCATCTACGTCTATGTTGCTTCTTTCAGCGTCAAGCACCCTAAGGATCCCTCCATGCGGGAGCTTGCAGCCGGCGGCCACACTGGCAACATGCTGTACGACTGGTTCATCGGACGCGAACTGAACCCACGTATCAACCTGCCCATCTTTGGCGAAGTTGACATCAAGGCATGGTGCGAACTGCGCCCTGGAATGCTGGGATGGGTCATCATGGACCTTGCCTTTATCGTGCAACAATACCGCAACTTTGGCCGCGTCACCGACTCTATCATCCTAGTCACCGTTGCGCAAACTGTCTACACCTTTGATGCCTTATATATGGAGCCCGCCATTCTCACTACCATTGACCTCATTGCTGATGGTTTCGGCATGATGCTGTCATTTGGCGACCTTGTCTGGGTTCCCTTTACCTATTCCCTCCAGACCCGCTATCTCTCCGTCTACCCCGTCGAACTCGGCCTGAGCGGTGTAGCCGGTGTATTGGCCGTACAGGGTATTGGTTACTACATTTTCCGCGCCGTCAACAACGAGAAGAACCGCTTCAGGACCAACCCCGAAGACCCCCGCGTCAAGCACCTCAAGTACATCGAGACAGCCGCCGGCTCCAAGCTCCTCGTCAGTGGCTGGTGGGGCATGGCCCGCCACATTAACTACCTTGGCGACTGGTTCATGAGTTGGTCCTATGTCCTACCCACTGCCGTATCCGGATATGTCATCAAGAATGCGGCTCAGGACCCCGTCACCGCTGCCCAGACCGACGCCTACTTTTTCAAGAACAGCTACGGAAAGTACGTTGTACCTGGCGAGGCCAAGGGATGGGGCATGATCTTCACCTACTTCTTCATGGTCTACTTTGCCATCCTGCTCATCCATCGCGAACGTCGTGATGAGGAAAAGTGCAAGAAGAAGTACGGAAAGGATTGGGATCGCTATGTGGTGCTTGTTCCCTGGAGGATCATCCCCGGTATCTACTAAGCGATGTTCATTCCACTGAGCGGGATAATGAGATACAGGATGTAGCGCTACCGTTTCCCTTGCGGTTGAAGACGTGCATTCACTTGGAATGATGACATTTGGATGTAGCGCTACCGCTTTACTGCGGTCGAAGACGTGCATCCACCTGGGATGTAGCGCTACTGCTTCACTTGCAGTTGAAGACGTGCATCCATCCACCCGTGAAAAGTTACTGTTTTCACACTTTTTACCTTTATTACTTGTAATCTTTTTTACGTTTAGACACGCATGATGGAATGCTACCGCGCAAGCTCGGTTGAAGACATACATCTCATGTAATTTTTGAAAAGATTTGAATAAAGATATATTTTTCAAATCTACAAAAAACGCACTATTGGCGTATCGAACATTTTGAACACAGTAAAATATTGTACATGTCATGATCATGATCGTAATCGTAAGCTGAACCAGCAGCCTCAAAACACCCCTTTCCATCTTGAAGAAAAGTAAAGCCTATCCTACAGCCGCCCCCTTCCTACCCATCCTACACTTCTCATCCCACCCCTCCTGCCCCCTCTTCTTCCACCTACTACTACTCCCCTTTTCCCCATCACTCCCCTCGTCCCCCCTCCGCTTCTCAAGCGCATACTTGCGCCCCCCATACCCTCCCAACACCAGCCCCGCGGCCGTACCTAGACCGGGAAAGATGACATCCCCAATTATCGTGCCCGCGCCAGCCCCGAGAAACGTATCGCGCGTTTTATGCGACTCTTCGTGCGACTTGTAAGAGTGGGATTTGGATGGTTTGTGCCGCCGGGAGTGGTTGTGGTGGTGGTGGCGCGAGGAGGAGCGGTCGCGGTTGCGGTCGCTGTGATCGGAGTCGCAAGTGCGGTCTCGGGGCCGCGAATGTTGGGTGGTGATATGGCGCTGGGTAGGCTGTGCGTAGTGGTGATGATAGTGGTGGTGGTGATGGCGGCTAGGCGGTGGGGGAGAGTCGGAGTCGGATATTGAGCCTAGGCTTGTGCTGCGGTCTGATTCTTGGTCTTCGAAGCGGACGCGGGCGGGTTGGGAGTGGCTTCTGTAGGGTTGGAGGTGGGCGCCAAGGTAGCTGCTGTGTTGGCGTTGGAGTTGCGGTTGCGGTTGTGGGATTGGTGGTGGTGAGGCGAAGTAGCCGCCTGGTGGTGGTGTTTGGGGGTAGGGTGCCATCATTGCTTGTTGTTGCGATGGTTTTTCGGGATATGGTTGGTGGGGTGTGTAGCCATTATGCTGTTTCGGTGGTGGTAGATGAGGATGCGCAGAGTATGATGGAGGCGGCGTGTTCATGTACGGTGATGCTGGTGGTTGCTGGTATAGCGGTGGTTTTGATGAATGCGACTGGTATGCATTTGGTGGGTGACTTCCTGGAAGTTCATGGACGCATTGTGTGCCTAGATAGTAGTCTTGCGCTGCCATTTTCTGTAACGTCCTCCCAGTAAATCGTAGGTTTTATTATTACGGTCGATCCTGTCGTAAGGTGGGTAAAAGAAAATATAAACCGTACTCGAAAAACTGTAGGAAATCCAACAGACGCCTGGCGTCTTGGAAGGCCTTAGCCAAGTTATATATACCAAGCAAACCCTGAAGGTCTCGTGCATCTGTCACCAGTCATTGCTTAGTATGCTTTAGCGACGTCACTCTGATCAACAAGTCTAGTTTCAAATCTGCTTAGTACGCATATCGGTATCTTCGGAGAACTCGGCCAGCCCGTCAGTGGAAGAATGACAGGCCTGGAAGAACCATCCGGGTGCTTCCTTTTGCTGCAAATGGAAGACTTTTGACTGACGTAATGATTTCCATGAACATGTTGTCACTCAGCGAGCTTTTCTGTAGGTGGGCGACTATGTACTGGTGTTAATAAGTACACTGTCTGCAAACTATGAATGCCTTTGAAGATGACTTTATAATACCAGACGAGGCGAGCCGCGGGCTGTGCTGCACGCCAAGAACACAATGCAGACTTCCGCCCCCAATGAGCAGCCTCATCCGCGCTGCTTGCGCCACGCAGAAAGCTCGGCATTAACATCAGGATTTTGTCGCCACACCTGTTCTGACCAATGGTACGCTTAAAGATGCTTCTGCATCTGTAGGTCCATAGTCCTTACGCATGGGCACACCCTCGATTTTCTTAACCTTGTTGCCCTCCTGCCACATGATGTAGCCAGCAGCACCAGACACGCCACAGGCTAGTGCGACAAATAGTCCCGTGGCCCATGATGGCCTCTGTATACGGTCATAGTGCCACATGTAGAAGCACAGGCATATCTGAAATAATGTGTTCCAAACATTGAACCAGACAACAACGTCCATGGTCCAGCTCTTAGTCGGCGGGGCGCGCATTGCTGTCGGGGGTGGCTCTGGGATCGCCTTGACGGGGATGGGTACAGCAGGGTTCTGAGGGTCGACGCAAGTTGCATCGGCGTCATCTGGTAACTGTTCGGAGCCAGGAAGTCTAAACCACCCTCGATGTATGCCGGCTAGTCGTCGAATGCCCGTCTCAGTGCGCTTTGATCCACCAATCCTCCACCAAGCCCACCAGTACAGGTCGCGGAAGCGCCATGGAGCCAGACCAAAACCTGTAACGCAGAAGAGTGCATTGAGGATCTGCGAATCAATCTCCATCCAAACGCGCCGTGGTGAATTGATATCGTCACAGGTAGGCTTGCACATGGCCGGTGCGGCGTTGCAAAGAAGGAGGAACAACATGCCACCCCATGCAACAATATTGAGACAGTACAGTGTGATGAGGAAGCCTGCAGGGGTGAGGAACCATTTCCAGAAGCTCTTGAGACTGATGGCAAGGGTTTGTTTCCATGGAAGTTTCGGTGGCGGAATATAACCATTTGTATACTGTGTGTTGTTAGTACAATGGCAAAGAGGAATGAGACAATTGGCGTACCCGGCCTGAAGACGTTCTCTTGGGCTGTTGTGGCCTGTCGCCATCAACGTACTCGGTTGCTGTGTCGGAACTGTGCTTTGACGGTGCGTCAGGTACAGCGTTATGTTGAATGTCATGTTCTGCTACTTGACGTGTATCTTCTTCGACCAAAGCTGGAAAAGACTGGGTGCCCAACACATTGTTCGATGAACTCTTGCGTGTCGCAGTGTGCGAGGGCTCTGGCTGCTCCGATGTTGCTGTTACAGTCGTAGATGTTCGCGATCCTGACGCACGCCGACTAGCTCGGGACCCTGCTCTACTGCGTTGCGCATGTTCATTCCAGCCGTCGGAACCAAAGGAGCCTGTCCTAATGTCTGAAAGAGAGGGTGCTCTGGCTGCAGTGGTGCCAGTTGCTGCCCACATGCCTGGTGGAGGGTTTGCTTCCATTAGCTTGCCAGTGGCGCTTCGCAGTCTACTCGAGACGGTCGAGGCATTTGTTGAGGATCTGTCGCGGCCATTGGTGGTAGATGACTCTGGGACAGAATTGGACGTGACCTGGTTGCTGATACCTGGGGGCTGTGGGAATGGCACCGGCGTGGGAATGTTGCTGTTAGAGGACGCCATGTGCAAGAGAGAAGGTGGTTGGTCCACGTCCTTGGTTATGTACAGTTTGTGAATATCCCCTTACGGCTCAATGTGCCAGCCAAGGTGGTTGATGATGGATAGTGCAATGCCGCGTTGCCTTGGCGGGATCCTTGCTTTTGCTGGCTTGTCCCCTACGGCGGTGTATGACGTGTAGTGTCGAATCTGTTGGGAGGGATAACTGGCATTTTGTTATCGGGCGCCATGGCACCCTTATACTTTGGCGCGGACATTATAGACGACGGGGTGATGGAGGGGCTAGACTGCTTCGGAGGCGGCTCCTGCGCTGTCGAACCCCAGATCCACCTCCCTGCAGCATTTGAGCCACACGCTAGACGCATCCTGCAGTGGAAGGACGCGTACAGCCACTCCGCCACAATCGTAACCACTTCTGTGTTGTCGTTGTGTTTGTCTGTTGTTCACCATACGCAACCATCAGTTATCAGCAATTCGGCGTTGCGCAGCCCCTGAACTCGACTTGTCGCATGAAGACAATCTCTCCTATGTGATTGTGGAGCTTGATTTGGCGGTGAGGGTATCAGGCAGAGAAAATTCGCTACAAGACATGATGGAGTACACTCGAACATGGACATATTGTGTGAACATGAAGCTTCATTTGATGTCATTTTATATATACCGTGAATCGTTTCTCGTGTGCGACAGTGGCACGTACAAAGTGTTTAGTCTAACCCCACCACTGCCCACAGTCACAGAAGCAAGTACTTGGAAGGCAGAACAGCAGCCGTTGGAAGTTAGGTTGAACTTGGCTGCAACGTGGATGATTGCCTCGACCTCAGAATCACAATCTTGTTGTTGGCTTAGAGTGGTTTTCCGGTGAGCGACACTAAACCGTTGCTAATACGAATGTAAAGGAAAAATGCGCAATTGTGACTCGGCCCTATTATGCTCCCATACTGCTTGCTCAGATCAGTGCGAAAGCACCGGCAACAGCTGCCGCAAGCGGAGCAAGATAGGCGTTAGCATTGAGTGCCACGGCGTTGCCCGTTGCTGCGGGCAGTCCAGAGCTAGTGGGGCTTCTCGTGTTGCCTGTCTGCGACGAAGAGCTACCTGTCTGCGACGAAGAGCCGCCCGTGGAGGTTTCGGAGGCGCCAGTAGAAATGGGGGTCTCGCCGGCAGGAATGGACATGACGCCAGTGACGGTGGAGAGAGAAGGGTCAGTGATGATGGAGGCGATGGATTCTGAGATGGGCTGGGGGAAGGGGACGGGGGTGCCAAAGCTGGCATTAGGTGTACTGGAGCCTGGTCGAGTCAGTGCGTGGTACTGGTAAACATGCATGCATACTAAGTACTTAGTCAGGTTCAAGGTACTTACATGGCGAGGGCGGGCAAGGCTCCATAAAGCATTCTTCGAAGCAGGCCCATGGGTCCTCAGCCGGGACCGATGTCTGGATAGTGAAGACGCCCTCGCTGGTCGGCGTAGGGCTAGCAGAGGGCGACGTCGTGGAGGCGTCTTGTGCGACGGCGACGCTAGCCAGAAGCAGCAGGACGGTTGAGGTGGAGATGGAGGTAGATGCGAGCATGGCAGCGACTATCTCGAAGTATGATGCAGTGGAAGTTGTCTGGCTACGTCTACAGGAAAAGGGTGATGTGCATGATGCAGCGGTAGCGGCAGCGGCAGTGGGGGGTATAAGAAGGGCGCGTCTGTCGCTGCCTAGGTGAATGCCACGGCGATGGACGACGGCGGGATGCTCTCGTGAGTGGTGGGGAGGCAGTCGAGATCTTCGCTCCTTCCGCAACCGCGTAGCTTCCTCGTCACCCCAGTAGCCTGCACACCCTGCGACGCCGTGGACTGCCAATTATCCTCGACTTCGCAGCGGCGCCCAGGCCCGGACATGACGATGTCTGTTGTGCAATGCGCCATGAGAGTGGCCGTTGCGCCGGCCCCGCTACAAACGTTCGTATCAGCGTCGTCGCCGCAAGACGCTGCCACGACGCACCTTCCCAATGAGATTTCGCTCGCCCGCCAGATCATGCACAATCTCCAGCACCAGCACTACTGGACTGCCCTGTGCCTTCACACGCACTCGCCCATCACAAACGACCCTCTGTCCCGTCCTCTCGTCTCTGGCCTCCCGCCCCGCCGCCTCTACGTCCACCCCGACGAGCAGGTCGAGCTGCTCAAGAAGGCCGACCGCGAGCGAAAGGCTCGCGCACCCGGTGAGCCTGCTGCTCTTGAGGTCAAGGCCGACCCCGAGCGTGAATGGATCCTGCCCACCAGGCTCAAGGAGCAGTGGACATTGCGCAGGCTGGCCAGCGTATTTGATGCCATTGCCATCATCCCGCCACACGAGACGGATACAACAGACACGGCAAGCCCGGCCAACCCGTGGCGGACAACCAAGCGTGTGGTGCTGGCGACAGTCGACACTGATAGCACCGTCGTCTATTACATAGTGCACGATGGCGTAGTCAAGCCTCGCCAAAACTGAGCACGGTAGAAAAGAAAAGAAAAGAAAAGAAAAGAAAAGAAACTTGCATTGCCCGGCTACCCAATCCATCCCTCTGGCTGACCTGCCCAGCACCCGCCATGACTTCATGGAATCTCGCCCAAGACCGTGTCCCCTGCCTTCGGCCTCTGATAGAACCTCTCCATGTCCACCTCTGTTTCTGGCGGCAGCTGGTGCTCCTCTGCCCATTGCCGTATGGCCTTATAGTCGCGACATCGGTGCTTCGTGTTGAAGTCGACAAACGGCATTGGCTCTGGCTCGCTGTCGGGTTGCCACCACACCTGACCCAACACGCCCACATCTGGGTTGCACCTGCCCGGTTCGTCAGTCGCTGTATGGCTGATGAGTCACCCGACACTCACATGAGAACCTGTCTGATAGTGTCCAGGCAGTGCGTTGCGTGCACCCGCACAATATACTCGCTATTCACAAATGCCCCCTGCTTTTGTGCCAGATAGTAGTCGTAGTTCCAATACAACGTCTTGCGAAGGAGATCCTTTGAGCAGTCAATATCGATTCATTTGCACACAAAGTTAGCACTCACAAGACAATGCAGGTGATGCAGGCCTTCGACGTTGGCTGGGAAGCCACCACCGTACTCTTGACTAATTTTCACTTGGTCATGACGCAGCCCAGTTCGCTCCGCCTCCGCCTCGGGAACCACTACACTTCGGTCTTGGACAACAGTCAACATGAGTCACCAGTATACCAAAGACACTTACAGTTGATACCGAGTGCATCCCACGCCGCGTCAACCTCTGGCCCTGCCGACTGCCGGTAAACACTCTGATGCAGGAAGCTTCCGTTGAACAACTGCATATGCCAATTCGGCTTCACATCTCTGACGACGGGTGCTGTCAAGGTCATCAACTGCCACTGATCTTCATTCATTCAGGCTTACAGTATTGTGAGATGTGGTGAATGCAAAACTCGTCAGCATTGACGACCGAGGTCGTTTTGTTCATATGAAAAGCCATCCATAGCGTCGCGCCCACGTATACAATAGTGCACAGTACATGCACCCTTACAGCGACCCGAGTATCGCGGCTTGGACGGTACAAAGCAGAGGGTTTGAGGGGTGGCGAGCCCGAAGAAGGGACTGGCAGCAAGCCGTCGCTATCTTGGCTCTCAGAGTCCCGCCGATGCAGGCAGTCATGTTTGGGCTGACGGTTGAATACTTTCAGCATATTGGACATGGCATGGATTTTGCCTCGAGCAAGAGCTAAAGCAAAAAGAAGCAGAGTACTCTTGACAGCAGCGCGGCACACATAAGACTCAGATTATCTCCAGCAAGAGTATACACGGTCAAGCCTAACGCCGTCATGTCCCATCTGTACCCAATCACTACCAACTGTATGACATTTTTGACAACCATCGCTGTGCTACCGCTTGTCGTACACAACTGACCCTGTGGTACTGACTAATTCAAACACGTTGGCACACAGATACAAGAGGCAACGTGACCACATTGTCAACACCATCTGATCTGACTCTAGAGATGATATCACTTGGCAGGAATTATCCTAGGGCTACTTTCCACGAGTATCTCGGACCTAACCTGTCACTGTTGTACGGCGCTGTTGAACAGCCTGCATGCATGTACACCATCACCTGCATAAACTCATACTGCTTTGTTTGCGATATATTGGTCTGAGTACACTGCCCAGTTTATTCTACGACTGTCATTACAACGAGTACCACCGTCTAGGCTGGTTCTGATGCACCATTTCAGCCTTGGTACAAATGTGACAACGGGACATAATACCATTCATATCCTTAAGCCCTTGTCATACAAACAACAAGTCAAAATAAGAGCTTTCTGTTTTACATGTGCCACAGGCACACCGCTTTGAGGCCCTGGAATGCGTTATTTGAATACAATGGGTCAACTTGACGATAGCGCGGGCCCAGAACTGCACCAGGTAACATTCCTACTGCAAGTTTGCATGTCTTACAGCATGCGGCATTGGGAGCTAACTGTAGAATTGAGCCAGTGCCGCAGAGTGCTGAACGGATGGAACCTAATCCTGCATCTCGATCGCTAGTGTGCATATCTAAAATCTTGTCAATGACAAAGTAGACAAGATTGTATATAAAAGAACCATTCCCATAGCGGATTCACAGCACCATGAACTCATACCATCAGCGGTTTTGAGCAAACAGTCACTACTCAAAATTTTCAAACTCTAGTTTCCCAGGCACTCCTCACCATGCATCATGCAGCCTTCGTCGCATGCATAGCCGGCCTTGCAGTCGCCGCCCCACTGGGAAAAAGCATCTCCAACCCAGTGAAGCGCGAGACAACACAGCCTGTGGTGCAGGACTATGCTAGCTACGGCGAATACTACACAAAATACGGCGACTACCCTTCAGTTGCCGAGGCACAGTCGGCCACCATGGCTCTTTCCAAGCGGGGATACTTTTGCTACACCTCATACACGCCTTATCCCCCGGGCCTGGATGTTGAGACTCCGGAATCCAGCATGGCAGAGAAACGAGGATACGGAACATATGCACCGTACTGTGTGTACGGGGCAGCTGCCGAGGCCGAAGCCGCAAAGATGGAAGAGGTAAATATGTCCAAGCACCACATGGGCATGACTGTGCCAGAAGACATGGTCATGGATGCGGACATGATGGAGAAGCAGGATATGGCTGTTTCTGGGGGAGACGCAGCGACTGAGCATGACGTTGCTAAGGTGACTTACCAGACGTACAGGTGAGTATATCTCTTCTTTTCTCTTCTTTCGGTAAAGAGATGCGACAGCTTTTTGTTGGTTCTCCATGCTGACTACATCCCTCTCATAGTCCATACAGTGCCTACGTCAATTATCCTGGCAGAGATATGGCATAATTTTGATGCCGAGCGAAGGAGTCGGATCACGAGTTGTAGCAGTCTGACCTGGGGTATATTGTGTACAAATTGTTCGTCTCGCACTTGGCTATGTTCTGTGCCCCTGCCTTTTCTCTCCTTGCCTTACACAACACATCACCGATTGCTTATTGGTCCTCTTTTGATCCTATACCTAAATCTGCGTAGGGCTGATGAACAAGCAATGGATTGATGAGAATAAGCTTAGTCTGGGCGTCATGTTCCCTCTTACCGCACTGACTACATGACTGCCCTGGAGCATGCGTGCTCGTGCAGAAGATTATCATTGTACGCGCAATAACTGCGTACAGCTAGCTCCCATTACACTTTGTGGTGTGCTCGGATGGTGTGAGGGGAGAAAGGTTATCAGAATAGCGATTCCAATTTCACAGACCACATATATTGCGCGCGGACAAACGGATCAAACGACGCCTACAGTATTCACAAAAGAGAAGAAGAAAGAAAGAAAGGAAGAAAAAGGTAACGTTTCCCCAACGTCGCATAGCCTACCATTATCCTTACCCTCTGTTTTTTTTACAGCAACGTCAAAGTGGGGTCACAAATCCATCATACTACTGCTTATCTACTACGTACGTATGCACACCAGGTCTGTCCCAGTTGACCCCACACGATGCAAAGAAGGAAAAGGTTACACAAGCTAAACCGGTTTTCCTCTTACCCCTCTCATCCTTTTAAGACCAGGGGTGAAAGATAGATAATGACTACGCTGCTTGTTCTGTAGGGCGCCGAGATTAAGGTGGGAAAAAGGCGATAGTCATGTAGTGTTTGCACGTGGCCAGCGTGGAAGGTGCCAAGTATCGGACCGTTAGTGGTGATGGTGGTGATGGCATGCACATGTGTGAAGGGGGAAGAGAAATCGATGTGTGTTTTTTTGCCACGTGCATGCGTTGGCAAAAAGGTTAAATGACAAGTGGTCTGTCGAATCGGAAAATAAGGCAAGGGCGTTTGCGGGGAAAAGGGTAAGATTGGGTTTTATGTGGCTGACTGCTCACGTGGCCTTTATTGAGGTTCTTTGGGTTTTGGCTGAGAAGGGGGGGTGGTAGTGGTGGTGGGCGGCGGCGACGACGGGCGGGCGCTGGCACTGGGGTTGGCTCCAGTACTAGTGTAAGCCCCGCAGGAAAAAAACGAGGGCAAGCAGCAAGGCAGGGCGAAACCGGTGTGTGGGTGCATCATGGGGTCCCGCCCGTTTCTTCGACGGACTGACTTTTGTCGCAAAAGCGACCGAGTCGTGGTCTGATTTTCGTCTTGGGGAGGGGGGGAGGGGGGAATAAGGTAGACGGGCCTATCCGGTGATGCTAGAATCATTCAGCTTCTATGCGGGTTTAGGGTTCAACACGTCTGTGTCAGGCAAGGTGAAACGGGGCTTGATGACGTTCAAGGGAAACATGGGGCGTCGGATGTGACGTGCAAAGGGGATCGACTGTGCGTACGTGCGTGCATGAGAGGAGGATGCATAGAGGTGGCAGAGTAAAAGTGTCAAGAGAGTAGTAGTAATCTACTATGCAGTACATATGTACGTATGTATCGAGTGTGTAGGATCTAGTATCTACTTACTGCAGACTGACCGACCGACCGACCGACCGACCGACCGAGTAATAGGATTATCTAAAAGCGATTGCCAATGATCGTCTGGTGCGTGCGCCTAGGCAGGGGGCGGGAGGACTTGGGGTGCTTGGTGATGCCTGAGTAATCAGGTCCTGGCGAGAGCAGAGCCCATGTGGGGAAGCCAGCCCACAGCATCGCCGTCGCTTGTATCCATCCCAACCCAAACCTGCCGTCACGCCCATTCTAATCGACCAGAAGCAGCCTGATGGCGCTTCCATGCCAGCCTCAACAGGCAAGGAGCGGGCTGGCCAAGCTGTGCAAGTCTCGACGGGAGCGCGCGGCGGCATGGGACCGAACGCAGCGACCACTGTGTACCTAGTAATAGTAAAGTACACATACCAGTACTGGCCCAGCGTCAGACAAGCCTGCACCAAGTACCAAGCCACCCTTTTTCGCTGCTAACCCGCTGGCCTTGCCTGTTACCATTGCCCGCCGTCATCGTGCACCTCCCCGAGCCTGCTCAGCCAACCCTCTGCCCTCGCGCCAAAGCCGCCTGCGTTGGCTGTGAGTTTGGCCTGGTAAATGTCTGCGTCGCGGTGCTGACGTTCATTTCTCGTCCCCACATACACAGCCTGCGCTTTGATATACCAGCTAGCGGCGCCCCACTGCCTTTTGGCTCCAAAGCGCCGTGACTATCTTGTGGAGAAGTCGGAGCCTCCCCATTTGCTCCCAAGATCTCTCTTCGTCCGGTGCTCCGAGTCCCAAAGCACACCACACAGCACACGCATAACCCGTTTGGAACTCCTCGCCGCTTCGCATCTCTGCCATGCTTCCTTGCCCTGCAATCTACACGCTCACATGACTTGCTCGGTTCAAGTTTGGAACACTAATGTGACATTGCCTCGGCATTGCCTTGCGACATAGCCATCCAGGTAGACACGGGCGCAACCATTCGTCGAGACAGTCATGGCCGACTCGAGTGCCACCACAACCTCGATAGCCGCCCCTTCGCACCCACCCTACGATACCGACGATTCCCTCATGTTGGCTGACTATGGCCTGTCTGATTACCGAGTCTCTCCAAACAACGCCGGCACCAGCCCTGCAAACATGATGGCCTCTCTTGCCGACTATGACATGGCTTTCGCACAGGGCCAGTCATATGCATCCAATTTTGACAGTCTGCATCCAAAGATCGAGCCCGGCTATGCCGACCACCGAGGTAGCGTTGGCAACATGAGCGACGCGGGTATGAGCGGTGCCGGCAGCAGCGTTCACCCAACTAGAATGAGCATCGGCGGAAGCCCGGCTCACGATGGGAACCATACGAGCCCGGAGAGCGCTCAAGCAATGAACATGTTCGCCATGGGAGATGTTTTGAAAGACGCCTCAGCCAACAGCATCAATGGCACAGACCACTCGGCCACGTCGAGACGGAGCAAAGATGATGTCCAGGATCCCCCACTGTGGAGTGAGATGAAGACAAAGGCAGGAAAGGAAAGAAAGAGGCTGCCGCTAGCTTGCATTGCCTGCCGGAGAAAGAAGATTCGCTGCTCTGGCGAAAAGCCGGCATGCAAGCACTGCCTGCGCAGCAGGATACCGTGCGTGTACAAGGTCACAACGCGAAAAGCTGCGCCGAGAACCGACTATATGGCTATGCTGGACAAGAGGCTGAAGCGCATGGAAGATCGTGTCATCAAACTCATACCAAAAGAAAGCCTGCCTTCAGTCGCCAATGTAGGCAGATCCGTTGTTAAGCCCGCTATCCCCGGCGCCCTACCCAAAACACCCACCACGAAGAAACGCGCCGCGGAAGAGGCCTTTGGCAATGAACTCGACGAGTGGTCAAAAGCAATAGGCACGGACCCAAACATAGCCAACTCAACTACCCAGACCAAGGAATCAGATGAAAGCAAGCTCCTCACAGAAGGTGCCGAGAGTTTGCCATCAAAAGAGATGCAAGAGCATTTGGCAGAGGTCTATTTCGACTATGTCTACGGCCAAAGCTATCCCCTACTTCACAAGCCCAGTTTCATGAGGAAGCTGGCGACAGGCAAAGTTCCGCCTGTACTAATTCTGGCAATGTGTGCCATTTCAGCCCGCTTCTCAAGCCACCCGCAATTACGGACAGAACCATGTTTTCTGCGAGGGGACAATTGGGCTGTACGAGCGCGCGAAATTGCATTAAAGCGATATGATGCGCCCAACATCACAATTCTCATAGTTTACTTGTTGCTTGGATTGCATGAATTTGGCACATGTCAGGGCGGTCGGAGTTGGATGTTTGGCGGCATGGCGCAAAGAATGGCATACGCACTGCAATTACACAAGGAAAATGAATACGACCCGCTCGCCAGCGAACCCGATAGAAAACCCCTGAGCGCCACTGACAGAGAAATACGGCGGCGGACAATGTGGTCTTGCTTCTTGATGGATCGTTTCAATTCTTCTGGTTCCGACCGACCACTCTTCGTGCACGAGCAGTACATTGAAGTGCAATTACCAGTCAAGGAGCACCTCTACATACACGAGATACATGCGCCGACGGAGAATCTCGAGGGAAATGTGCCAAATCCCGTTCCACCTGACAGCGGTCAGCTTTCGAATCCCCGCGACAGCATGGGCGTCTCTGCATATACCATTCGACTGGTCTGCACATGGGGAAAGCTGATCAAGTACATGAACTTGGGTGGCAGAGAACGTGAATCCGAGACTATGTGGTCTCCAGGGTCAACGTTCCACGCTATCAAAAAGGAAGCCAAGGATTTTAAGGCCGCATTGCCCGAGATGCTCGTGTACAGCCCCGAAAATCTCAAGAGCCATGCCATTGGCAAGACTGCCAACTCTTTCCTCTACCTTCACATATTATGGCAGCAAATCATGCTTTTCATGCATCGTTTTGCATTGCCTTCAACCGCAGGAAGTAGACCCCCTAAGGATATGCCACATGACTTTTTGACAGAATCCGCCCGCGCTGCACTCGACGCCGCGAACCAAATATCAATACTCATTAACGAAGCCATGGACCACAATGTTGTCGCCCCATTTGCAGGATACTCGGCGTTCTTTTCTTCCACTGTACATGTCCATGGAGTCTTCTCGAAAAACCCAAAGTTGGAAGCACAATCCAAAAAGTACCTTGCGTACAATGTCAAGTATTTGACAAAGATGAAGAAGTACTGGGGCATGTTCCACTACATTGCAGAAAATCTCAAAGAGTTGTACCGACAACACGCTGATGCGCAGCTCAAGGGGCCCGACACTAGTGGTGAAAACAAGGGCAGAATCTTTCAATATGGAGATTGGTTCGACAGATATCCCCATGGCGTTTCAAAGACGGATTACGAAGATGCGGCCGAATCGACCCAGACCGAGCCAGGCACCGATGCAGTTCTGGGACATAGGAGCGACCTGCAGAGTGTGGAAGAATTCTTTGCCTCATTATCCCCGCCGTCAAAGACAGAGCACCACCGCAAGCAAGCGCGGAAGAACAGAACAAAGTCAATGTCGAAACCCGAACCCCGGTACCAGCAGCGTAATGGTCATTCTCAGCAAAACTCTGCTGCGCACATGCAAGCACAGCAGCACCTAGAACCAGTCAACATGTTCACCCAAGACGATGTCCGAGGAGCCATGGCCGCTGGATACGAATCCGTGAACCTTTATGTGCAACAGCAACAACAGCAGCAACAGCAACAATCTTCATCCCAGCAATTCCTCGCCGACTTTGCATCGCACCACCAACCCCAACACTCTTCCCTCCCCCTCCTCAACACCTCGCCCACGATGATCCACCCGTCACACGCCCACCAAATGGACTCTTCAGCCCACACCGCCAACCTCTCTCCTTTCCCCGACCTAGCTACCGACTTCCACAACGCCTACTGGAACCTCGACGCTCTCGGCCTCGGACCCACAAGCAACTTCTTCGACCCTATGAGCAGCTACTTTGTTCCCTTCAACGTGGATCCGCCGCCCCAGCAAAATCTAGGTGACGACGCCGTATTTGCGGGCCAGGGACCGGAAGCTTATGGCTTTGCGCTTGGAGCTGGTACACCTGTGGATTTGGATCTCATGCATGGGGTTGGTGTTGGAGCAGGTGGTGGGGGCATCGGAAGGCATCGGAGTAGTGTTAGTGGTGCTGCGAGACCTGGTATGGGTGGTAGACGAGGTACGGGGTCTGGGCTTGACTAATGGTATTTTCTTTTTTGCCATTCGTTGTATTTTTTTGTATTTTTCTTTTTTGCATTCGGCCATGGAACGAAAACGATGTCTTGGCAAAAACTCTTTTTTTCTTGTTCTTCAACTTTGGAGACTGGGTGTGATTTAGATACCAGGGAAGATGGGGAGTACTGGGGTTGGTGTTAATGGTCTGTATGGTGCACAACTGTTGGTTCAGGGAATAATGGGGGGGGGGGAGCGTTCATTAGAGAGGGCTCGCTCATTTTTACTTTCTGAATGAAAAGTCGTGGTTTGCCTTGAGTGTGTGTGTAAATGGTTTGCCACTTGCATATTTATGGGCTGTAGCAGTTTCAAATCTCTCTTCCCCCTCTCTCTATCAACGAAGAAGAGGAATGTTTAGATTTCTGAAGACCTTTTTAGTATTAAAACTAAATTTACTTTGTACTTCTGATACGTAGAGAGAGGAGGTTTTGCAAGATTTAGTGCTAGAGACGGTTTCTTAATTTCTTCTTCTTCTTGATTGATTCATTGTTGTAAAGGTGTTTTCTGAGATGAAAATCTTGGGTTTAGCTACGGTAGATAGTGCTCTGTGTTAGTTAATACAAAGCGTTATCGTGGCCGCTGCATGGTGAGTGTTTGGGTCTAGCGCCTTGGCCCGGCCGCGGGGGGGGGGGGGGGGATGGTATTTAGTTCATTGGGATACAGTCAACTCTTCATATCAGTTCATTTTTTCTCCGTAATTATATGCTCCCCCCATGCTACAGAAGGCATCGCCATCATCCTTAAGACCATCACGTCATGTCACTGTGGCTGTGGCTGTGGCTGTGGCTGTCAGCTTCCGGAATGAGGGGCAAGGCTGAGAATGCCTTGCGGTCGTTACTTGACTGATTGAGGGCGCTGTAGCGCGTGCTTCGAATGGGGATTCGCGGAAGCTGAGTCTGAGACGTGTCGGCTAAGTAGCGACTGCTGAAGGTATAAACATGTCCCTGGGTCTCTGTCTTCTTGACGCATCTCGCAACGACCATGAGCTCCAACTCATTTAGGAACAACTGCTTAGCAGTGCTATTCCTTTTGTCTTCTTTAGCTTCTACCTATATCTTAATTATCTACTACCCTATAACTACATGGAAAGACCTTTTATTCGCGATTGTTCCTTGGTGCCTCAAGCGTGCTATCGACATCAACCACGCGAAGTCCAAAGAACGATCTCGTCAGAATCCTTCTGAAACACCAGGATTTTTCTCTCGCAAGTACCCTCCGTTAAAAATGAACGAGATCCGGATTCTGGCTCTCCTTCCATCCAAAAACAGAAATGCACCGCTACAGGGACGATTCGAAATTCACGACCTCGGCAATGAAAACGAGACCAGTAGCAAGGCTGACCAGATTGGGTACGAGGCAGTGTTTTACACCAAGACCACCTCTCCTATGGGATTCATAGTCATAGAGTCTAATATTTTCCTCATCCCTTTGCATTTGCAACGCGCCCTTTTCCAGTTGCGCCATACGCATAAAGAGAGGAGGCTGTGGGCAGATGCTATTTGCATCAAGCTGCCTGACCTTCTAGAACTAACTACACAGATCCTATTGTTCCCCCGGATCTGCAAAGGTGCTACAAAGGCTATTACGTGGATAGGCGAACCGAAAGAAGCAGAAGAGGAGGTTTATCATCCATTTCTAGAAGCCCTCCAACGTCCCAGCTCTATCCTCATGCTCATACGTAATGGCGATCTCGCTCATGTGTCAGCAATCAAAGTTTTGGTCAAACCACTCAGACGTTGGAAACTGATAGCTCGTACAAACCCTCGGTTGTGTAGGGAATTGATGTTGACTGGAAAAATTTCGTTCAAGCTAGGACGATATGACTTTCAAGGTCTTTTGGTTGCTTTGTTAATGTTGCACTACAATAAGGCGATGAGATTACCGAAATCAGAACGGAGAACCGATGCACTACTCAAGCCCGATGCAAGTGCTGCTCTCAGAGTAAAGGCTCTTCTAATCGACTGCATTGAAGATGTTGGTGATATCGACGAAAAAGAGCAGTACGATAACGGGCCATTCCCTAAGCCTTGGGTTGCTCTGGGCAGTATTGAAGAGCTTTTGACAATGCTCCGTCGCAGCGACAAAGGCTCGGTTTCTCGGAAGACTTTAAAGAATCTCTCCAGCCTTTTAGACAGGGCCTATTCTCAATCTGAACAGGACCCAAACCCATCTTATCGATCTGAAGCTTACAATACATATGGCACTCTTATCAAACAAATGAAAAAAGCCACGCACGGCCACCGGCTGTTCAAAACAGCTCGTCTATCGAGGTTAGGGCTGGCTTCGCCTGGCGCGCAGAAAAAGGACGGTGAGTGAATGACGCAATTTTCCCAGAGGCCTTTTACCCATCTGACAACGACAAAGTGATATTCTTTGTACCCGAATACTCGGCGCTCTTGACTCTCCGGGCGTTTCATCCATTGTCTACTCAGTCTTTGGACTCACAGCAATACTATACCCTTACTGGCGCATGCTATATGGGCGATAACAAGTATTGGAGCAAGGTGCACCCCCATCTGACCAACGTACCTCTGAGGACGGTATACTTGATGCCAGCGACGCAAGAAAAAGAGGTGCAGCGGAACGACAAGAGCAGTGCGAAACCAAGTCATTTCGTTACCCCGAGCCGAGTGGATCCTGTACGCAGCAACTTTGGCAAAGATATCATGCAGAGAAAGACGAAGTCGAACATCCAGGTTGGGAACAAGACCGAAAAGCCGCACACTGCAGCCATGGTAGACAAGCGCTACCGATTATCTTGGACATGTGTGAGTGATTTGGACGGTTTATTCACATGCTTCGCTAACCCGAAAAAGACATGCGGGCACAAGGGACTTGATCATTACATTGAGCATCGGCCTGGTGCAGTACGCGAACTGTTGGAAACTTTTCAAGAGCATGGTATAAAAGCTTCCATGGAAGCCTGTGATTTACCTCAGTCCAACCGATCTGCAGCAAGAATTGTGTTTGAGCGACTTGGAATGACCGTTGCAAACATTTGCACTTGGATTCGATTCTGCATTCTTGCGTGGTTGGGCATCGAAAAATGGACATCTCCATCGCTACCAACTATGTATCCTCGACTCTCAGACGCGGTACACAACAGAAGTCCCTCTTCTAAAGCGTCTAACGGGCCAACAAATGGGATTTCGTCATCAACATCGAGCGCAAATGTTGATCCAAATAATTCCAACCAACCACTTCGTACATTGACAGGTCTCTCGACGGCTTCTCAGGCTACACCAGGACGACAGAAATGGCGCTCTTCGTCTTCTACAACTTGCACTCAAGTCAACAGCACGAATATCAACATACCAGAAGATTTTATCCTTTTATGCATAAAGGTCAAGAGATTCTTAACGAATCGTCACGACCTCCAGGTTTCAACAATCACTCGAGATCGCGAACTCTTCGAAGCGTTACGCCGTGAATACCACTCAAAGTTCCGATGGGCCTACTGCCGGTTCAGCTTCCAGACCATACAACGAATGAGCTTTGTCAAGGTAAGATTTTGGTGCAAAAAAAGGTGCTGTTTCAAGCTCATAGGTCCTACCTAGTTTACTCTGCACGCTCGCCAAGAAGTCGATGGCCTCGTCTCTGATATGCCGCCGGAGACTGTCAAGCACTACACATGCGATCCTCGCAAGCCAGACCGTACGCCACCATTGGGCAGTGATTTTCTCATGCATCGCTTTAGCTCGCCTAAGGATTGCTTCCAAGACAATATTTGTCTTAGGCAGTTCCCAAAACGCATCAGGGAGCGCCCGACCCCGGGCGTAGATCCTGACCTCTACACGGGATGGGGCGTGCATCTCGAGCAAGATATGGATCTACAGCGCATCTGTCTCGTTCTATTTTTTGGCATTGCATCTGCAGGCACGTTTGGGCTCGTATGGGGCATATGCAAGAGAAGCTTGCAAGACGGCTTCTCTATTGCGAGTTTCGTACTCGGAAGTGAAGCCATCGCCGTCGCTACACTCCAACTATTTCTCACTTTCGGTGCCATATGAATAATCAAAGTCCCAAGGACCCCAAGTCATACATGCCCCATTGGCAGGTGCAGGCAATAGTATAAGCAATACCTGTCCGAAGCGCCAGCACACAAGCAAGCGCATGAAGATGTCAAAATCGCCAAAAAAACCCCCCACTGGCCCTATACGTTGCCCTCCTAAGACAAACCTTCAAACTTCAAAGTTTGACACATTCAAAAATCGATTTCAAAAAAATATCGCGCCTCCTTCCCCATTTCGACCTCGTCCCCCGAACACCCAGGCTGAGCCACAAGAACCACCCCACTTCGATCTCGCCTCTCTACAATGACTAAACACCAAACACCCGCCACCGTCACATCTCTACTACACGTTTTCGGGTCACAGTGGGCCTTTGGAAGCAAAACCTCAGGAGCAGGCCGGGGACACTGCATGCATTAAACAGAAAACGGAGACTAGGTATTCGAAAGTGAGGGTTTGCGAGAAAATCAAGGCACAACAAGTTTGAAGATCGACCTTGTTCTTGTTTGATGAAACGCTAGCGGCGACACGGGGACTGCGACAACGCGCTGTGGATGGGGCTTCTTTCTCCTTGGTGACAAAACACCTGACAAGGGGGTGCATCTTTTTGAAAAAAGGTTATTTTTAGGGAATTGCGATGATTCGAGTGGGGATTGGCTGGGTGATGTGTTTGGGAGGTTGTATGTGTGTGAGTGTGGCGTTGGATGTTGGGTGGTTGGTGATGGTGATGATGATGAAACGGGTTAGGCGCGAGACTACTAGACTAGCTTGATGTGGTGGTTTTGTAGACTACTACATGTTGATGGGTTTGACAGCGTAGACAGGTGTACGATATGCTTTCCCCGGATTCCGTCTTTCTAATTCACCATTGTAAAGTATGGTAATTGGCATCGCTATCAACCTCACATTACATCAACGCCACTATCACAACTTTTACTATGAACAAACAACTCCCGTCACGTTCCATGCTCTCTCTCCCTGTTTCGCATATCTCAAAACCTCACGCATGAAAACCCCATCGCTCGCACGCCTTGGCGCCTGGGGTCCTCAGAACAATCGCGCAGGCCCATCTAGCTAATCACCCTACCTCTTTGGCACTCCACCACCGTGATTCACACGCCAAGCCCCACGTTTTGGACCCCCCGCCGCCGGGAAGAGGCCAACACAAGCGAAAGCCTCAGACCAAACACGCCTCACGACACAGGCGCTGCAATGCCTGATGCTGTTTTTTGTTACTCGATAGGGACGTCGGGTGCGTGAGTGGAGACTGAGGTTTCTCTGACGGAGAAGGGAACAAGGGCCACGGCGGCTATGGAACCGAATGCAGAATACGGTGCGAACGTACTGATCTACGCCTACCTCTCTATGACATATCTTGTTCGTGAAGGGAGGATTTTGTATAAGAAGAGCAGAGGGAAACGTCGAGTCAAAGGTATCCGCAGCACAATCTTACCTTGTGTAGACTACTCTCCCACTTCCTCTCAGCCTGGTGCTTCTTATATATTCCTATATAACTCTTATTTTTCGTTCTATCCGATATTTGGGATAGAATTTCGAGTTGATCTCGCCCTCCTCCTCCTCCTCTCTCCTCCATCTTCATTTTATATTTGAAATTTGAATAAGAGAAAGAAAGAAAAAAGCCGCGAAAATGTACTTCCCACGCACCCTCCTCCTCGCCCTCACAGCCGCCACCGGCATCTCCGCCCATGGCGTCGTCACCGAAGTCAAAGGCGCAAACGGTGTTTCCATGCCTGGCTTGACAATCCAAGACGGGACGCCTAGGGATTGCTCATCCAAGTACGTCTACCCCCTTCCACTCAAACAATTGAAAAAGAAGATGGCTAACATGGAGACAGTGGATGCGGCTCCCAAGCTGACACAGCTATCATCCGCGACCGCGAAATCGCAAGCGGCAAGACAGGTCCCCTAGGCCGCACGCAGGGCAACGGCAACGTCGATGCTGCGGTCATGGTCGGCGCGTTCATGGGATCGGGGGCTGCGCCGCCGGCGAACCAGGGCACGTCGGGGAGTGTTGGGGTCGAAGATGATATTCCACAGAATGCAGGCGCAGGTGCGCAGCGGAAGCGCCAGTTTCTGAGTAACCTTTTGGGGGGCCTTGGGGGTGGAAGGGGCGGTGGTGCAGGCGGTGCAGGTGCAGCGGGCGGTGCGGGCGGTGCAACGGGGATTGCGGGATTGTTTGGAGGTGGTGGTGATAAGGTTGATGGACCGCCTGAGGCGCGGGTTGCTGCTGCTGCCGGGGCTGGGGCTACGGGGGGTCTGCCGACTTGTGCAGATGATGGGACGGTTACTATGACGCTTCGTCAGGTGAGTTGTGCTGGGCTTCCGTTGAACGTCACATTTTTCTAACAGTCTTTAGATTAACCAAGATGGTGCGGGTCCTTTCACAGCAGACGTCGATGGTACATCTGGTGGCACTGATGAAGCTGCTATGCAGCCTGCCACTGTCACTCAGGACGTCCCTGGTCTGGGCGTCCAGGGCATCTCGCTAGCGACCAACACGGAGTTTGAGATGAAGGTCCAGATGCCTGCCGGTATGACTTGCGATGCGACTGTTGCTGGTGTCAACAATGTCTGTGTCATGCGTGTCCGCAACGGCGCAGCTGCCGGTCCCTTTGGCGGCTCTGTTGCCTTCACCCAGAGCACTGCGGCCAAGAAGCGTGCTCTTGCCTACAGGCTCAAGAAGCGTATGGAAATTGGCCGCCTGCCCTAAAGTCGCTTGGTTCGATGAATGTTGGAGGACGGGCTTGATGCCTGGAACCTTTTATATGACACTGACTGGATCAGTGTTAACGACGGTATATGAGAAAAATATGTATAGTAGTGTAATGAGTTTTCAAATATTACGATCTGTATGAGTATTCTGTCGTGTGACAAGCAATCGTGAATGGAGTACTTCCTATACTCGCACATTGTATAATGTGGAAGAGTAGCAACAGTCATGAGACGTAACGATTAGCTCGTTAGCCCTTGTCTCGCCAAGACCGGAGAAAACGTGAGAGAGAACGGCACAAGAATCATTCCTCATACACCTCGGAAGTATTCCCAGGCTTTTTCTGTGGCTGACGGTCATGTGATGGCAAACTGAGGGTGTGCTAGTGACATCCAAGTCGACGCGAAGTTCAGAGCCTGCTGTGCCTATACTCGAGTCACTGCAAACTCTGAAGCCGGAAGTCTAGACACAGAGCCTGCGGAGTTTGCAAATTCAGAATGCAGGACTTTAGCCAGGCTATGACAGCAAAATGATAGTAAAATCCACATTGCAAGCTTCGCGTGGAGAAGCGGTGCCAAGTTGTAGTGCAACTTGCCTTCCGCTAAACCCTCTTCAGACCAAACCTATCGTTTCCACCCGCCCTCCCCCACCACCCCAATCCATCGCCCATACCCACCTTTCTCGATAGCAAATGTCGCCATTCTCCACGAGCAACCGGCATTGCTTTTCTCCCCGCAGAGTCTTCACCCAATCATTAATTTCAAGATACGACAGTATCGGCGGTAAACAAGCCAAAAATCGGTGCCTGCAGTACCGCCACCAAAAAAAGAGAGCTTCCCTCTTATCGCGCAATCAGCCGTGAAAATCGCAACATGCAACCCAAGACCCCAGCCGTCTGTCATTCGCCCCCAAGCAACTTGCCGCTAAGTCAAGACTAGAAGATAATGCGCTTATATAACCATGGGTCCTTGAAAAAAGTAAAACATGTACATGCTATGCTTTTCTTGAGCTTTTTACTCTCTTAGTTAAGATATATTTCAAAACGACCGGCCAGACTTCTACGTCATGGCCCCCTTCGACTCCAAAGCCGTAGCGGGCCCTGCCTCACCAGCAGCAAGCTACAACAACGACGATGATTTCCAGCGAATGGATCCGAGCGGTGTTAAGCGCGGCCTCAAAACCCGCCATTTGAGTATGATGGCACTGGCTGGAATCATCGGTCCTGGTATCTTGGTTGGAACGGGAGGTGCGCTTGCTCAGGGCGGTCCGGCGTCGCTGCTCATCGGATTCGGGATCATCGGTATCATTGCGTTCAGCATTACACAATCGCTGGGCGAGATGACGACGCTGTATCCGACCGGTGGGGCGTTCGTTACGCTTTCTGAGCGCTTTGTGGATAAGGCTTTTGGCGTAGCGGTCGGATGGCAGTACTGGCTGGTGTGGGCGTGCGTGCTGGCGAACGAGTACAACGTCATTTCGTCGATTATGGTGTTCTGGGGCCCGCAGGTGCCGCTATGGGGCTACTTTCTGATCTTCTGGTTTGCGTTTTTGGGCTTCCAGATGCTGGGTGTTGAGTCGTTTGGAGAAGCCGAGTTTTGGCTTGCGCTGGTCAAACTTGCGGGGTTATGCACTTACTTTATTTTCGCCATTATTTACGCCTCGGGGGGACTGATTGGGCAGAAAGAGGCGATTGGATTCCGATACTGGCACGACCCGGGTCCTTGGGTGAATGGATTTCGCGGAGTAGCAACGGTTTTTGTTTTTGCTTCGACGTTTTACGCGGGCGTGGAAGCCGTTGCTGTTGCGGCAACTGAAACCAGGAATCCATCTGTGGCCGTTCCCCTCGCGATCCGACAAGTCATTTGGCGCATCCTCTTTGTTTATATGGGAGTTGCGTTCTTCTTTGGCCTTACTTGCCCGTCGAACGCAGATGGGCTCGCGAATGGAAGCAGTCGTGCGTTGAAGAGTCCCATGACTATCGCACTGCAGAACGCTGGTTGGGAAGGAGGAGTGCACCTCATCAATGCCTTCATCTTCATCACCGTCCTGAGCGCGGCAAACAGCTCCATTTATATCGGATCTCGAACCATACTCTTCATGGCACAGCAGAAAATGGCGCCGAAATTCCTGGGAAAGACAAATAGCCGCGGTGTACCAATCTACGCCATCGTTTTCACAAACCTAATCGGGGCCATCTCCATGATGAATGTCAGCACGGGAGGAGGCAAAGCATATTCATATATTGTCAACCTGAGCGGCGTTTCCACCTTTCTCGTCTGGGGCGCCATATCCTTTACACATATCCGCTTCAGAAAAGCCTGGCAAGCTCAAGGTCGAACTCCAGACGCTCTACCGTTCAAATCCTTTCTCTATCCCTGGAACGCCTATTTTGGACTTTTCGCCAACATCTTCCTCACTCTTGTTCAGGGCTGGTCCACCTTGAGCCCGTTCAGTGTTGGAAACTTTGTCGACGCTTACATCATGATACCTGTATTTGCAATCATCTACGTTGGTTACAAAATATGGTTCAAGACGCGGTTCTGGAGGAGCGAGGAGATTGATTTGGACTCGGGTAGGAGAAAGGATCTTGATGCAAGAGATGTATATGTACATGGTGAGCCGCACAGCGAGCAACGGGGTAAAGCAAGATATCTACAGGATCTTTGGCGCAAGCTGTGAGCAGCGTGTTTGCTATTTTGAGGATTAAGAGTGGCGCAGGCGTTTAGATTAACAGCTCTAGATGGATGTGTGGCTGAGGATGGATGTCCCAACGCCGTATTCCTGGCCCCGCTTTCCTTCCATTCATAAAGCAAGTCGCTTGTATAGATCGCATTAATTTATAGTCATACAACAAGACCACGATTCCTTTCTAGCAATGTCTCATTTTCCAACAATTCGCCCCCAAACCCAACATACCCACTACCTTCCATCAAGCCCCGACGACCCTCCAAAAACTCCAATACCAAGTCCAGTGCATCGGTAGGATCACATACCCTGTCCAATCACGCATCATGGACCACTCTATTAGGCCGATCTCAGAATAAAACCCCGGGGTCCAACAACCAATTATAGTGGATGCCTAACGGCCCCCAGCCACCCCTGCGCCGCAACGCTGCATCATGCAGGTGCGAGCCTCAAAAAGTTGGCCTCGTGTCGAACATGCATAGTACCACTTAGCGTACTCAATACGTTACATCAACTTCATCGCAAAACCCTTTTCTTTTGCTACATACATTCAGATTTGCTTTCTTGGATTCTTTTTTGTTGGTTGAACAATCAGTAGCTGGCTGCAAGATCTGGAAAATGGAGCTGGTGGCGGGAAAGCCGCGACAGAGAGCTTGGAAACCCAAGGCAAGATCGGGGTGTAAGACGTGCAAGTAAGTTATCAAGACTTTTACGGGGAGGGAGAAAGGGGTGGATGTGGTTGATTTAGTAGTACGTTGGTGTCATGGCATGATCGCGTGGTCAATGGCTCGATATATTTCGTTGAAGGAGCAATTGTCCTCTTGACTACGGAAATACAGGGAAAATTCCAAGAGACGATTTGAATTAGGGATCTGATGAAGCTGTGCTAACAAATCCACAGAATACGCCGCATAAAATGCGACGAGGAAAAACCTCACTGTATCCGCTGCACCTCCACAGGCCGCACCTGCGACGGCTACGACTCAAACTTCAGATCCCCAAAGACCAGCACATCCTCACCTCCAGAAGCCCAAACTTTATTATTATCATTCTGCTCAGGATCCACCCATCGCACCCTTCGCAGCCACTCTCCACTCCCACTCCCACTCGCCCCCGCCCTCCCCCTCTCTACCACGGAAGAAAAATCCAGCTTCTCCTTCTTCACATCCCACGCGATCCCCAAGCTCCGCGGCTTCCTTGACTCGCCCTTCTGGCAACGCGAAGTGCTCCAAGCCGCGCATCGCGAACCCGCAATCCAGCACTGCATCATCGCCCTGGGGGCCATGTACCGGTGCTTCCACGAAGGGCAGCACTCGCACATCCGCGAAAGCGCAATGGCGGATCAGCACTTGCAATTCGCTTTCTTGCAATCCAACCGCGCTATCAAAGTTTTGCTGGAGAAGGTTGGAGCGAGTGATACGAAAGCTTCGGGGAAAGATAAGATGACCTTAATGACGTGTGCGATTCTCTTCAGCAGCATGTGTTGTCTACAAGGCTACCAGAAACACGCCGTGGAGCATTTGCGGAGTGGGATTCGCATGCTGAACGAGATGGATGATGCGGGGGAGGCAGTGACGGAGCACGCTGTGGAGCTGGAATCGTTACGTACGATTTTCGTAGCGCTAGATGCGCAGATACGGGCTATTATGCCATCTGCGCAATCGAGAAGCTGGGTGAAGAAACCGAAAGTGAAAAGTGGGGGCCAGGCGTTAGAAGGGTGTGGGAAGCTGAGTATGGCAAGTTTGCTGGGGGTGCTGCGGTATATGGAGTGTTTGCTTAGCCATATCCATGCGTTTAACCAAAAGACTTTTTTGAGGGGGGCTGGGGAAGAGGAGCAGGTTGGGGTGGAGTTGAGGGAGCTGGTGGATAGGTTTCATGCTGGGGCGAGGGTGATGAAGATGTTGTGGGGGGAGGCAGAGAAAAGCCGTCGCGACGAGTTTACGCAGCCGCTTATTGCGCTCAAGCTGATGCAGTGCCAGATGGAGTATTTGCTAAGGCTGCCCCGGGTGGATATCGTGGCGAGATTCCCTTGCTTGGCTGCGTTCCAGCATGCCAAAGAGCCGTTCAAGACGCCGTTTGACGAGGCGGCACTGTTTGCCAATATCTTTGATCTATGTGATCAGCTGTTGGTTGTGCCGGGAAATAAGTCTACACCAGTCTTTATGACTTCAATAGGGCCAACGGCGGCATTGTGGTTCATAGCTATTCGGGCGCCTGCCTCCTGTCAGGCACTGCGGCGGCATGCTGTTGGGTTGATGTTGAGCCATCCTCGAAGAGAAGGCTTCTGGGATGGCATGGTCGCTGGTTGGATAGCGGACGAGGCTTTGTCGCTCGAGCAGGAACGTACGAGAGCGGAACTGAACATTTCCAGTGACGATGTGGTGGGTGATGTGGAGGTGCCGGAGCATCTGCGTATCATTTCCTTTTGGCTGACATATCCTGACGACGAGGATCGAAAAGTAAGAGTTGGGTTCTCGGATGCAAAAGACTTGGCTGTGGGGGTGCCTGGTGCTATCAAGTGGTTTACCTGGTGATTCCATTTCGCCATTGGAAATGCTCTGCGCATTTGCAGACTATACTATCAATAAGATTCCCACAAGTCACAATACAAAATGAAACGTATAGTCTTCTCTCGTACCAAAGAAAAGTCGCTTGTAGATTGCTCAGTAGATCACTAGTTTCCGGGTTAAGCGCGGCCATAGCCGTACGTTATAATGTATAGTACAAGTCATAAACAAAGCGAGTTGATGGATTCGATGCCAAAGAATTCTCATCACGCACCGCATTGAACGCCTCTCAAAAACTGATCCAAATCACTCACACTTAGTGACCCACTTGCCCTTCTTGCAGCATTGGGGCTACCTTCTACCATGAAATCTCCCTTCTTCCAATTGACCCAGCTCGTACTCACGATGCGACTCCATGGTTTTGGCCTTGCCGTCAACTTAAGCCCCGTGCCCAAATTACACCTCAACACTTTCATATCAATCTTGCCGCCACAGATGCTGCGCAGGATGTGAGTGACGGGGCTGTTGTCGTCACCCCAAACGCTACCATATGTGTTCTCCCCCGGGAAGAGGATACGCGCTGTGAATTTTGTAAGAGACCCAAGGGTTTTGGGCATTATGGTAGATACGAGATGTGCGAGGGCAGCTGGAGCGTGTGTTGCGGTAGATTTGGAAAATGCAGGAAAAGCTGTGGTGATGTGTGAGGCGTGGCATGATTGGCGTGAGAGTGGCGCGCCCATGCGGAGGCGTGGACGAGAGGGGCTTCTATTTGCGCCGTGGCGGGGAGGCCGTCTTGAGGAATTGCTAGGTGCAACTACAAAGCTCGTCGAAGGGCCCGACGCTGGAGTATTGAAAGAAGGTGCCGCAAGGCTGTTTGATGGTGTCAAATGCTCGCTGTCGCTAGGATCTGGGACAGTTGGCTCTTCTTCGAGAAGAGGCGTGTAATAGCCAGAGACGTAGACTCTCCGCGCTTGCTTTAGCAAGTACGGATACTGACTCTTCAAGACCAGAACTCCGTATGGGTATGACACATGGAGTGATATGCCTTCGACATTCTCTTCGTCGTCCTGAAGAACACCATCGTCATCGTACACAGCTCGCGCATCCAACATATGCTTTCGCCTCCGTATGCAATCTCTCAGCTCGTCCTTGACCAGACGAGAAGTCAATGACAGTGCCAATGGTGCCGAGAGCCCCAGATTCTCGCTCTCAACATCGTCCGTCTGTCCATCTTCGAGGGCGATCGTTGGAGGCATCACGACGGAGAGGAGGGATGCGACATGGCCGCGTCGTGCTATTGGCGCGAGATGAAGTGGCAAACCTGGAATCTCGGTCTTGCGAGCGCAATCTTGTACCGGAATACCATCAGAAGTCGTGTATCCGGCGCTGATGGTAATGGCGTATGATTCAGCAAGCAAGTAATCGTAGATCTGGCATCGTATCTCAGTGGACAAGGACAAGAAGCCACTGTAAGTGCTGTCTGGCGTTTCCATAGTGTGTAGGCAGAGAAGCTCAATCCAGCTGCGTGATTTGTAAATGGTATATTGTATTATTGTGGTGTAGACGATGTCAGGGTTCAAGTGGAATATGGTAGCGATGTGGTGGGTGCAAGTACGTAGGCGTAGCCAGCTATGCAATGCTAGACGTAGTGTACCGTCGGAACAGCGTGTCAAATCTATAGGAGCAGAGGACCATTCATCTTAAAGCACGTGCGATGAAAAGTGTACCCAAAAGTCGGCATCAAAGTTGACGTTGTCCTGGGCAATGCGGCTTCTGGAGGGACGATCGACTCGTGTCGAATGGGACGTGTGGGGATGCCGGCGGTGAAACAAGCAGGTGGCCTGCGCGGGCGAGTCACGGTGGCGGGCCGGCAGCCTCACGCGACAAGGCGGGTCACCCTCCCAGGCACATGTTCAAAATATCCAATCATACATTACTAGCTGGTGTTTACAGGCGCCAAGCTGTTAGAGAAGATGACTTTTTGTTAGACAAAAGCAAAAGTCAAAGCCATCTGTCGGCCCATGTGTTGTTCTGCTCAAGTGATGTTTACTTGTGGGCCGTGTCCATAGCCGCAACACGACCCACTACACACACAAATCTAATCGCCCTCACTATCTTCCGCCCTTTGTTGCTCAACCAACTTCTGGGCCTGCTCCCACTGCATAGCAAACTCTCTCAGTTGGCCTTCGCCTCCCCTGCTCGCGTCCACTACATCCTTGGGCAACTTGTGAGCGCTATACTGTGGAGTCGTGAAACCATAGGCCTCTGGATCGTCTCTCCGTACCAGTCGGAACTCTGGCTGCCATACTTCCTCAATGTCATCGTCTTGTGAGACGTCGTCGTCGTCGTCCTCCTCCTCCTCCTCCTCCTCCTCCAACGCATCATTGGCGACTGGAACAGATTCGCTCTTGGCTTCTGGCTGGGCTATCTTCAGACGCACAGTCGTCTCCTCGGCTGGTGCTACCTCTGGCACGTCCATGGTGAGCAATTCCATCCACGAAAAAACCAATGGATCTGTCCGTACAGCCCAGGGATTGAAGTCGACGACCCAAACCTTGTCATGGGGCGGCGGTACGTATACATCAAAAGTAAAGTTTGGATCTGGGAACGTAGCGCGCAGTTTAGCGTCGAAGAAGTCCTGGATCAGGTCTCGTAGCTTATCCTGCATGTTGAACAGAAAGTCAAAGTGGTTCAAGTCGCGCTGGCATAGGGCAATCAGCCGTCTGTTGCGCACAAAGCATCGGAACTCGACGCTGGGGTTGAGCGTGATCCACTTTCGCAGCACGAGATGATATGGGATCGCCGGATCTGGTGTTGTGGACTGATCGGCTGTGTCGTCAAAGGCATGTGCAAGATCGTGGGTGACAAAGTCGCTACTTTTGAGGAGTAGGTATATGTCGTTTGGTGTCCGGCATTCCATGCTGTTGGTTGCTGCTATCCATGTTGCATCCTTTGGTGCACTCCAATTAAGCTTGGGAGCGACTTTGCCGCCCAGCTCCTCGATGGTGCGCTCGATGGCCTCGTGGGTGTCGCGCCACTCTGCACTAGGGTCTATGCTCTCCTCAGCATCATCGTCGTTATTATCAGCGCCTGAGAAGATGCCACTATCGTTGTCTGACCACGAGGGGTCGTCGCGCTCTTCGGGAGGCAGGACAATGCCGTCTGAGCGGAGGTATTCGAGAAAGGCGGATGGAAGGGGGATGAGGCGTGCTTTGGGTGTTACGGCACGATATCTATTGGAGTTAGAACAAAGAACGTGCCGAATCATGGGGTATGACTGACTTTGGGTGCCAACTATGGTACGAGCAGTTCAAGATGTGCTGTTTGGTGACTGGGGGGAAGGGTAACTCGATATATCCCATTTCCATCGGTCCAGCGGAGACATTTTTACTCGTAGGATCTTGTGTGCTCATATTGAATCAAGTGTAGGGGCGAAGTAGCGTCCGAAATGATGGCAAACAGGTGCCAGGCAGAGTAATGACTCCATTGCTGGGTGAGTCTTCGTAGTCAAGGGAAAGTTTTGGTGGGGCAACTGCCATTCCGTCACTAGGCAAGCTCGGGCCTTTCCTCACCTCCGAGCTCGCCGCAAACAGTGGCTGTCTTTGGCCATCATTCTGACCAACACAGTACCTCCACCTCACACACCATCAGATTTCAGACCATGGCCGACAATGTAGGTCTCACCACCCCAAGAGGTAGCGGCACCTCGGGTTACGTGCAGAAAAACCGGTCGCTCCTCAGACCACGCGACAAGATTCAGCCCTATCCAAAAGACTGGGACCAAGCCAAGCACCGCCCAAGACAGCCAGACGCAGAGATCCTCGAGCACGAAGCGAAGCGCGAAATCGAAGTCAAGGTTCTTGAGCTGCGAGACAAGCTCGAAGATGATGGTGTTGACGAAGATGAAATCGATGACCAGTGCGAAGCGTTGCGTCGCAAACTAGACCAGGAACGCAAGGATGGCAAAGACTTGGGGCCGAATGCAAAGCGACTCAAATCACATCAGGTCCACGACCTGGCAAAGGCGAAGATGGAAGAGAGCGAGAGGCTGCGCAAGGCGCTGGGCATCAGCGAAGACTACGAGGAGGGCAGCCACTGGAGGAAGCAGGAGGAAAGAATGCGCGAGAGCCTTGCCAAGAGAGAAGCTGAAGATGAGGAGAAACTTGAAAAGGCCAAAGAGGCCAGGCGATACAAGGAAGACGATTCGGAATAGTGCCCTGCTTTGCACTCACTCTGCGCTCATGAGCGCGCTGATACCCTACGATGGCCACGACGCGCTACCTATCCGCATCCATATACTACTACATACTTTAATACGAAGCCCAGCCGGATCCTTAAGGATGCAGTATCCATCTTTTATGTAAAGGCTCTAGACACTAGCAGGCCAGCCTATCAACTAGTTCACAGTCTGGTCATTCGACTAGCTGAAGACAGGAGGCTGCCAGGAGGATCATAGCATCTCTACTTTATTCGCTTATCATCTGCGCAGTCTGAATATTGAGCATCTCTGTAGCTCCATCTGCTACATGCGGTGTCTCATACAGCCACAATCTCATCCGTCACAATCTGAATCAGGAAAAGCATGCCGTCTTACAATTTACTCGACTGTCAAGGGTCGAAGGATCCACAAGCCTAATGCAGGAACATTCGAGACCACGCCAATTCACTCAGACTGTTCCCGTCTGGCATTGCCACAACGTCGCGCAAAGCCCAAGGATTAATTGAAAGGCTGACTTGGCGAGTCTTAAGGTCTGGCCCAAGTTACCAGTTGTTAGTATTCGACCGTATTGATAGAAAAGGGCAAATCATGTCAACCTTGAATTCGGCATTGAACGCCTCAATTCACCGACACTTTCCACCATCTGCAGTTTTTTTTGTCAGTAAAGAGTTAGCAATGCTGCTCAGATTACAGTATCGAGCCCCTTGGCATGACAAGAAGTTATGAAGGAGTTTTTGCTCGCGTGCATTACGACTGTCGCGACCATTCTTACGGCTGAGGCGAATCCCCTGGTCTGCCCAGACATGGCATGTCAGCCACGTGGGGGGTCTGACTGGTCAGTATGTAACGAGAATGCCGAGCCTCATTAGGACTAGGGCGCTGCCATGGTACCACTTGGCCTTGAAGAGCAGCGCTCCGCCGTCTCCCAAGAGCGTGAATTCGTGGGTTCTTGAGATGCCTCCTCGTCACAGATTCGGCTGCTGTGATCCGTAACTACTCACGCATGCCTGTAGCGAACCGGTAACTCCACATGCAGGTTTCTATTGATTTCATTGGCTGTTTTTGTCAACACCAGCGTTCCGGCATTCTGGACGTATAAACAAGGTCTCTCCGCATTTGCGGATTCGCTTTTGCTCTCTGTAGCACTGCTGCCGCACGCTTGTGTGCTTTGATCGTCGACATGGTCCAACCCATTGCTGTTATCCGAGAAACATGGAACATTTACACGCCTCTAGAGCGCCGCAACATTGCCATTTACATTGCTGGCATTATGATGTACAAGTTTGGGCTCGAGGCGTTCAACGGATCAGTCATCGCACTCGCCACGAATCGATACGACGAACTGGAGAAGACGACGCACATTTCCATCACATTTCAACGCGTCGGTGTTTTGACAGGGCTGAACCAGGCATTTCAGTGCATAGGATCCATCCTGATTGCACCTCTGATCAAGCGGTATCCGACCAAGAACGTGCTAGCTTGCGCAGTGCTCGTGTTTGGGTTCATGAGCAGTCTCTTGTTGATACTCGATGCTGCAACTGGTGGTAAATTTATGCCACGCGGATGGCCCAAAGATGACTTCAGCTACTACGGCGACTACGATACGGACACGATGATACCCATCTGTAAGAATGGCCCTATCCGAGGTACTACGCAACATGTGCTGATGAGTATTAGATTGCGTCTGTGGCATAGTCTACGGTATGGTTGAACTGATCCGACGCGTTATACCTCGAGATCTCGTGGGTGGTAACATTCAGAAGCTCCGCCGAATGGACTCGTTGGTGCACATCTTCTACGAGACGAGTGGAACGGCAGGTGCTTTTTGCACGGCACTTGCCCTCATCCCCCGCCTCGGGAACAACTTTAGCTTTGTCATCACGCCCATCTTCTTCGCTACTGCATCGATTCTCTGGTACTTTATCCACGAGGAGAGCATGCCAAGGGAAGTCCGAGCTTCTGTGACTGAGGGCGATCCTAGCTATGTCAAGGCTGTCATTAGTGGTTTCTACCTCTTTTTCGAGTCTGTGGGAACGGGTGCCAAACTCATCTTCACACATCGCAAGTTTATCTGGCTGCTGCCTGGATATGCAATTGCACTTTACGCCCATCGATACCTGGAGAATGCCATTGCGCCTGCAGTTGCGCGGCGGTACTTTGGAAACTCGGCCTGGTCACAAATCATGGTGGGAGGATCGAACTTTGGTGAGCTATTGGGGGCGCTGTTTGTCTTCATGTTCACAAACTTGGTGCAGACGCCGATACCATGGCTGCGACTAGACGCACTTGGTCTGTTGATTGTGTGGTATCTGCCCTACTGGCGTCCTCCGCGAAACGACGTGGCACAGGCGTGGATTGTGGCAGCGACCTTCCTGCCCATCAGCTTCGGATGGGCGGCAGGTGATGTGTCTCTGGCGGCATATATCCAGGCATCGCTTGCTCGAATCGAGTCCAAATCGCAGAACGTATCGGCACTGGGGGCCGTCATGGCATTTCTCTACAGCACGTACATTGTCATGTACGCCATTGCATCTGCGTGCCTCGGAACATACATCGACCGCATCTCGGACCGAGACAACGATGAGATTCACGGGGCCATCTTGAACGTGGCGGGCGTGCAGTTCACCATCATATCGGTGTTAGTTATGGTGAGCACCTTTGTTCCCAAGGGAGCGTTCTCTTTAAATCCCAAGTTGCTCAGTGAGGAAGCACTGGACATGGATATCGAGGACGAGGACGACGAGGACGATGGCGAGGAGGATCTGGAGTACATCCCTGGAGCTCGGGGCAACAGGAAGGAGAGGCATGATAGCCACGAATTGGTTAGCAGGATGAACAGCTCGACATAGATTTGGGATGGCATCATTTGGCGTATTTTGCAGCAAATATCGATACAGTTTTATTTTGTGGCGACTTGAGCGACAGTACGATATAAAAAGCAGTAGCTGGTTTCATTGAAAAGACGGTAGATAAGAGTCTCCACCGGCAGGTCAGCATGGGGGGAAGCACACGTGCGATGGTGCTGAGCGCCGATTGATGGCTTAGTGATATGGGGGCTCGGTGTGGAGCCAGAGGGCAGCCCCGAATGAAGAAGGTAACCCCGCAAAGTCCCAGCACGGAAGCATGCGGCTAGCCCCATCGCAACGGAGGGTGAATTGGGAGGGTAGCAGAGAGGGCAAATGTCACTCCAAGGGCCATAGTCGTGGCAGCTAAAGACTCGGCGCGCTGGGCTTGCAGCAGGGGGCCTCTCCGCCATGTGTCGTCGACTTGGCGGCCATGTGCTCTCGCGGCGGCGTGTGGTTGGCTGGCCTGCATGTGCCTCGCACCCCCGGGTGAGCAGCAGCACGCCCGTCTCTGGCCATCCGCCAAGCCAAAGCTTCACTCGCTGCCATGCTCACTGCATACGCCCGTTGCTTTTTAACGGAGGACACGCGCAAGCATGGGTGCGGAACTCGTTCCAGATCCCGCGTTCAACTACGCCTCCTCGCCCCATGGATGAGGCCAAAGCCGGTCCGCTTCGCACGCATAATCTCACTCTTACCCGCCTGCACCGCTGCCATACATGCCCAACTTCAGCTAATCACACCATCTCCCTCTCCCCAGTCCCGTGGCCTCACCCTGTGTTTTCTGTTCTGTCCTTGACATTGCTCTGGTTGCTAGCGACACACGTTGTCCGCTACATCACACTTCCCCCTAGTGATATCCTACTAGCACCAGGTCCAGCCAAATCTGACACATCGGGCCCGTGTGCGTGACCGGACCCCATACGGCGCAATTTGACATCATATCAATTTTATTGCCAACAAAGAATATTTGTAACAAATCCACCAAACCTCGCCAAGTTTTGTTCTCTCAAGTCCTGGTTCTTGGTCACCCAGAATCGGACACCAAAGCATGCAGCCCTATCCACCAAACGGCCCGCTGGTCGCCGACCGGAACGAAAGCAGTCATCATCGCGGCCCACTGAGCAGGACATGGCCACAGATTTTCAAAAAGAGGAGGAGATACAGTCCAGTTCGAGAGAGCGCCCAGCAACAACAGCAGCAGCAGCAACATATCCAACCCAATAATGTCCAACCACAGGCGCAACCACAGCCAACCCAACAGCAGATCCAACCAGTTCAGATACCCATACATCCCATACGACCCATCCCAACCCCCTCAATAGCCTCTCAATCCGTCACCTCTCCCACCGTCTCCTCAATGCGCTCCCCCTCCATAGCAGCAGACACTGCAAGTACGATATCCTCAATATCACACGCCTCCTCCATCCCACCCCCCAACAAAGTCCCCATTGCGCGGAGAGGCAGTAGTATATCTTCTGCCGATCGAAATGGTGTGTTCCCCCCAGAAAACCCTAAGCCCCCCGCCCCACCACTATCACTAGATACTAATGTCGTCCTAGGCGCCGGCGGCGTAATAACCCCACAAGCCGACCTTCTCGCCTCAAAATCAAACTATGAACTCATTTCCTCAGGCCAGCACCTCGAAATGGGACTTCATTTTAGCACCGCAATGGCCTCGGGCGTCATGATGAAGCGCGCGACGCACCGTGCGGCCGAGCAAGCCCGGCGCGACCGCATGAAGAACGCCATGGTTGACCTTGCGGAGTTTTTGTTAGACGGCGAAGTGACGTTTGGGAGTGGGACGACGTGTTTTGTGGTTATGAGGGGGAAGGAGGAGGATTGTAGTAATGGTAACGGTGGAGGTGGGGGGAGTAGTATTGCGGAGGACAAGGAAGACGGGGATGATAAGAGTAGGCGATCGAGTGTCGCGGCGGGAGAAAAGAAGACGGTGAATAAAGCGCGGTTGATCGAAATGGCCCTCGAGAAGATGAGGGCTCAAGAGCGGGAGATTGAGATGCTGAGGGCCGAGGTGGAGAGGTTGAAAGTGGACCAACGGCAACAAGAGGTGGAAGATGATGGTGTGCAGAGTATGGATACTTCGTAACCCTACCATACACACACACATGAGCATACTCCCCTTGTATGTATTTTCTCTCTCTATTTTGGGATGAATGAATGAAAGGAGGGACCCGGAATGGGCGCGGTATCTTCACACATCCTCTTTTTTCAGGTTTGGAGCATTCTATCTAGATAAAGGGCGGTTACTATCTTTTCTTTTCTTTTCTTTTCGCCAGAAAAGTTAAACGTATATCACGTATCACCTAACCTTATTTTTTATTACTAAGGCATCAAGGAGAATATATATATATGTATCCAAAGGAGCATTTTTTATTCAGCTTCTTCCTTTTTCACTCTCTTATTATGATCAAAGCCCAAATCCCAAATATACATACATTGTACAAATAGGATAATACAGGTCCACAACACTTCATCAAACCCTCCGCTTCCCTACCTAATTCCATAGCCATCATTCCCCCCAGACCCCCACGTTTTCCGTCGCTGTGGCGTACATTTGTTCGGGAATTTAAGCGGGACTGCGGCACGGGGGGAACACAGGAAAACATGCTAAGTTTTCGGCCAGATCTACTGGTGTATACGTGCACGCTTAGATCCCGCGTTTTGCCGCTAAGCGCAGGATTTTAGAGTGTCGATCTGGGTTTAGGTTGCGGATTTGGGGATTTGGCTTGGCTTAGGGCGTGGGGGACTGGGGGGAAGGAAAGCGTCGCAGGAGGGGGAAAAAAAAGGGGGAAAGGGGAAGCAGGTATAGGATACGAGGTGGTTTCAGCTTTTGAGTGATATTTTGCATAGTTGGTATTTTGATTTTGGTTGGGTTTGGTGGATGAGAAAGGGGGATGTGGGAATTTCCGATGAGACTGATTAGGGAGATGTGAAAATTGGTTGTTTGAACGATTGGATTGAATGAACTTTTTTTTGGTTACCATGTGCTGGAACTGCGCAGCATGAATAAATTTTTTAACTCGGATCATCTACCATGGTCTATTTTTTCTGTATCCTGAACATGCACACTCTTCCCGCCTGCCGTAGCATCGGTTATCACGGCATGCTCACTGCCTCCACCCCGTCCGCCTTCCGACTCATCATCCTGCTCGCCAGTCTGCGTCCCTCGTCTAGTATCGCCTGTGTGACCCTGCGTTCCGATCCTCAAAAAGGGGAAAAGTAGCATGCCAGGAAACGCGGCTGCAGCCGCGAACCAAAAGGTGAAAGAGTAGGGCTCGGCAGCGTTGCCGGCGTAGTAACCTGATTTTGCTGGACTTTTCTGTACAGCATCGAAAACTGCCGTCGCGATTCCAAAAGCAACAGCGTTGCATAGACGGGATATCGTCTGGAAGAGCGAACCGGCAATGGATTGCTTGTCGAGTGGCATTGAAGACAAAACATACATCTACGGATGGTTAGGACAGAACTATGGGGCAATTGCAGAATTCTAGTGACAAAACTTACATTTGCAACAATGAAGTTGAAGTCAATGCCAACAACACACAAGCAGAGCGCTGGGAAAGCAAATGCCCAGTACGAATCTCCGTCTCTCTGGAGGGCTGCCAGTGTAAAAGAAAGGGTGAGAGCAGTTGACCCGATACCAACAAGGAGTTTGTTGGATACTTTGTGCTGAATCAGGGCGGCCACTGCGTTTGCAGTCAGACCTACAATGGCCATGGGAAGCATGTGAACGCCAGTCATAAGGGCACTGTATTCCTGCACCCGCTGGAAATAGAGTGCAATCCAGAAACTCAAGACGGGGAATCCAAGAGTGGCTAGAGCAAGAATACTCATTAGCTGTTGCATGTCGTTAGTACCGAGATCATGACAGGCTGTGGCAAGCAATGTTGTGAAGCTGCGCAGTTGGATTTCGACACAGAACCCCCATAACAACATGGAACGACGTACCAGAGAAAAGTCTCGATCGCGCCAGATCTTCATATCAATCATCGCGTATGGATAATTTAACTCCCATACAACAAATGAAATAATCAAAATGGCTCCTAGTATCAACAGGACAAGAACATAGGGTGTTTTCCAACCCTGTGGCGCATTGCCGCTAAGACTATGAAGAGTGTTAGCTTGCAGCCTCACTGATCTCGACGTCCAACCATACCTCAATGCAGCACAGAACATGCCAATGCCAAAAATCGTAAGTGCTGTTCCCGGAAGGTCTAGCTTTTTCATCGTCTCTGCGTTGAACTTCTGTTTTGGTGTCGTGTCCTCGGGCACTGTAAACGCAGCAATAATACTGATACAAAAATACACTATAGCTAATAGGAAGAAACCAGCTCTCCAATTGAACACCTGGGTGAAGACACCAGCAAGGATCGTCCCGAAAATGAAGCCCATGGGATTGCCTGCACCGAAGCAGCCAAACGCCCTGTTCTTCCTTTGGCTAGGCCTCGCATAGATGACACCTAGCATTCCCTGTGCAGGAGGCACAGCCGCGGCAGAGAATATACCTAGGACACCGCAAAGGACATCGAGCGTCATGCCGTTTTGAGAGAAGCCAGCTCCCAAGCTGAATACGGAGAAGAAGAACATAGACACGATAAACATGGATTTGCGTCCAAAGAGATCAGCTATACTGCCGAAGAAGAGCAGTAGTGAACCAGCCGTAAGTCTGTATATCTAGTTAGTTATGTAACCTTACATTCCATATCGGGTCGTTCTCACGATGTAGCAGCATTCATCCAGGAAAGCTCCGCATTGGTCATGCCCAGATCTCGCGCCGCAAACGAACTCATGATTGTGACAGCACCTTGCAAGAAACTCGTCATGGCAACAGCCATCGTCACCGATGCAATGAACAGACATTCTTGTAACAGCGATTTGAAGCACTCTGGTCGGGCATTGGGATCCTTTTCGCTGATTGGCTGAGAGTGGATAGTGCCGAGTTCGGCATCAACATCTGTACCCATGTCGCAGGCGTGGCGTATAATCTAGAGTTTAAAGAGAAAAGAACACGAATAACGCAGCAGAAGACCGAGTATTAAAAAGCGCCGAGATTCATGACGAGAGAATGCGAACTAGAGGTCATGTTGTAGATAAGTCTAGATATGATTGAAAATGGAGGAAGTCACAACCGGTAGAATTATTCAGCGCGCGGAATCATTCCTGTGCCCCTGTAGCTAGTTACACAAGCACACATCACTAACCACTCCGGGCCGGGTGTAGTGTAAACCCACCGCCCGAGCACGCCAGGCTAGTAACTAAGTCGGACAGCTTAGGTAAATAAGTAGCCGATGCTATGTATGCGCGGGGCATAGCGTGCATAAATCGACATTTGGGATATATTCCGTATTTGGTGGTCAAACAGTCCAGTCTACGAGCATAGTCATCTGCGAAGATAGCGGAACAAGAATGTGTCTTGTTACGGGCTTACGTAGCTTCTTATAACTTGACCACTCTCCACTCACCTAGGTCCATGCGACTCAGCTGCCCTCCCAATGGACCTTGAATTTCGGTGCCATTAGCCCAGAGCTTCCTGCCTGCCCAGTATTCGATGAAACCATCTGGGCCTGAAACAATGATCAGTCGCGACCCGGCTTCCTCTCTCCGACGCCTTATCTTTTGTTCTACTTCGCCGGGTTGAATAAACGTCTTTTCCTCATCAACGTAATAGTTGACTGTCAAGCCTTTTGTGGCGGCTTCGCTCCGCTTCTTGAGCGTGTCTAACTCGGTCACAATGGCACCCTTCTCTGTGGCACTCGGTGGTTCCACGAGTGGTTCTTGCACAGGAGATCCAAACAGACTCTTCCACCACCCTATTCGATCCTGACCATATTGATCTTGCCCGCTGTCGTTACTGACACCGCCTACGCATTCTTCGCGCTTCCGGTTTGCCCACAATATGTGCATCTTGCTGCCCGTCCGCCGTCCTAGTGCCTGAGCGACTTGCATCGCGGGTGCTATGCCTGTTCCACCTGCTAGAAATATAACCTCTATGATGTCGCGGGGGAGCTTGAGCTCTGTGTTGGGTCCTCGCAGTTCGATGGTCGATTGCTCTGGGAGACGGTGCAGGTAGGTTGAGACCTCGCCGCCCGTCTCCTGGCGTATAAGCAACCTCATACCTCCCAGGTCATCGTCGCCCGTCTTGGTGCTATCGGTTGTGCGAGGCAATGGTGTATATGCGCGGGCAATCTGTAGTTGCGGTTGCTTGATCTGCACGCTCCAAACGCTGCGCTTCGATACCTCCTTGATGCTTTCCGTATCCGAGACGCCATTGCTATTGCGCAGTGTAAAGATGGCGCTGGTCGACGAGACGGGCTCCTTGCTTACAAGTGTATAGGGCGTGAAGGTGTGAGGGTTCAAAGTGGCATCGGACGCATCTGCGGGTTTGGCGAGACGATATGCTGCGCCGCCAAGCGCTGAAGACCCGAGCACAATCAGTGGGCCTGCTTGTCGCTTCAACCAGGACATTGCTTGGGTAGGGATTGCGCTGACCTGGTGGAGTCGGGTTAAGGTGTTGGGCACTGCTACAAACTTTGTGTTGATATGGCCCAAGCGTGCTGTCCGCTCAGGTACGTATCTCAAGAAGGGCCCGGTATCCGGCAGCCCACCAAAAATGAGGAGGCACAGCAAACTAACTACACGTAAACAGCCATCAACGTCGTCTATAAAACACATCCTATACACATGGCATCTCCTGCACGGCATTAGTCGTGTGACCAATCTCCGACTTCTTCAAGGGTGGCAACAGTCTGGTTTCAGGTGCGGGTGTAACTGTGGAACAGCAAATCGGCATGCGCTACCTTCCCCTTCAGGGAAAAGCGTACCTTCCCGACACATGCCTCAGCCTCTAACCCTTTGCAGCCAAAGACCCTGCATATCTTCCACCCACACCTGGTGGCGTTCCGTTGGGTCATTATCATTCACCGACTCCTTCCTTCTCTCTCTTCCTATTCTCAACTCTCTGCCTACAGTGCGTAGCCTAACTAGTCGAACAAGATCCTCGGCGTCTAGCCTCCAAAGGCGGGCCTTTCGGCATCATTTGGCCCTACTTCGGCAATTCTCCGGAGTTATCGCGGAACAGCGACTACAGCCCTATTGACAGTTGTCGGAGTTTTTGAAAAGAAACGACAAAACCACGAGCAACATTCTAACCCAACATCTGGACATCAGGAATAACTAGGGGATCATCAGGCAGACAAGTCACAGTCGGAAGTCCCGTGGTGTTCCGCCTGTACACGTGGTACAGAGCCATGGCGCCTGCCATTCTGACTCAACGCCCTAGAATCTTATTTCTGGACGCCTACGATTCGTTTTCAAACAACATTGTCGCGATAGTCGAGCAAAACATCGACGCGCATGTCGTCAAGATCTTCATCGATGATCCAAATCTTACACAGGTAAAAGACGATGGGCAGCACTCAGCCTTTACGGATTACCTCAAGAGCTTCGATGGTGTGATTGCTGGGCCCGGGCCCGGCTGGGCGAAATGCGAAAAAGACGTTGGTCTGATGAAAGAGCTCTGGAGTCTTCAAGAAGAGCAGCTTGTTCCTGTTTTTGGCATCTGTTTGGGGTTCCAGTCCATGTGCCTTGCCTTTGGAGCTGACATTGAACGACTTGAGGAGCCGAAGCATGGCATCATTACCACCGTCCTGCACAAAGGCCAGTCCATATTCCGAGGCGTAGAGCGTCTTTTGGCTACACAATACCACTCCCTTCATGTCAAGCTCGACCACCCCATCCAAAGTAAACGAGCTGTACGATACCCCGCTCAACTCTGGGAACCCACTGAAACTTGCCCTGAACTCGAGCCGCTGGCATGGGATTTCGATAGTGAGCGCAACGGTGCTGTGCTCATGGGTGTCAAGCATATACAAAAGCCATTCTGGGGCGTCCAGTTTCACCCGGAGTCAATTTGCACAAATGATGAAGGAAAACGTCTCTTCCAGAACTGGTGGGAAGATGCCCAGGCTTGGAACCGCAGGCGGATATTTCGTAATGTTCCCAAAAAAACACTCATGCCAAATACGCCATCTTCCCCCATGACCTTTGCGGATTTCCGACGAGAACTTGGTTTCCAAGGCGCCATGAAACAGGGCAAATACTCAACTGCTAATTTCGCGGCAAATCTCGACAGCGATACCATTACACCCTTTGAACTAGCATCGCTGATTGCACACGGCGATGGGCAAACGATACCAGACCTAGCCCCTAATACTGTACACTGCGCAACCACAGGAAGCGGAAGGCTTACAGTTGCCGATGTCTGTGAACTTTTCGAGTTGACACGAGGGGAAGCATTGGTTCTTGAATCTGGATTGCAGTCAAATCTGGTACCCATGGCCGTAGGCACTGGCAGATATAGCATTGTTGGGTTTGTTATTCCTGAAGAGACCCTCCGCTTGCACTACTACGCCGGATCCCGCAGAATGGAGCTCAGAGACGGCAAGGATCAAGTGCATACCGAATGGACTGTGAATGACCCATGGCCATATGTACGAGAAGTCATGAAGAGTCTCCAGCCATCTACACCACCACAAGGGTCGACATGGGCTCCTTTCTGGGGAGGTCTAATGGGCTTTGCATCCTACGAGGCTGGTCTGGAGACTATTGGTGTCCATGGGCATGAGGAAGCCGCTTATCCAGACATTTGCTTTGCATACATCACTCGAAGCATAGTCTTCGATCATCAGGTCAAGAAGATTTATGTCCAGAGCATTCGTGGCGCTTTTGATCAAGATTGGGTTGAAGAGACGATAGAGAAGCTGTACGACCATGCTGGTGTGAAATCTCGGGAAAGCACGCCAGGATCCAGTGCTACGGCAGAAGTGGACCCGTTTGAAACACAAGGTACGATGGATCAGTACATTGAGTCTTGCCGACAATACGAAGCCGGTGAGAGTGAATACTCGGAAAAAGTCCGCATCTGTCAAGAGGCTATAGCAGACGGCCAGAGCTATGAGCTCTGCCTTACCACACGCAACGAGATTCGTGCTCGTAAACCGACTGCCTGCAGAATTTCGCGTTCAGAGGACAACGAACATTCTTGGAACATGTACAAGCGCCTGGCTAGCCAGAATCCCGCTCCGTTTAGTGCATACATGAGGATACACAATGTCCATGTCTTGAGTTCATCACCGGAAAGATATATTAGCTGGGACAGGTCACAAACTGCCCAATGTCGGCCCATCAAAGGCACGGTACAGAAGAAGCCTGGCGTGACTGCTGAGATGGCCCACGAGATTCTTTCTTCATCCAAGGAACGGGCAGAGAACCTCATGATTGTCGATCTTACTCGACACCAATTGCACGGCGTCTACGGCTCAGAGAATGTCCGCGTGAGTCAACTTATGGAGGTTGAGGAATACGAAACACTGTGGCAACTAGTCTCAGTAGTTGACGCAGTACCTGGTGGCTCTAACAAGCCAACTACACCCGACGACTGGGAAGAACCTGTGGACTTTGCCTCCAAGAAGCCTTCCAAGCACTCCGTACCCTACCTAGGCTTCGAGGCTTTTGTCGAGAGTCTCCCTGCAGGAAGTATGACTGGAGCACCCAAGAAACGGTCATGCGAGATTCTACAGGGCGTGGAAAAGGGTGAAAGGAGAGGCCTGTACTCTGGTGTTCTCGGTTATCTCGACGTTGGAGGCGGTGGCGACTTTAGTGTAGTCATACGGACTGCTATCAAAATCGACAACGATGACCTCCAAACTGATGACAAGGAAGACGTCTGGCGTCTTGGCGCTGGAGGTGCGGTCACGAGCCAGAGCACACCACAAGGCGAATACGAAGAGATGATTGCTAAGTTTGGCAGCACTAGTAGGGCCTTTATGCCTCTTCCACCACCAAAGTTGAGGACTAAGGGTAGGAGGGTTGAGATAATTGAACCTGATGACCCTGAATTTGCGGATTTGCTTGCAAGCATGAGGGGGGGAGAAGAGCTGACGCTGGACGATGCTCAAATCATGTTGCGAGCTGTGGAACGAGAACTAAGGAGGAGGACTGGCCAAGATTCAGGCAATGATACCACAGAGGTGGAGTGAATGTTTTACGGGAGTTGGGATGGTGCGGGAGTCGCTGAGCTTAACCTTTGATACCATCTTTTATACTAGAGATAGACCTTTCTGGTTTCAACACCAATAAAATTCTTACTAGACACTTTTGAATCTCAACTCATAAATCTTATTCCAATTGACATTTGTTCTTTCCGTGAATATCTTGAAATGGGGAGCATTAACTACATGAAGGTATGATGACTAAGCACGAATAGTGGGAACGTAGCATTCGCCGTGTAATCCTGAGCACCGCGTCGCAACCCAACACACGCGTTCCGAGAAGTAGCAGCAATGGCGACGGAAGCGCCAGATCCACGGAGTTTCCAAACCTGGGAAGACGCGTTCCAGTATCCAATTCCGGTGGTTCGCAAGCTTGAACAGCAGCTCCGCAACAATGCCGACGAGAATCGTGAGAAACTGCGGTCGCTCGTGGGGTACGGATATCTGAATGCAAGGAAAAGACAATAGAGAGCAAGCAATGCTAACTGTACACAGGGTAAGTTACCGTAGCCTCCTCGATACTGCCGAAACGATCATCGATATGGAAGTACGAATGGGCCAAGTGGAAACCAAGCTTTCAAAAGTAGGGCAGAGTTGCAACTCCAGGCGCTTAGAGAAGATATCAAACAATGCGGGGAAAATGGACATTCACACACGGAGTCGTGGTCAGTCTTTTGTATTGCATTGGAAGGGGCCATTGGGTTGACAGAGGACAGATGCGGAGCGGTACACGCTGGCGTCCCAACTCTCGGTCCTGCGCAATGCACCTCTCGTTATGACACGCCTCATGAAAAGAGAGGGATCATATCTGCTCATTGCAAAAGTCCTGGTCATTTCACGACTACTTCACAAGGCCCTCAGCCAGTCTGCGACGAAGCCCGCAATTGTGGACCAGCTGTGGGAGAGGCTGCTGTCTGTACGGAGGAAGCTGTTGCGAAGAATCGATAAACGACTATCAAGTGCAAGCGGTGAAACGGCAACTCTGGTGGAGAGTATGTGCGCCTATGCACTTGCTACAAGTTCGACGCCGACCGATACCCTACACCATTTTCACAAGATGAGATTGGATAGGATGAACAGCGAGATCAAGGCCAGTGGTGATGAGCTTGCCAAGCACGGTATTGATGCGCTCAAACTATGCATTCAGACGTGTCTCGACACCCAGACGATATTCCCGCGGAGGCTGGCAGAAGCATTGGCAAAGCTAAAAGCGCATCCCTTGATCCAGGACCTTGATGTTCGCGGCCTATATGAGTTGAATCTAGACGTGCACGACCAGTGGCTTGGCGATGAGGCGCGGAACTACACGCCCTGGCCACGGCATGATGAGTTGCAGCGACCAGAAGCAGAGCGGATACTACACCGTTGGTCTAGGGATGCCATTGCGGCTTTCTTAAAAGGCGTCAAGAAGGCACTAGAGGGTGAAGAGAGATTGCAAGAAGTTGCAGATTTGCGGCAAGAATTGATTGAAACATGGATTCTGTCTGGATCTCGAATGGCGGGTGTCAAGTCTGCAAACGTACTCGACGACTTGCGCGACATGATGAATGAAAAGCTTGAAAGCATCGTCCGGTCAAGAACAGACGGTCTACAGACTGTCGTTGCGGAACTTACAGCTCAGCTGGACACAATCGCTGCATCTGAAGCAACCTCGGCGCTAAGTCTGTGGGATACAATTGACAAGGCCTCGGACCTCTCCAACGGCGCCCAATCATTCAAGTCCACAGTCCTGAACACATACCAAGGCCGAGACGACCTAGTCATCAGCGTCACATCCGCCTTTGACAACTGGATGGCCTCAGTCCTCGAAGTCAAAGGCATAGTCAAGAGCATGAAGGAAGCCCGCTGGGATGACACCTTTGCCGATGATGCAGGCTCTGACTCCGACTCAGACCTAGGCGACTCGAAGCAAACCCTCCTCAGCGACGACGATCCCAAGTTGCTAGAAGAATGCACACAAGAAGCCTTACGTGAAGCCCTGCAGAATCTAGGCAAAAGTCTCTCTGTCATCACTAAAGCTTCTGACAAGACGAACGGGGCCGATTCCATCCAGAAAGCAACCTTCATACTACGTGTCATTAGAGAAATAGGGGATCGTATACCGCGACTCAGGCTCCAAGATAAAGCCACATCCCCCACCTCCCCATTTACCCCCGACATTCTCGAACCCCTACACGCAACTTTAGCATCGTACGTTGCGCAACCAACGCTGGAAGCGTACAAGAATTCGCTAGCAAAGTCCCTGAAAATCAAATCGAACAGCCATATTTTGTGGGAGGGCCAGCCACCACTGCCTACCCAGCCGTCGCCCAGCGCATTCCGCTTTCTAAGGGACTTGAATGCCAAAATGACAGGTGTGGGAAGTGATCTTTGGGCCCCGGGGAGTGTGAATGTGATGAAAGGGAGAGTGGCGGGGATGTTGGTTGGGGCTGTGGAGGGGCAGGCTGATGCTATTATTGCGCTCGGGCAGGGGGGTGCTGAAGGTGAGAAGAAGGAAGAAGAATCGAAGGATGAGGGGGGTGAAGGAGAAGAAGGGGAGGAAAAGACGGATGCGAAGGAGGAAGAGGCGGAGATCAAGGGTTACAGACTTAAGCAGTTGCTGTTCGATGTGTTGTATGTACAGCGGTTTATTGAGCCGTCGGCTGGAGAAGAAAGCATCGCGGCGTTGAGGAAGAAGATGGATGAGGATGTGGATGATGCTGCGGTGAACAGGCTGAAGAGAAGTGCGGTGGACTACGCTAAGAAGACTTATTTGCTCTTTGCGCTGTTAGCCTAGAAAGTACATCAAGGTAGATCAATATGTATACTAGTACAATCCACAACGTCCGCCAGAACAATATGCGTATTACTAACGTCCCCCCAACATCATCTCATTCTTTGACTAACTAATTCTATCTTCGAATCGCAATTCGCCTTGTTTTAATTTTGTTTTTTTCAAAGCACGATGCGACTACCGTACGATATGAGAAGAATTCCCTTATACAAATAGCCCCCCTAGTAACGATAGTTTAGTTGGTACATGATGTCTTTCCCTTCTGAAAAACAAAAGTAATTTCTAAATATCGAAGACTATTTAGTACCTAAAGTAATTTTTCTTCGATATTGCAAAATGTAGAAAGAAGTATTCAAGTTTTAGTATGGGAGAAGCGTTTATAATCGCTTCTTTATTAACCTACAGTATAGAATTTGCATCTTTAAATTTGAGCTCTGATCATATAGAGAAAGGTAATATCTTTATTTGTTCGATTCATTCACTTCCCCGCCCTTCCACAAAAAACCTCTATTTAATGATCAGGGTTGTAATACTTGCGCCAGTTATGTTCCTCTTTGAACCCCAACACCTCCTTAATCTTGCGATTACTCAAGGGCGCCTCCCACTCGCCCATCTCCCGTGTAACAGGCGTATTAGGCGCATACTGCTCGAGGAATTGTTTCGTGGGGAAGGTAGCGGTAATAGTATCATTTGTCGCATTGAAAATCTGGAACCCTAGCCCATCTTTCTGCACGCACAAATGGCAAATCTGGCCAAGATCACGGGCGTCAATGTAAGCCCAGGCGTTTCGCTTGCGCGTCTCTGGGTTCTGGATGTATTTTGGAAAGTCGCGGGCGTACTCGTGGGGCTCAATGACATTGCCGATGCGTAGGGCGTAAATGTCTGCGTCGAAGCGACGGGCGAAACCGCGGGCTACGCGTTCGCCGCAGAGCTTAGAGATGGCGTAGGTATCCATTGGGTTCACATCTGCATCTTCGACTAAGGGGAAGGCAGTGTAGTCGAGGTTGCCCTGGCCGAAACAGACTTCGTAGGTTGTTTCGCTGCTGGCGATGATGATCTTGCGGACCCCGAGTTTACAGGCTGCTTCGATGACGTTGTAGGTTGAGCGGACGTTGCCGGCGTAGCACTCGTTGTCTGGCACGAGCATGTTGCGGGCGTAGGCAGCGAAGTGGATGACGGCGTCTGGGGGACCGGGGACGTGTGGTGCTTCGTAGCCGGCGAAGTTGAAGTGCGTGGTTAGGGCATTGAAGACTTGACCGCTATCTGTGAGGTCGGTTTTCAAAGTGAAGACCCCAGCATCCGGGTCAGGGAAGTCGATTAGGTCGAGATTGAGGACTGAGTAGCCTTGCTGGAGGAGGTAGGGGATTACATGGCGTCCGGCTTTTCCTGAGCCGCCTGTGAAGACGATGCGTTTCCCCGAGGAGGACATGATGGGAATATCGGGAATTGGATGGCTCAGTTTTTGTCTTGAAGGAGACTTCTAACCTGGGATACAATCTGTCAGTGGAGGCAGCTGGACAATTGCGGGGTTGCGTATCTACCTTTGTGGTTCATGGGCTTGAGGGGTGGTTTAGTTGGCTGTGTGAAAGTATCTTGAGGGTCTCAAATCGAGAGGACCACGAGAGACTAGCCTCCATCTTTATAAACGTCATGGGCGGGTGCATGTAGAATAGCCTATCCCACCGGGACATGGGCGTGCGAAGTTGCATGTGGCGAGCACGGTAAGCCATAACGGGAAATACGTTTTGGGGCATGGGGAGGGTCGCGCTAGTGCTACGTCACGACCGAATACCCCGGCCTTTGGTGGTGCAACTGCGTTTACTAGCGTCATGCCAGCGACCGATTCCTCCGCAATCCGTATTTGGCCGAACGACAGAGATATTTCTAGACGCCTACGCCTGTCCCTACATATGGTCGCATATTCCCACCCATACACATGACCAGCGGTCTGATGCGGCGCTTCTTCTCGACGTTTGCCCGCACGCAACTTGAAGCCACGACGACTGCGACTTCGCTTACGGCGCCCCGAATACTAGGGCTCAGGCAATACAAGAGGACTCTTAGCGATGTCGGCTCCAGACGGGCGTCGGTGTCGAGGCATTGGTTCACAAGCTCGTCGCCATACTCGAATTCCGAGCCCGACGAGTGTGAGAAGAAGCGCATGAGCGAGCGCGACCTGAAGCTGGGAAACAGTATGTTTGCTACACGAGTAGAGGAATGGGATGCATTGCTAACAGAGACGACAGCCATTAGGGTCCTACATGATCGCCTACCGACGCTCTTGATATCGCCACTCCCCCAGGACATCCTCTCGCCGCATATCAGCCTCCACCTATTTCCCTCGACGCACCCACATCTGCCTACTGTAAGCGGGAGGTTTTCGTACGCTGCAGCACTATGGACAGCGCCGGTTGCATGGGGTCAGGTTCCGGTATTAGGCAACGTCAAACTCAAGATATTGTCTGAGCGCATGGTGAAGAATGGGGGGTGCTCAACAGCAAGCAATGTGCGTAACGAGAAACTCATTGTCAAATGGCAGACATGCGGCAAGTCGGACAAGAAAGAGAGCGGGCAGGTCAGCGATGTTGTGGAGAAAATCACGAGCATTGTTGCTGGGTCCAAGCGGCCACAGCAGGAATTTACAGGCCTTTTCAAGTTTGAGTTTGACGAGGAAGGACGGATTCTGAACCACATCATCGAGCACACAGATGAGGGCCAGCATTGGGATCGGACTGCCAAGATGATTAGCGTCACGGATTGGCTTCTGGGACGGGCGTGGGGGATGCGAGATGAAGGTAGTCCCAGCCTGGCGTTTGCCAAATGCAGCAGGGAAAAGGACGGCCGCGGCCAGAGCGAGCGGCGATGAAACGCTGTTGTTCTGCTTCCACGTCAACGTTGGGCTGTAATTGCTGTTGTTGTTGTTGTCGTCGTCATCGTCGTCGTCGTCTTCTCCCTTTTTTTTCTCTTCACTCCACCTGTACAAGATATGTAACCACGAAGTAATGAGATGGCGTTTTTCGTATAGAGTAGCGAAGACCAATTGATACCCTAGCACAAGGACCAGGATGTTGTATGCACACCCGCTTGTTCCGATACGGATGGCAGCATGTACGTGTAAGTGGGTTCGCAGGCCAGGTAGGCGAGATGCAAGTGGCTGGTTGGAGGTGCAGCGAGCTTTTCACATCGCAGATGCAAATGTGACTGTATGTGGCCCCTCCCGTTGCTGTGCGGAGGGCGGTCATGTGCGGCGACGTGATAGGATGAAGGGGAGCTGACGGCTGCTGTGGCCGCCCAATGGTGAGTTGGCGGCCGAGGGCGCGCATCAACCACGGCACTAGGCCAGGTAGCTTCCGCCTAGCACTTCACCCTGCCAGCATACTATAGTCGCAACATTGCTGCCCTCGCATCCCACGCCTACTACGCCATTCCGGCTTTTCCTCCTCCACCTCCGCCCTGCGACATCTCTCATTGTTGCTCTGCAGCTCCCCGTGCCTAGCTGCCATTGCTACAGCCGCCGCCCCCCCCCGCCGCTTGCCAGCCCCCCGACTTTCCCACGCCCGGCCGCCTGTTGCCTGTTTCCCCGCGCCTATTCCACAACAGCGCCGGGAGCTCGCAGCCTCGTCAACCCTAGGCTTCTGCCTCTCTCCCCACCAGAGCCATTGCCTGACCGCGCACAATCATGGCGGACATGTCACAGAGCGGGGAATTGAGTATGTCGACTGTTCTCCCTGGCACATGTCTATGTATCGCGAAGCTCCTGCTAATGCGGCGCAGATCAGCCCATCCTCAACCTGACGCCAGAGGAAAAGCGCGTCTTCCAGTATCTCTTCCAGCAAGCCGACACAGAAAAGCTTGGTGTCATAACAGGCGAGATCGCCGTCAAGTTCTTCGAGCGGACCAAATTAGCACCAGCTGTCCTTGGTGAAATATGGCAGATTGCAGACACGGAAAACCGCGGTCTCTTGACCATGGCTGGCTTCTGCCAGGTCCTGCGCCTCATTGGACACTATCAGGCAGGACGAGACCCTACCCCCGAGCTTGCCTTTAGACGTACGACTCCTGCGACTCCTCTTGTGTCTCGTTGATCACACGCGCTGACTTTCCAGTAGCTGCCCCCCTGCCAAAATTTGAGGGTCTAACACCACCATCGGCTCCTCCCGCCGCCCCTGGCTTCTCCCCACAACCAACCGGCTCCATCCAGCCTCAAGTGAGTGGCAACGGCCCAATCCGCGTCCCTCCGCTAGTCCCTGCCAAAGCTGCCGAGTACGCAGGCTTGTTTGAGAAGTCTGGCGCAGTCAATGGCATCCTTTCAGGTACAACCCTGCTTCCTACCTCAACCTGACTCTTGGCTAACAACTTCCAGGCGAAAACGCAAAAGAAATCTTCGAAAAGGCGCGGTTACCAAATGAAGTTCTTGGTCGAATATGGAACCTTTCAGACACGGAGCAGCGCGGAGCCCTCAATGTTACAGAGTTTATCATCGCCATGCACCTACTCGCATCGTATCGCACAGGAAACATGAAGGCCCTCCCGAACACGCTGCCTCCGGGCTTGTATGAAGCCGCTTCTCGACGTGGAGGACTTCCGCCACCACCGGGACGTCCAGACCAGAGCATGGCTATCCCACGTCAATTCAGCGGCCAGCAATCTGCACCACGACAGCCAAGCCCGCTCGGCCGGCAACCCTTTGGAGCCGCTCCCCCGCCCGCGCCGCCTGCTGGAAATGACTGGCTAATCAGCCCGCAAGAGAAGGCGTCGTATGACAACTTGTTCAAGGGTGTAGATACCATGGGTCGCGGCTTCATTACCGGAGACCAGGCAGTGCGCTTCTTCAGTGACTCGGGTCTGCCCGAGGATGTTCTTGCAGGTATATGGGATCTTGCAGACATCAACTCTGAAGGACAGCTATCCAAGGACGAGTTCGCAGTAGCCATGTACCTCATCCGGCAGCAACGGAAGGGAGATCAACTCCCTACAACTTTGCCGCCCAATTTGATCCCACCAAGCCTACGCACCCCTGCAAACCAAGCTGCACAGATCCCCCTACCCCAAGTGGCACCCCCACCTCCACCTCCTCCTGCTCCCAAATCTGCTGCTGATGATCTCTTCGGTCTGGACGCCTTCACGGCACCGATCCCTGCTCCTCCTCAGCAGCCACAATCGACCGGTGGATCAGCCACATTTAACAAGCCTTTCGAGAGTGATCCTTTTGGTAGCAAAGCTGCTTCGCCAACTTCCCCACATCATTTCCAGCCTCAGCCGCGAAACCCAGCCTCCACTTTCAAGCCGTTCATGCCAAGCTCGTCTTTTGGTCAAACTCTAACGGCACACTCCACGGGCCAGTCTGGAATCTCTGGCGCGCCGCAACACTCAACGCCGTCCGTTATGGACGACCTGTTAGGTGGAGAGACTGATCCTGAGATCAACAGAAAGTTGACGCAGGATTCCACCGACTTGGCCAACATGTCCAACCAAATGACCACCCTACGCAACCAGATGCAAGAGGTTCAGAACAAGAAGACTGCAACTGAAAGCGATCTCAACAGTGTCAACACTCAGAAACGTGACCTTGAACTTCGTCTCTCACAGTTTAAGACGCAGTACGACCAAGAAGTCAAGGCAGTCAAAGTTCTGGAGGATCGTCTGGCCAGCTCTCGCACCGAGACGCGAAAGCTGCAGCAGGATCTTGCGATGATTGAAGCATCCTACCAGGATCTTCAAAACCAGCACCGTCAAGTCGGAGGTCAACTTGAGGCTGATCAGCGCGAGAACAACAGCTTGAAAGAGCGCATCCGTCAGCTCAACGCTGAGATTGCGCAGCTTCGCCCCCAGCTTGACAAGATGAGGAACGATGCCCGGCAACAAAAGGGCATGGTAGCGATTAACAAGAAGCAGCTGGCTACTAACGAGAGCGAGCGCGACAAGATCAAGAACGAGATGAGTGATTTGAGCAGGTCCCAGGAAGAGACCTCCCGCGGCTCGCCAATACAGTCACCCGCCGTTGTCAGCCCTGCAGCTTCCACAACAAGCCAGAGCACTAATCCGTTCTTCCGAAAGTCACCTCAGCCCGCTGAGAATACCATGTCGCCCTCTGGCTTTGTTCGTGAGGGACCTCACAAGGATTTTGATAGTGTCTTCGGTTCATTCGGTACTCCTCAGAGCAGTGCGCCTCCAGTATCGTTCCGTCCTGACAACCAGAGTCTCGGACCTGGCTTCTCTGCTCCATCTGGTCAGTCAGTACGCTCTTCTGAGGGTCCTGACGTTCCCACACCCTCCACGTCACCTCCTTTGTCTTCTTACCAGGAATCTCCCCGTGTTGCCGATCCACCAGCCCCTCCTGAGTCACGTCAGTTTGGCTCTGCATTCTTGCCATTAAGGGAAGGTGCGCCGCGGTCGGACTCCTTCAGCTCTTCTGTGCGTGCGCCTGCTTCTACCAGCAGATATGGTCACCATGCCCCTGGAAACGAGACACCTACTATCTCGCAGGCTTCACCCGCTGGTACTCCGATTGCTGAGAAGCCCACTGTTGAGCGTACCGATACCAACCGGACAGAAACCGACAACTTTAACCCAGCTCTGTTCAATCGCACTTTCTCAGCTTCTCCAGTAACCAGTGTTACCAGCGATACCCAGCGCTCAATCGCCAAGGCTGAAGATCGCAAGGACACTTTCAACTTTGGGACACAAGATCTTCCCGGAGCGTTCCCACGGGACTCTGGTACACCGCTGCAGCAGAACAAGACTGGCGAGAGCAGTATGAGTGCTCCACAGAGAACCAACAACACCGACCCCTTTGGCAGCACCTCTGGCGAACAGCCTCGGGGAGGCAAGGACGACTTTGACGCGGCTTTTGCAGGCTTTGGTCCTAGCCGTCAAACCGCCGCTACTGCCTCAAACGCAAGTGCACCAACAGGCGATTCTAACAGATTCAACAAGGAGTTTCCACCAATTGAGGATCTTGCGCATGACGACGACAGCGACAGCAACGATGGAAGAGGATTTGACGACAACTTCACATCCGCATCACCAAACCAGAAGCGTACCAGCTTTGGACCGGAGCAGCGCTCTCAGCAGCAGCAGCAACGTCCTGGCACTGCCTCAAGCGACGAGCTCTACCGAGCTCCGCCTCCGACCACTCGCCTGGACTCTAACCTTAGCGGCCTGCCCTCTCCCGGTGCGCAAAAGTCACCACCTACCTATGATTCCGCTGTGAACACGACAAGAAGTGGCTCAAACCAGTTCCCCCCTGAATTTGGTGGTCTCCTTCCTGCTCGTGAGAACCCAACGTCTGCTGGTTCTCCTGACACCGCGCAGGGTCCTGAGAGGTCATTCAACCCACCAGGTGGCCATGGAGCTGCTCTCTTTGGTGGCCCGTCCAAGTCTGCCACAACATCACCAGCTCCTCTCGATACTCCGGTTTCCACTGTTCCCTCAGACCAGTACCACTCTGCCTTGACATACGGTGCCAACGAGAACAACAAGGGCCCATCGCCATCCAACAATGTTCCTCAGCTCGGAAAATCTGCCTTCAACGATGACTTCGACGCTGGCTTTGATGATCTTGCCGATGCCAAGGAAGATGACAAGGCTGATGATGACTTTATGTTCTCCTCGCAGCATCGTGATGGGCTTGATGAGTTTAACCCTGTCTTCGACTCGCCAGCTGCCTCTAAGTCGAACACCATGGCTTCGCAGCAAACACCCACTGGAAAGCCTCGCGGAGATGACAGCTTCAGCGACTTCGAGCACCTATCTCAGACCTTTGGTGGTCAATCCCAGCAGCCTCAGCCAGGCTCCTCATCTCAGGATTGGGACGCCATTTTCTCCAACCTAGAATCTTCGCAGACTGACAAAGGTGCGCACTCGCAACAAGCGTCAACCGACTTTGGCAAGTCCGTCTTTGACACGCTTGATAAGGAGGAGGCCGCCGCCGCATCGTCATCCAAGTCTCAGCAATTGTCACCTCAGATGCCGCCACTCGGCCGTGCCATCAGCACTGGAACCGAACACGACGACCCTATTCTCAAGAAGCTGACCGGTATGGGCTACACACGCAACGACGCTCTTTCTGCGCTCGAGAAATTCGACTATGACATCAACAAGGTAAGCATTATAGCATCTCACTATACATTTAAGAAACTCAACTAACACCTTGGTAGGCTGCTGACCACTTGGCCTCTGGTGGAAACTAAGAAGTGGGAAATTGCAAGTCCATGAATGCATCATGATCATTGCAACAAACGATCTTGAATCGCTCTTTCTTGTCTTGTACGAGTACATATGTTTAGCATGGCGCCGCTCCTAGTCCTTGTACCTTTGAGCGTTTGATTCTCATTCTCTCTGTCTGTCTGTCTGTCTCTCTCTGTGTGTGTGTCTTACCAACACCATCTCCGCAGCGCACGCATGCCTTTTTTATTTCTTTTGTTCGAACATTCTCTCTTCTTGTAGTAAAGCACTCGCTTGTTGTGGGGGAAGCTACGGCATGTTAGTCTTTGGGTTCCTGTCACTTTGTGGGTGCACGCTTTTGGACGGAAAGGGAAAGGAAATGTTTGCTTTGAGAAGCACGTATTTTGCAACTTAATCTAATTTGTTTGCTTGTGCTATTGGTCCTTTTGGATACCCTCTTCTTGTTTCAAGTATACGAGTCGTGGTTTGTTACATATCAACTTGTGAATTGTACAGATATCATAGATGGAGTCGATGTAGAAAGGGTTTAAGCGTGGTATTAAATAGACCTAGAATATACAGATGCCCGATTTCATCTCATCATACATTCATATAGAACAAAACAAATCGACGCAGTTCATCATTGGTATCCCAGAAAAGATGTCCTCCCAACCATTCGGTATCAAGCATTCCCCTAAAACAATCAAACGTCATTAAACTCTCTTAACACTAAGCAGCAACAGACTCGGTTCTCACAGCAGCATCAACTTTCTCCTCATACTTGTCAAAGACGGCAGTGCCCTCGACGTGGCTATCTTCAAAGACGTCGACATGGGTGGAGGCGAACTTGCGGGCGCTGACTTTCTTCTCGAAGAGGAGATCGAGCTCGGCGAAGGAGCGGCCACGGGGCTCGGGGAGGCGGAAGTAGGTGTAGATTATGCTGAGGAAGCAGGAGCCGCCCCAGAAGAAGCCGGCGTAGTTGCCCCTGGTTTCAAACGTTAATATGAGACTTTGAAGGGAGGTTGTTTAGGGGAAAGAAGAAGAAGAAGAAGAAGAAGAAGGAACTTACCAGTTCCAAGCTCCAGGGTTGAGCATGTAGGGAGTGAGAACGGATGTTATGATACCGATTACGTTGTACAAGTTACGTCCCAAGACGACCGTCTTGATGGCTAGACGGCGGGTAGACAGTTCGGCGACGAGCGAGTAGCATACGGTTCCGACAGTGAGCTGGTAGAACATAGCCCAGACAATCATCATTGCGCCTGTTGCCATGGCGCTGGTTTTGCGCTCGGAGCTAGGTACAAGGCCGAGGAAGCCCATGACGAAGAGCATGACGCAGAGACCGCAGAGACCGCCAAGGTAGAGCGTGCGACGTCCGATTCCGACTTTCATTAGGTACCAGGCGCCGAAGACGCCTGCCATGTTGATGCCGTATTGGCCCATTGCGAAGTCGTAGGAGGTGGAAGGTGAGAGACCGGCTTGTTGCAGGAAGTAGGACGAGTATCCGGAAAAAGCATTGCCACTGAGATTCTGCATTGCCCAAGCCATGCAGACGATTTCTGTGCGGCGCAAGTCAGTACCCTTGAAGCAGTCCCAGTAGCTTGCACCTTGGGTGATTTTCTCTTCGAGCGCGGTCGTGTGGACCATCATGGCAATCGTCTCTTCGGCGTCAAAATCGGTCTCGCGGTTAAGGCTGGTGAGGTGGAGTAGCGATTTCTTTGCGTCTTCGAGTCGACCTTTGCGGACGAGCCACCAAGGGGATTCGGGGGCGAGGAAGACACCGATTAAGAGGGGAACTGGCCACATCCATTGCAGAGCGTAGGGAATGCGGTAGGACCATTCATCTGGCCGGTCGACGAGAGAGCGAATGACTCCGATACCAATGAGTTGACCCAGACCCCAGCAAAAGTTGACATATGTTGTTACTACCAACTTGTAAGTATATTGTCTTGTTATGAATATAGGGGAGTTTGGACTTACAGTATCCACGCAGGGCAACGGGACAAACCTCGCAAGCATACGTGATAGTAAGAGTCTGGAAGACACCCCACGGAATACCACAGAGAATCTCAGCAATCAGCAGATGCACAACCGTCTGAGCAGTGAAGAAGATAGTCGTAAAGCCAATGATCAAAGTCAGACATCCCATTACCGTATAGCGGTAACCAATCCACTCGCTGATCCATCCGTTCAAGAAAAGCCCAATGATCTCGCCCACAATGACTCCATTGGACAATCCAGCCTGCCATGGTGCTGGGATTTCCCACGTGCCATCCGCAAGTTGCTCGCCATACTTTTGTTTGAACTGCGGGAAACCGAAAAAGTTGTTGAGCAGACAGACATCGTAGCCTTCCATGACGATACATGTGCTGATGAGGACCGACCAGCCAATGGCTTTGGGATAGAGCTTGATGCCCTGCATGAGGGTCATCTTGCGCTCCTTGTCTGACGCCAGGCGTGCGTCATTGATGACCTTGTTGGCAGCGAGCTTGTGACTGTCTTCATAGTCGGTATCATGTTCCAGCTTGGGAGCTGCAGTAGGCTCGATATCCTTCTCGCCAGACATATCTGCGAGGGCTTGTGGTATCAATCAGGCAGTTGAACCGAGGAGAACGTGCTATTGACCTGGTTCAGGACAGCAACGAGGGTGGGGAAAAGAGAGAGGGGGGAGGATCCTGCAACGCCGCTCCACACTCTCTCACAATACTAAAACGAAAAAGAGAGAGAGAATCTGGGGAAGCTGCTGTCACCGTGACATTGGAATGGTAAGGATACGCGACGGCCTTTAAGCATAAAAATTCTGCGGGGTCTACTAGTGTATGATTTGGGCCAAGCGCAACTGCACGCGATGGTCGCCCTGGGTCTCGGTCGCGTGCAGAGAAGTGGAGCTTTCCCTTGTGCCGATTGACATGTTATATGATTGGACAGCCTGACATGTGACCAGTCTGTGCGAGGTTAGACTGACATAGGACATCATCGGCATGTCTTTTGCGCATCTGTCTTTGCTTGGCTCCAAAGCAAAAGCCGATAGAAGCGGAGAAGCACCCGCAGAGAGTCAACCGTTCAATTGGTGTCTAGCGAACGGCAAGTGTATCTGGGGTACCCGCTAAGTCTGGGGCATGTGGAGGATGGGGTAGACAAAAGATGGAAAACGCGGCGAACAAGTACGTATAGGAGTCGGAGAGAATTGCCGCCAAGAAGCACGATAGCGGGTTCAGGCGTCCAACCGCCATGCCAAGGCGTTGACCGAGGTAGAGCCTCACCAGCCTTTACGCCAACCTCCTGTGGAATCTTCTAGCCAGCCCGAGAGCGGAGGGTTCTTCGGGGCACATAGCCCAATTGTAAGTGGAGAGAGTGGAGTAAGACGACTTGGCTGACTTGTTTTCAATTGTCTTTTCGCTAGCTAAGAGCGCTTTCGTAAACACTTCACTATCAATGGTCCATTTTCACCATCGGCACTGTGGCTGCCGGTCAGCAGACGCCTGCTCTCCACATCTAAAAGGTTGTGCCATAAACAATCAAGCAGGCCTTTGGACATCGGTCCGTTCCCCAGACAGACTGACCTCCATGTCTCCATCTGTGTCTACCCTGTTCTCAGTCTGCTCGCTCTCATGTCTCCGTGGCTCTATTCTGCCTCCAAAAAACGCCAGCAACAGTAGATCATATACTGCCTTCAAGCAACCCGCCGTCACAAAAGCCACCCAAAAATGACCATTGCCAGCAAGAAGGCCCGTAAAGGTCGGACCAGCGCTCTGACTCAGTATCTTTAGAATGTTGACTACGCCCATGACGGCTGTGCGCTCTCCTGGTAGCACGACAATGGAGAGAAAGGCTGACCTTGGTGCTTGATCCATCGAGTTGAGTACAGAGCGAGAAACAAGTAAGAAGATAGTTGGAGCGAGACCAGCTGGGACCGGGAGAAGAGCTAGGAAGATAGATGACGGGAGGTGAGTGGCTACCATGGCTTGAATCAAGCCGAGGCGCTTGGCTAGACTAGAGGCGAAGACATTGCCAATAGTTGAGACGAACCTGTAAATCAGTCAATCAGACTGACAGAATATGTATGATGCTGATACTTACCAAGTTGCTGACATGACGCCCCCAAGTTTCCCTTTTGGCAAGTTGAACTTCTGGTCCATGTAGTAGTTGACCAAACTGAACGGAGCCATGCCCGAGCCCAGAGAATCAAGGAAGAACAAGCTACAAAGCTTGACTAGTACCACACGACTAGGTTTTGATATTGTGCTGATGGAGTACCAAAACCTTCTCTTCTTCTTAGGTTCCACAGAACGTTCCTCTTCTACCGGCACATTCACACTTCCAGTATCTTGACTTTCAGCCAGCAGTGGCTCTGTCTCTGCAGATCCAGAGTTGACGCTCTGCTTGTCGACTGCATTATTCTGCTCACACCGCTGGCTCATACACAGCGCCATGAGTGCTTTGACGCACCCAACACCCGTATAAATCCAGAACATGGCACGATACGCATCCAAAGCCGTCCAACCTTCCAAAGCCTGTAACCTTTCAACCGCAACACCCCCCACCGCTAACCCCGTCGACGTCCCCAGCACAGCAAGAACAACATACCAAGTATACACATCCGCCCTCTCCCTCTCATCTGCCAAATGCGCAAGCGTCGACTCCTCTACCGCTCGAAACGGCCCAATCTCGTTTCCCGTTGGGCTAATCACACCCACAATCGCCGCAAGAAGCAACGCAAAATAATGACTCGTACTCGCAAACACAGCACCTGATACCGCCATCGACACCGCACCCAGCAGAAGCGTCCTCCGCCGTCCCAGCGAATCCGCAACAAGCGTAAGCAGCAAACTAATCACCACATCGCCCAGCAGCGTCAACGTCATAAAAAGCCCAATCTGCTCGTCTGAAAACCCTTGCTCTTGGAAAAAAAGCGCGAGAATAAGCGCGATGGCGCCGTAGGCAAAGAGCCGCAGGTACCGCGCCAGAATGATGATGTAGACGTCTTTTCCCGTCTTCCGCATCGTTGCGAGTCCGAATTCTTGGGCGAGCCATTGTGTTGCGCTGGAAATGCCACGCCGGATTGACATTGCTTTGCGGCCAGAATTGATAGTTGCTGCGGAAAAGCCGTAGTACGTATTTCACGGAAAAGCGGCGAGACCAAAAGGGAAACGACTGTCAAAGTTACAGCGATAAATCGGCGTGGCCAGAAAAGTGTAGTTGCACGACACTGTAAGTTGTCAATACAGTGTCAAAAGAGAAAGGAGGAAGAGAAGGAAAGGATGGGTTTGAGTGCAAAAGTCATTGTTTAGGCGCGATGTTCAGATGTGGATGCCTGAAAGGAATACGCAATAGGGCGGGCGGGCGGGCGCCAGCTTTTGAATATTTTACCCGAAGCGGCATGGGGGCGAGCAAATGCACCGCATAGTTCATGGCACATCACCAAAACATCTCCAAGACAAACAAGTGAAAAACTGAGCCTGCGTTGATGATGCTGGACAAAAGTATTGGTACAGGGGCAATCACAGGGGTTAGAAATCACAATCACTACTTTTGCTTGTATTCAACCTAGGTTTTGTTGAGAGGTGAAAGGGCGTCCAAAGAGCGCCAGCGTCTAATTCGACACTCGATAAGAAAAGGAAAAACAGATATGCACAACTGCCACACATCCACTCTTGACAGGTCAAATATAGAAGGTGGGGGTCTCTGTGGTACCATGTGAGGAAAAAGAAATATATAGTTATCGGAATTGCTTTTTGGGGGGTCCATAGCAGGGATGCTCAACATCATGTCAGTACGTCATTACACATGTACATGCCAAGCAAATCACTTTCTGGGATAAAGTATGATTGTCCATATTAAGAACACCTAGAACGCACCGAAGGAAACAGAGGACCTAGCGGCCATCACAAATTGCAATGCAGAAACCAGCATATCCCGGAAATCCAAACGAGAGCCCCCATTCTATGCGATCCGTGTCGCCATGCTAGCACAAAGCTTGAGACGGAGAGGGAGAGACGGTGACGAAGGAGAGATCATGGCCGTCTTTGTATCAGTGCGCACTAGGGCAGTACCACTTTGCTTCTCGCAATCGCCATGTAGAGACCGGAAATCAGGCATCCACGTCGTATCTCGCTCCTCATTGAACGCTTATACGTTTCTCCGACACATTTGAACTCTTCTCTTCCTTCTCTAGCAGCAACCGCCACCGGATCCGCTTTGCACACCCTGGCCTTGCCCGATGGGGACTGTGGGCTTGGTGTTGGCGGTTGTGGTACCCATGCGCTCCTTGATCTGGCGGGCCATGGTCAGGAAAGCTTGCTCAACGTTGGTGGCGCTCTTTGCGGAGGTCTCGAGGAATGGAATGCCAAGGCTGTCTGCAAATTCCTAGTGATACTGTTAGATGCCAGAGCTACATGGAAACGACGAAATGAACATACCTTTGCTACGGTGTACTCAACAACCTTCTTGTCCGCCATATCGGACTTGTTGCCGACCAATAGCTTGTTAACACCCTCGGTAGCATATCGGTCAATCTCCTGCAGCCACTGCTTGACGTTGTTGAATGAGTCCATGTCGGTGACATCGTAGACGACGCAGATGCCGTGAGCGCCACGGTAGTAGGAGGAAGTAATGGTTCGGAAACGCTCTTGGCCGGCGGTATCCCACTAAAATCACCATCAGTACTCGCAGCCAAAAGACACTGGATCCAGCAAGAGTACGCACAATCTGCAGCTTTACAGTCTTGCCATCGAGCTCGATCGTTCGGATTTTCTAGCACATGTTAGTCCGTCGTAGGCACCAGCACCAAGTACCGAGGCAGACGCACGAAGTCGACACCGATGGTCGAAATGTAGCTCTCAGTGTATGTGTCGTCGGCAAAACGGAGCAGCAAGCAGGACTTTCCGACACCAGAGTCACCGATGAGGAGGAGCTTGAAGAGGTAGTCGTATCTATTGTGCGGAGAGAGTAGCGTCAGTAGCCAGTCTGCAGTAGGCAGGGGAACAGCAGCTCCGATGCTGTGCTGTGCTACAGGGCATGGAGGTCACTCTGTGGGCATTCAAGTCAGCATGGCTCTGTACACAGATACATCGTCATTGCTCGTCGGCCTGTGGCGGTGGGCTTCGCGCGGAGGTTACGTACCACTCAGGATTCATGTTTGCGGCGTTACAGGGGTATGGGAAAAGTAAGGACTAGAAGGTGTTGGTTGAGAAAGAAAAAAAGGCCGGCTGGAGGCTGAATCGTGGGGTATCGCGCGTCGTCGGGGGTGGACGAGGTGGAAGCGGAGGACGATGAGGTGCCCTGCGTGGATACCAGATGTGAAGGAGCTTGGCACTCAGCCCCAAATCCGTGGTCACAGGTTGCCGGATCCCGTCCGCACCAGCGAACATCACATTCACAGCAGCCTGACCACCCCCTAACCGACCCTAGCGACACTATCGGGCACACTGGCAGCGCTGTCTAACATGTGACCTGAGTGACTTGAAAGCTGCAACCTTGTTATCGCTCAACCAGCGTTTGGCACTGCCGTTCCCATGATGAGGCAGTGCGCTGTGTGGACGCGCACGTGACAAAGCATGCATCACTGGCGCTGTTTCACAAGTGTACCAATCTGCAACCTAGTCTCTGAAAGAATGGAGAATGTATAGTTCGCTTGCAAAAGTGCGCGATCTACCGTACGTCGTTACATTCGACGCAGCCCAGTCTGTCAGTCCCAGGCAACCAAAGCCCCGCGCTTCCCATATAGTACAGACATCAGATCACGGCCAGCTTACAAATTACATTATCTTGCCAAACGCAGGGATCAGCGTTTGCGCCAACCAGAAGGAGAATACGAGCTTAGGCCCCGTCATGAGCAGCTTGGGTGTGAGTCCCTTGAAGAAGGAAGTGAAACCTTCGTGCTTCATCATGTTGGACACGATCCTGAAGCCGCTCTCTGGGTTCTCAAAGTTCCTGTTCTGGATGCGCGTCTTGATAACGTCCAGAGGAGCAGACACTACTAGCGAAGCGCTAGCACCTGCGATGGATGCAACAAAGTTTTGCATCCACGACGCAGAGTTGTAGTCTGAAAGCTTGTAGAGGTACTCCTTGGCAACCGCCGAACCACCAAATAGCTATGCCGGCGTTAGTCTTTGCACTTGTCTTTCCACCGAATACAAACATACCGCAAACGAGCCAGGCGCGTTACGTGCTGCCGTCCATCCCCAACCACGGTAAAGTCCAAAGCCCTCGTCAGAGACAATCTTAACGAGTCCTCGGCCCCGGAAAGCCTCTGGGTTTGTTTGTCGCTTGATCTTGAGCACGTCCAACGGAAGGAGGACAATTTCACCAATACCGATGATCGAACCTGCAGTCGCGTGCATGATCGCCTTGCCGTTGCCCTTGCCAAACGTACGGTCAAAGCTGCCACCGTGGTTCTGCGCGAGGTAGTCCCTGACGAAAGGCTGGCCACCAAACTTGTACACTCGTTGGAGTACCTGACATTGTCAGTTAAGGCTCCCCCATATTTTTGAGTATCTCATCTACCTTGTATGCTGCAGCGTATCCGAGACCGGGGAATAGAGACAGGAATCGACTGGACGCGGAAGCGGAGGCCATGTCCCTGAAGACGACCTTGTTGAGATGTGATGCGGATTCAATCTGTATGCGCAGGGTCAGACATGGTCGTTGTGCATATGGTGACATTGTATCGCACCTTGCCAATGTTGCTCATCAATCGCTTCGCCGTAGTATCAACTGGGTGGAACACCATGAGCTCTGCAATTCCCGCACATCCTGCAACCGTTAGTCCTAATTTTTCAATTGCAGAGAGACTCGTGTGTACCTGCACCCAGAACTCTGGCTGTGTTGGACTCCCTCTTGTATACCTTAGCCGACGAGTCGGTGCCCGACGCCGCTTGCGCAACTTTCGCTACGGCTTCTGAAGGTGATGGCGTCATTGTGAAAGGAAATGTGCGAAGAAGAAACACGCAAAGACTGTCTAAGGGAGAAGAGGGAATTTGCAGCGCAGAGCAATGGGGCGGGCGAGCAGTGAGAAACTGGAGCTACCGATAAGATGTTCAACGAAAGCCCATCAAAAAAAAAGGCCGGTATCGCCCCGCTAAGCCCTGCTAGTAAGGAACCATCCCAGGATTATTACATTCCGACAGTGCGACATGCATTGATAAATTCCAAGTGGTACCATTTTCATTATGCTATTGCTATTTCGTCCTTTTCCTGAATAGGAGATAAAAGGGCGCGGCTGACAAGAGCGCCAGTTCCTTTCAGTGTGTTAACAGCCACAACCAGGAAGGTGGGGTCAAATTGGCCGAAAACACCAAAATACCAACATTCCTGAAGGATTATTACCCAATACAGCATGGTGCGATTCCAACCAAAGAGCACAGCCCTGTGGAACATGTGATGGCGATGATCATCACTACTGAATAACAAGATATCAGGCGTTCAGTTCTTGTCCATTGAAATATAAAACCTCGCATCAGCACAACCCCTTACCTTCGAACTTACTACTCTACTCCAACAGAACCTAATTTTCAGGCTGTCAACCACCAGTCTGTCAACCACAATGTTTGATAAAATCCGTGGAAAATCGCCATCAGGCCATTCAAAACACGACTCCAGCGACATCCACCAAGGCAGTCCTCTCTCCATCCCCGGACCACCTTCCTACGCAGCCTCCTCCTCCACCCCAGTACCTCCCTTCCAAACCCGTTTCGCATCCCTCTCCCTTCACATGGAAGATCGTATCCGCTTTCTACGCTTCCCCGAGCCCGTCATCTCCGCCTGCCGAAGTGCCATCCTCTCCAACTGGCCCCAAGGCATCTCCTCCGAGCGGCCCTACGCAAACTCGCACGAAATCAAGCTCGACGGCTACCCTTGGCGTGGCTTTGGCAAAGATGCAGCGCAAGCACGACGGCTCGTCAAAGGCGTGCTATCAACGCTGCACGCGAACGGCTGGATACTAACGCTTACCACGGACGTCAGTAAGACGGCAGCGGACAAGGATACGTTGCTATTCCGGTACCAGGCTCCACCGCCCGCGCGCCATGAGTGGTGCAGTATAGCGTTTTCGCGGCAGAGTCGGCTAAGATTTATTGATTGTCCGCCTGAGTTGTATGCAAGTTTGCCGCAGAGGATAGGGAGTGAATGGCTCAAGGGACAGAGCGAGTATGCGCCTGGTATCTGGGAGTTTGAGCTGCATGGTTATCCGTGGTCGCCGACGGGCAAGACAACTATGCAGGTTAGGGAGTTGCTTATGGCACTGGTGGAGATGCTGGAGGAGGAGGGGTGGAGCGTGTATGCGAGTATCGATCAGAAGAGTAGCGGGGGGCAGGGGACGAGTGAGTCGGATACTTGGTACTGTTGTAGAATCAGGGGGTGGGAGAAGGGAATGCCGGTTTACTGGAGGTGAAACTATTTTGAAATATTTTACAGGTAGTTATGCGAGCAAATTAATGTTCCTGAACATGGTAATTAACGTACATCCCTTTTATTACAGAACGACCGCCATGACGAAAAGAAAATAGGCAGCTCGACGCCAGCGCAGTATTATAGCCTACAGATATTGTAAAAAGATTATATCTGTCCACTCAGATATGTATTCGGGTCGATTCTGAGCTAGTATATATGTCCACCGATACAAAAGATTACAGTGGTGTGGAAACCTTTCTCTCTAGGTACGGGACGACATCTGCTTCATATGAATGAAGAGTCGCATGATTTATGACTTAAATTGGAGTATCTGTTTGGCATAAATCTTACTGGATTGTTTTTCTTAAAAAAGAATAGCAGACTACACCGCAACCTACTAGAATCGGGTATTAAGAAATTACTTTATAGTTAAGATAATGGTTTAAATAGAAGACTTATACTAAAACCTAGGAGCTTTAGCAAAGATTTACGTAAGCGATATCTTACTTTCGAACCTAAAAAGGTTATCTAGTGATATTCAGTAATACTAGCAACTTCTCTATGGGCATACGCCTATGAACAAACGCCTGTTAGGCGCGATAACAAGGTCAACTGTGGTTGCAACGAAGGCAACAAAACAGCGAACTACGGTTGCGACGAAGGCAGCAGAACAGCAAACCATGGTTGCAATAAGGACAGCAGCGCAGCACAGCGCACCGATGCCTATAAATTCGCCATGTTTCGCCTCTTGTCCGTCTTTCCCATCTCATCACCGCCGCGAGTTCAAATGAATTCGCGGCGGTGATGAGATGGGAGAGGTACACGGTAATATATATATAGCAATCGCCAAACTGTAGATTTCTCGCGCTAACTAGCGATGTAGGGAACGGAGTTGCGGCGTTCAAGAAGACTGGACTCAAGTATTACTGTGTAGAGCTAAAATAGTAGGAAGTCAGAACAACTTTGTCTGTGTGCGGCGGCGAGGGGGGGCGGGGAGGTGCAAAGTAAAGCGCAATGCTTCTTTAGATGGCTATGTTCGCCTTCTACGGGATAGCCACTCGCTAAAATAGCTCTTTCGTTACTCCTTGCAAGAGTGCCTAGCCGGGAGTGGATATTTTATTGATAATAGAATGAAGACCAATAGAAAGTGCCATAAAACAAAGCTTACATGGCAAAAGGAAGGCCAACTAAATGTCAGTTGCAGATAATAAAGCCAGCCCCGTTACTTTAGTACTTATAGCGAATTATACTAATCGCGTTCTTGATTCAAAATATAATACCGACGTAGACTAAGGTACTAGCTAAGGCTATAAAATATCGCTGCTCAAGTATTAACAACACATAGTTGGATTGTTGCGTACTTTTCCATACGAGCATCATTTGTATATACAACACACTGCATGCAAATGGAAACATTAAAAGCGTATGAAATATCTTTGAATACATTTTTCTTACCTCCCAACCTTGCTTTAAAGATGGTATTTCGCTACACCCGTTGTTCCGGTACAAAAAGTGATGCACGTTACTTCATTTCAAACCATAATTTTTGATAGTTTCAATAACTGTTTGAAACGCCGCCCATGCAATTTTTCAAATGGGTATACACAAGATTTATACACGCCCCAACTAACCGCGCATCACACTGCACCACTCACGAGGGAGGGCTGCCGATTTCCTTCTTGACCCAGTTCTCCAAGCCACCGAGAGCAATGATTTCCTGGACATTGGGTGGCAGTTCACCGACCTTGACGTTCCATTTGGCGCCATTGGGTCCTTCCTGGACGGAAACAGTGCTCCTTCGGACGTCCCACTCCAGGGTCCATCCGGTGCGGCGCGTTAGTTGCTTAGCTTGGCTGGGCTGGGCTGCAGCGGCTGGCGGTGGCGAGTCGAGCGATTCGCTATTGTTTGAAGGTTCCTTGACGGCTTGTTGCGACGACGAGGCATCATTTGATGAAAAGACCTCGCGGAGGCGGTTGGCTAGCTTGGGCACCTCAACACCCATCAAAGCGTTGTTGATACTGTTCCTGCTGAAAATATTGCCAAAGCTACCAGCAACAACTAGCGGAATGCCCTTGGCCAGGATGGCAGTTGCGGCCTGCTCACGACTGCTGCCGCAGCCAAAGTTGAAGCCTGAAACCAGGACATCACCAGCCTTAGCCACCTGGCCAAAGCTGGGGTCATAGTTCTCCATGCATACTTCTGCCATCTTTTCGCGCGTCACATCATCCTGGTACGTGTATTTACCGGGGTAGATACCGTCCGTGTTGATATTGTCGGCGTCGCAGAAGACAATCTCGCCGCTAATCTTTTCCGGGAACCCTGGCAGGATTTCAGTCAAAGTTTCAGCCTCCGAGTCTGCCGCTGCAGGTGGGTTGACAGACTGCGTGTCAGGCTCGCTAGTACTGAAGGTGTCGATAGCGGCCTCAGCGTCTTTGATGGCCTTCTCAAGCATGTCTTCGATGGTCATCATTCGCTCTTCGGCGGGAATGCCATCGCCTTCTCCTCGTCGAACACCCTCGTAGCCTTCAGGAGCTTGGTACCACCCGGGGCCAGAAATTTTACCAGATAGGGCGCTAGCTGCAACGACTTCAGGGCTTGCCAAGTATGCCTTTGCATCGGGAGAGCCCATGCGACCCTTGAAGTTGCGATTGCTTGCACTGATGCCAACCTCGCCAGGCTCAAGAAGACCAGTACCAAGGCCGATGCAAGGACCACAACCTGAAGGCAAGGGCTGAGCGCCTGCTTCTAGAAGAGCCTGCCAATCGCCTGCCTCCTCTGCAGCTTTCTGTTCTGGGATAGAAGCAGCGGCGATGTAGAACTTGACATTGTCTGGAATCTTGGGGATCTTGCCACCGTTCAGAACAGCTGCATCCTTGAAGACGTTTGCGGCAGCAGCAAGATCAGAGGCACGGGAGTTTGTGCACGACACGAGATAGGCCTTGTTAATGGGGATGTTCTGGCTCTGCAACTCGGGCAAAGGAGTAGCAACCTTGACGGAGTTGGGACCTGAGACGTATGGTGACAAGGTGGAAAGATCCAAGAAGAGCTCTTTGGCGTATACAGCGCCCTTGTCCGCTGCCAACGCAGGTTTGAAGATGTGGCCCAGCTGCTGGCCGACGATACCAGTGGCAGTAAAGAGTTTGTCGATGCGCTCATGGAGGAATTGTTGACGGTGGTGGTCCTTGGCCTGGCCTTCTCCCATGGCTGCTAGTGTGGCCCTGGCCCGTAGCCAGCCATGAAGCGTGGCATCGATAGGAAACAGTCCCGTCAGAGCGCCCCACTCTGTAGTCATATTGGCAATGGTAAGACGGTCGTCGATTGGAATACTGCCCAGGGTCTCGTCGGTTCCAGTAAACTCGATAGCATGATTGAGAACCTCGTCCTTGTTGAAGAGCCCAGCCAGCGCAACAATTACGTCCTTGCCAGTCACGCCCGCAGGCATCTTGCCATTGAGTGTAACCTTTGCGACGGGTGGAATCTGCCACCAGGTCTTTCCGGTAGCCCAAATGCTCGCAGCGTCGGTTCGTACTACCGGAGTACCCAAGCAACCAATGCCTCCGTACATGTTGGAGTGACTGTCGGAGGCCACGGCCAGGGTGCCTGGCCAGGCGTAGCCCTCCTCGACCATAATCTGGTGGCCAATGCCACGCCCGGCAGGGTAGAAGACGACATTGTGGGTCTTGGCAAACTCCTCAATCTGGCTGTACTTTTTGAGGTTCTTTTCCGACTTGTTCTGAACATCGTGATCGAGCGTCATGACAATCTGGCCGGGGTCGCTAATTTTAGTGGCGCCGATGCCCATAAACTTGAGCGCAACCGGCCACGAGTTGTCGTGGGTCATGCACTTGTGCGGCTGCAGCGTCACATAGTCGCCAGAGCGAAGGACCTTGCCCGGGGCCACGCCGACGGCATGTCGCTGAACAATCTTTTCCGTAAGGGTCTGGGGTGTTTTGGGAGTTTCGTTGAGCGAAGAGAGGAAGCTGGCGGCAGGGCTCTCCTTCATCGAGGGAAACACATCCTGAGCATCATGTTGGCTGGCCAATGCAGAGAAGGCTCGCGGGGTGGCATGGAATCGAGGCAATTGCGAAGAGGCGCGGAGAGCAACGCTCACCCGTGGCTGTATGTGCGGTTAGATGGTGAAGTCAAAGACGACATTTGACAAAGAAACATACTGCTGCTATCTGCCTGCGGCCTAGCAGGCGCGCTGCCCGTAATGACATTGCCATTGCTTGTGCTGGAGAGGGACAGAAACAGCGGCGGCGATTTGCAGGCGATACACGAGTTTCTATGTATGCCGCCTCTTCCCCAGAGTTTGGGCCAAAAATTGCGACCCACCCGCTCACCACCGAAACCGGCCGCAGTCATCGGATTCCCTGCGCCTGCCATTGGACGGCTGCAGGCCTTCAACGCCGACACAGTAATACATGCTCTTATGCCGCATGTGTGATGCGGCACCCAGGGCCGATTAACGACTACATGGACGGTCTGCGAGATCGGCTGTCTCCATGGCAAGTCTGGCTGACTAGAATGGGAGTCATCCTTATGACGCGACGCACGATGCAAGACAAAACTTTACTATACATCAACCCCTCTTTGCCCAGCACTCTATAAACCTGCTCATTTCCAGTCATTCACACAACACCACAAACTCTGCCGTACCTTTGCTCGCCGACATGGTCAACCGTTCAGACGTCACCTACTTTGGGGCTGGCCCCGCTCCTCTCCCCACCGAGGTGCTCGAGAGAGCCTCGCAGGCGCTGCTGAACTACAGAGACAAGGGCATTGGCCTCTGCGAAATCTCCCATCGCTCACCCGAGGCCAACGAGATTCTCGCAGAGGCGAAGCAGGCCCTCACTCAGCTGCTCGAAATCCCTGACGACTACGAAATCCTCTTCCTTCAGAGCGGCGGTACTGGCGAGTTCAGTGCCGCTGTCTACAATCTCGTCTCGATATGGGTAGAGAAGAAGCGAGCGAAAATTGCCCAAGAGGTGGGCGACAACAAAGACGAGGTGCTCAAAAGACTTCGCAAGGTGGTGGATGAAGAGCTCAAGCTTGACTATCTCGTTACAGGTTCGTGGTCGCTCAAGGCATCGCAAGAAGCCGCCCGCCTTGTAGGAGCCAAGCACGTAAATATAGCCGTCGATGCGCGCAAAGCCAACAATGGCAAGTTCGGGAAGATCCCCTCAGAGGACCAGTGGGCCCTTACGTCGCGCTCAACGGGCGGACCGGCCCTCGTATATTACTGCGACAACGAGACCGTCGACGGAGTCGAGTTCCCCTCCTTCCCGCAAAGCCTAGAGGGCGATGACGCGCCCCTGGTCTGTGCGGACATGTCCTCCAACTTCATTTCCCGCAAGGTCGACGTGAGCAAGTATGCAGTCATCTTTGGTGGCGCGCAAAAGAACATTGGCAATACCGGCATCGCTATCGTCATCATGCGGAAGTCACTTCTTCCGCCTCACTCGACGCCGGCCTCGCCTGACCTGCTAAGAGAACTCAACTTGGCTGTAGGCCCAATTGTGCTCGACTACCCTACGATTGCGAAAAACAACTCTTTGTACAACACTTTGCCCATCTTTGATGTTTGGGTGGCTGGTCAGGTCATGTCTGGACTTGTCAACTCGTATGGAGCTAAGCGTATTGGCGGCCAGGAGGAAATCTCAAACGAAAAGGCCAGCCTTATCTATGGGACGCTTGATAAGTATCCAGACATCTATCAAGTTGTCCCAGACAAGTCTGCGCGCAGTAGGATGAACATTTGCTTTAGGGTCCATGGCGGAGCTGAAGACAAGGAAAAGGCCTTCCTCTTAGGTGCAGAGAAGAAAGGTCTACTTGGTCTGAAGGGACACAGGAGTGTCGGTGGTATCCGTGCTAGTAACTGTAAGTCCCCCCGTGTTTTTTTCTCCGGCATTGATCGCACTGCCAGTCATGCATTCGTCAGTAGTCTTGTGGAGATGCGCTCCCCTGTCTGGTTCGCATCCGACCACGGTCGAATGTGCGGATATCCCTCAGCCGGGATATACCTACCCCAAAAACTCGAGCTAACCCGACTTGTCCACCAGATAATGCAGTCTCGCTAGACGGTGCAAAGCTACTTGTCTCATATCTTGAAGAATACGCAGAGTCGACCTAAGTCAGGCTTTGTGCAAGACCGACTCAAAAGAAAAGTTTGCATATCATTCTCACATAAGCAGAGTCCTGCCATATGAGCAAACACCTTTTTGTTACATCTGTGGCACTCAACAAGGCACTGACCTACCGCGAAAAGAAAATATACTTTAATTTATCCTTGATTCTGGTAATCGCAATGTCCACATGACGACGACCACGAAACTTCTCTGTAGAGCTGTGGACTGTGGAGTGCATCATCGGAGAATAACCTGAGGCAAGCTTGCACGCCACAGCCCACTTTGCTGTGTGGTGGCTGAATTGAGTTTGGTAGGTGCGTGGTGTTGAAGTGGCGCTGTCAGGTATGCCATGTCCACTACGCGCTCCTGTGTACTTCATGCACTAGTTTGTGTCTCGAGACCAGCGAACCAATCTAGAGGTCTGATTGCTTTAGGATGATTCCCTGCCCAAATTGTAGGTACACGGTGGCTGCGGGACAATGGTCTCTCACGGTGAGAAAAAGGCAGTGATGAAACCGTGTAGACACTCTCTATGAGCCAGCCAACCAGCGAACGAGTCGCAAGGCGGTCGTTTGCCACACTCACAACGATGGATCTGTGACGATAACTGACAGTCAGTCTTGAGGGTCTCGTTTCCCAGACCCGCAATCCGAATTTGAGTATTGTTCACCACGCCCTTCTGGAACCATCTAGTGTAGAGGCCATTCATACCGCATGTCGCAATGGTGGATGTCGAAGTACCAGCTGATTCGCCCACAGAGCCTCTTCCACTCTCGATGCGGGGCGACTTCTCCGCAATCCTGTAATCTAAGGTTTTTGAATGTTTGGTAGAGGCTGTGTGGTTAATCACGTCGACGACTAGATTCAATGCAGCATGCACGCTGACGGCCTAGTCTATCCCACGAGGTTCTGGTCATGTATTGCTTGTACGTTTTGGCCAACCTCACTCGCTGCGCATCGTGTCATGTTCTGGCAGGCCTGGCCTAGTAACCGTTGAGCTGACCAGGGTTCTGGAGGTCTTGTTGTCTCGGACAGGGCACAAGCGAGGATCTGCGGCACAACCTAAACCCAGCAAGCATCAGAACTCTAGTCTGACCTCAACCACCTTACCACAACGACTGCCCATGGGCGGTTCGTCCACCCCCAGCGCTTCCACACGTTGAAAATAGCTCTGTCCAGAGACCAATTATAGAAATATGCGCCAGAAGACAATGTAGTCTTTACAGTAACCGCTCGAGTTGACAGACGACTGTTGCACCCGCATCCACAGTGTGCAGCACCCGTGTCCTATACTACTACACACTTGCACTTGCACGGATCCTGCGGGACCGGCCAGCACGGCAACGTCAAGCCATGACGTCTGACTAAGAGCTACCAGCTCGGTGGTCTTGACAGCAAAGACCGGGGTCTAGCCAACTCCACAGCATCTTTTCCCATGTTGGCCAGCGAGGGCCAGGGGTCACAACGTCTGCACGGGTCTCGCTACTTCCGCTGCCATGGCTACCTAGCACACGTGGCTCGCATGAGGGTGAAACCCCCCCTCAATCAGCGAGCGCGCGGGAATGGGCGGCCTGTGATATGGCAAGACTCAGCCATTGCCAATGTGGGCCCTTCCCAGTAAGTGACCGAACAGACGCCTTAGGGCCGCCACCCCGAAACCGTGCGTTGCTGGTACCACCCAGTGGTTTTGTCATATACCGTTTGGAGTCTCATGCCCGTCTCTCGTCTCTTACGTCTAATGTTCACGCTCTTTCCCCTTCTTTTTTTGCTCTGCTGGCAGGCTTAGGCAATTCCTTTCTTTTTTCCTCGAGCTGGTTTCTCCTTCGTTAACGACGTCAGCCACGCAGTCTCCATGAATACCTAGTCTATTTCCTTTCTTTAGCCGCTGCTGGTTACCAGCGAGACCACCTATTTCCTACTAACACCTGTTGTAACTGGAGTTGGCAAGATGGGATCATGGGCGGATTACTTTCCCCAGCTCGAGGCCCGGTCGCACTTCAACTTGACTCTGAATACTTCTGCCGCTCGACAAGTTCCCTGGACCCAAAACAACTCGACTAGGACCTTGATCGCGTCCCTGCAGCTGCAGCAAGTCCAAACGCTCCGCACAACCCATCTGACCCTCGGAGCCTTCAGTCTTGCATTGGCATTGTTAACGGTCCATCGAATCATCTCAGATGCACGACGAGCAGCAGCTCTTCAGGTTCTACCAAGGAAGAAGTCAGTACGGCGCCCGAGGAACGTGGACCATTGCTGACCAAGTTGCAGGAGATTCAACGCCCTCCACAATGTCCATCCCGCCGAAACCTTTCCACTTGCGCTGGCCTCTGGTGCCGTCATACAACAGATTATCTTCGTCTCAGTGCAGGGCACGACCCTTCAAAGTGTATTCTCTAGGAGTTGTCGAAGCCTAGCAATGATCACATTTCCTAGTAGGTTTCATCTTCTTTAGCCCACCAAAGTACCGTCTGACCATCACAGCCATCTTCCTAGTCGGATTCATCACACTCGTCTTCGGTATTGAGACGCTTGTCCGAGCATTCCGGCAAGAACGTTTTGCTCCGCGTGGCAACTGGAACACAACGATATGCATCGCTGTGGTATCGCTCTTGCTGATGCTCACATGGATACCGACTGTTGTATGGCCAATGTCCAACGTTTGCTTTGGCAGCCTCATCTGGTTCCCTATGCGATACGACCGCCTGATGCTGTCCATTCTTTCCATCCTCGTCTTCTCCTTGCTGTCTGTGGCAGCACTCGTCAGTATCCAATTAATGAGAACACCGGGTCTGGATCACAATGAGCGTATTTCAGCCTCACGTATGACCTACTTCTTGATAGTGACCGCGTTAATCTATGTGAGTGTTTACCGCTATTTCACGCATGTCTCATCTAACGTGCATAGGCTCTTGTAATTCCAGTCGAAGTTCAATCTCTCCGAAGAGAATTCATGCAGGCACTCGCGGCTTCTCGAATTGCCGAAATCTCGCTCTTCTCCTCAGGCATGGTCTTCACCTTCTTCCATCTCTTCCTCCGTACAAACGCAACGCGCATGGTCATTCGTCCCATGGATGAGCTGAAAGGCCCTGCAAGACACCAACGCCCCAAAATACGATTCTTTGGCCCGAGCGATTTGGAGATGCAGATCAGTGGACCAATGGGACTCCACACAACTCAACGTCTGGATAGCCGGCAGGGTTTGATCGATGTCGGGCCCGAGAAGAACCGCTCGGATATCGACCCTGAGTACTTTGAACGACCCGAACGCGCTTTGACACCATCGTCGGCCAGATCAGGAAGCAGAATCGACCCTACTGAGTGGCCTCTCCCCCCGATGCTTGAGAAGGATGCCATGAATTCGCATGAACGCAAACTAAGCTATTCTTTGTTTCCTACACGAGCTGAAGAAGTACCGCGCCTTCCAGCGACAGTCTACGACCCCAATGCTACACAAGACCCAGCTTCAGTTTCCAAGCTTGCCATGAGGCGCTTCACCCGACGAGGCTCAGTCACCAACGTCAGCGATGCGTTTGACTTCCCTGGCATGCCGAAGCTACCTTTCGCTGACCGACACAAACGCATGGCTAGTACCGATAGCAGCGCAACTGTGCAGATTGGCCTCCGTTTCTCCGTTGCACCCGCCACACTCGCAGCAGGCAAATGCACCCGAGTAGAACGCGATGTTCCACCACTACAGCGATCTGCCACCCAGACCAGTGGTGAGTCTCTGAGCCTCATAATCCCGGGCAGCTCAACCAATGCATCGCTGGCAGAGGAGTCATTCAGACCTAGGGCCAACAGCCCCAACCGAGCACCGGCATTTCCTCTGGCGCCCGTAGCCAACTCAAGCGAATACCTCAAGACCCAGCGCGAAAGGGTACTACAATCCCCACCACCTCAGTCAGCGGATCCCCTCTTTCACTCTGCACCTCCTACCCAGCCCGCAGTTCCCCCACCAGTTTGTGTAAGCGGACTCCGGATGAACCCCATCACACCTACCTCGTCTGCCGGCTCACCTACAACGGCATCACTACCAAGCACACCTGGATCAGCCAACCTGCTCACACGGACAATAAGTGGCAACAGCGCGGCGCCATCACCCACGGCACGCATCCCACTTGGCGCAGGCACAATGCAACGAGGAGCCTCACCTACCAAAGGTTGGATCTGAGTGCTTTGGCCTGAGCGCTGCATGAAACATGAGGAGGAGCGTTCTTTTTCCTTTCTATCTCTAGACCGGAATTTCGGCGACTGCGCCGCTGTATGATTACTAGGATGTATGCAAAGTCTTGGGGCGGATATTTTTCTATTTCTTCTTCTTTTCTATTTTTTTCATCTCTCTATCTCTCACACAAACTTTCCAGGAAGAGAAGGTTGGGTCCGGAGGGGGGTTCGCCGCGCCTCTTGGTACTGTCTTGGGCCTGACTCCACAGGCGTTACGGGTTCGGTTTCATGTGGAAACCCATGTTCATGCCTCCGCGACACATGGGCGTCTCGCACAGGCCATGTTGCGTCACTGCACTGCCTGGGGCATTGTATCACGGCTCTGGGTTCTTACACTTGGGCGCTCTCTCCCTCTGGCGGGTATAGAAGCTTGGGCTCCCTTACTACTACTCCTCATTACGTCAGCTCACGATACGAACATTCCTTTACGATAACTATCGACATCTTGTTTTTTTCTACACACACACACCTGGTGCTGCGCACTATGATCCCAACTCCTTCCCTCTATTTCATCCCCTATGGATTGGCACAGTACATCCACTCGTTTTGTTTTCTGTTTTCCGCGCAATCACCGGCTGCGTCTTGAGCGAGTCCTCCCTTCCTCCTAACCCCCTAAATTCTATCTTACTTTTCTCCATGTCTCATTTTTTCTTCTCATCTCTCTTGGCCCTTTCCTCCTTGTCTCCCCTTGAAGCTCTTCATTGAGCTCCCCTAATGTACCCTCTATCACTGAGGAGAGTGAGAGAAGAAAAGACTTCAAGGGCTCACCCTTCTTTGGTACATACCAAGTCTTTTTTTGTAGCTATATACTAGTCAAGTGTTATTCTTTCTATTTGCAAAAAAACCTAGAAGCAAGAATAAACTTGCCAACCCCCAGCCTTGTCATATAGCTCAAAAATCACACAGAATATAGAATGAAAAGAAAGAAACTCAAATCCTCGTATCTTCTTACAATATGCATTATATCCCACACGGAGGGGGTTGTTTTTTCCCTCAAAAAATGACGAGTCAGCCTTGAACTGATTCATGATCACTTTCCTATCACATCTAACACACTGGAAAAAAACAAGTATATGCAGCCCGAAGTTGAGTCATTCCCCTTCCCTCCAACTAACTCCAACCGGCTACCCCATTCAACATGCCAATGCGAGTTTGAAGCACAGCAAAGCAAGGAAAACGGACCGACTTGACTCGACTCGATATCTCTGCTCTGAAACAAGGAGGATGCTGTAGAGCGAAGAAAAGAGGAAGGTAGGACGTAGAGTCGGTGTTTGGTAGTTTTTGATGCAAAGGAGTGAATGCATAACGCTTCAAGAGGGAAGGAAATTAAGTAGACTACTGACGTACCGTGAGCAGAGCAAGACAAAAAAAACAGGAACGATAAGACGGAGATAGGGAATTTGCCATTTCTTCATTCCGAACATAGCGGTTACATATCAAAACAACCACCCAATCTGGCTCAAGAATGGGGGGGGAAAAGGGGCATGAAGGTACCATAGAAAGTTGGGTAAACCATCATACACATCGTTACATAGCCCCCTATAGGCTATAAACAACAGTCATAAGCAAATAATAACGTAAATGTTCATTTCCTCCACCGCTGCCAGAACTTCCATCCAACCTTCTCGCTGCCCTCATCTGGCATACGGAACTTTGTATTTTCCTTCCCCCTACGCCGTCCCACCCATGCAAACCAAATGATGAGGCCGACAACCATGAAGGCGACGACGAGGAGCGTCTGGAGGGGCTCGGCGAAGACGGCTCTGCTGAGCAGGAAGAGGCTGACGCAACAGAAGATGATGGGCGTGGTGATCCACGTTTTGTACGGTCTCTCTAGATCTGGTTCGCGGACGCGCAGGACAATAAGACCGAGGACGGTTTGGAAGTAAAAGGCGTAGCCCGCGACGCCGTAGAAGGTGACTAGTGTATCGAAGGAACCGACGATGATGTAGATGGTTGTGAGAAAGGCGTTGAGTAACATGGCAGAAATCGGAGTGAAGAAGAAGCCTGCGTCTTCATCTGCGAACCAATCCACGAGTTTCTGGGGTATTTTGCTCTTTGATTGGTTTGCGTTGAGGGAGTGTAGACGGATAGCGCAGTGGTTCTTGCCTAGGCCTATGTTGCCGAACATGGAGGGGAGATAGCCCTCCTTGCCTGCCGCGTAGACGAGGCGACCAGATGTAAATGTTGTAGCATTGAGCGCGCCAAAACAGGAGCCCGAGACGAATAAGGCGAGGATTAGGGCGCCAACGGGACCGAAGACTTGCGAGCCAAAGGCTACAGCGACGGTGTTGGAAGACTCGATGACTGACGCGGGGAGGACAAGGAAGTAGGAGATGTTGGCGAGAATGTAGCAGAGTATGACGAGCGGGAGGGAGGTGTGGATGACGCGGGGAAGATCACGAGTGGGATTCTTGAATTCTCCTGTGACATAGTTGACCTGGGAGTGTTAGTGGATATGAGCAGATGAGTGGAGGTGGTGGTGAACCTACATTGTCCCAGCCATCGAATGCCCACAGCCCGGCGTATAGCGCGACGGCCCAATTACTGACATTTTCGCTCGTGTCTTCAAACCAGCCATGATGCTTCCAGTCGTCATTGGCCTTGCCTTTATACGACAGACCTGTTGCTGCCACCACGATGCCAATTACTGTGACCCCTAGCAGAGCGAAGAACTTCAAGAACATGAAGACGTCGGCGCTTCGCGTACCCAGTTTTGTGGAGATACAATTGACCAGTGTGACAATCACAAGTCCTACCAGTGCCACACTCTTGTTCAACCATGTGCCCGCATCTACAGCCTCGGCTCCAATGACGGCGCGCACCACGTATTCACCAAAGATGATCGCGATGATGGCTGCCGAGCCCGGCTTCAGCACCATGACTGCGCACCATGTGAACAAGAAACCTGCCCACTCGCCAAAGATTTTTGACAGGTAGACTTGGGCGCCACCATTGAGGGGTATAGCGCCTCCTAGCTCAGCGTAGCTCGCCGCGCCCGTCCATGCCAATATTCCAGCAACGAGCCAGACCAGCAGCGACGCGCCAGGCGATCCTGCATTTTTGTTGACCTGTGAGGGTGAGGAGAAGATGCCGCTCCCTATTATAAGACCAATTACTAGCGACAGTCCATTAAGGTATGTCAAGCTCTTGTTCTTCTCTAATGAGCCGCCATTAAGAGCATTGGAAGGATCCAAGGCCGGGTTCGCAGGCGCGCCTAGGGCCGTGTATCCCTGTGCGGTGCTTGACAGAGGAAACAGATTCGGGGCAAAGTCAAAGGCGGAGGACACGCTGTAGGTGCGAGTGCGCCGCGGTCGGCTCAGGTCATGGCCGGCAGGGTTCAGTTCGGACAAGGGATCCTCGTCGTCAAAGGACAGTCTGCGCGAAGAGGGCGCGCCCGAGGAAGAAGACTCGTGAGAAGAACGGGGAGAGGCATGCGAGGACGAAGCGAGAGAGGCCAGTTCGAGTGAATCGCGAGTCGGGAGTGGCAAGTTGGAATAGCGGCCGGCCATGTTGCGAAAAGAAGGTAGAGGGATTGGGAGGAGAAAATACGCACGTCTACGTGCTCGCCATGGAGAGTTCGGGGTAATCAGCAAGGGGCAGTGACCAGCAGCCGGTTGTCCAATACTGTAGCTCGCTGGCGAAGCTGCGGTGTATGAATGGCGAAGCGTGCATGCGCAGTCGAAACGACGGAGCTCCTTATGCCGTCATGGGACTAGTTTCCGTGCAGGGCTAGTGGCCCAGGTCCCAAAAAAATGCCGGAACTCTTTGCAACTCGGGTGGTGCCGTGCATCTCTTGTATACGGACGGGCAGACCATGCATCCCACGCCCGTATCAAATGCCCAGGTGCCGAGCCGGTAGGAGATGCAAGGCCGACTTTTGCAATCCGTGGGCTGGCAGCGTGCCCTCCGTCGCCCCGCTGTCCACCACTACACGCGTATAACGTCATCGCGATGGGCAGGCACGCGCAACACCAAGAACAGGGCCGACGATGTGCGGTTGGAGTCGCTGACGGCAAAGTGGCAGCCGCGTTGGGATGAGCTGTCTTCCAAGTGGCACAAGCTACGCACTTCTGACCGCGGCAATGCTTACGTGCTGCCAATGTTTCCGTATCCTTCGGGCACCCTTCACCTCGGCCATCTACGAGTATACACCATCTCCGATGTCCTGGCCCGTTTCAAACACATGCAGGGCTACAAAGTCCTGCATCCCATCGGATGGGATGCCTTTGGTTTGCCTGCCGAGAATGCAGCAATAGAGCGGGGAGTCCATCCCGAGAAATGGACGCTGCTCAACATCGAAGCCATGAAGACCCAGATGAAGCAAATGGGCGGTCGATGGGACTGGGACGCTGTATGCAACATCTCTTGGGTAGACAGCACAGGAGCTGATCGACTTGTACATAGGAAATACGAACATGCAATCCTGCATTTTACAAGCACACCCAGCGCATCTTCCTCATGCTCCACAACCACGGTCTCGCATACCAAGCAGAGTCTCTTGTTAACTACGACCCTGTCGACAAGACAGTCCTTGCCAACGAACAGGTAGACGCCAATGGCTGCTCCTGGCGCTCTGGTGCAAAGGTTGAAAAGGTCATGCTCAAGCAATGGTTTTTGAAGATCAAGGAGTTTCAAGAACCTCTGCTAAAAGATTTGGATGCTCTTGCAACACATGACAGATGGCCAGAAAAGGTGCTGGCCATGCAAAGAAATTGGATCGGCAAGTCAGAGGGTGCTAAACTATGGTTCGACATCATCTCGACAGGTAGCAATGTGTCTTTTGAGCCCGTCGATGTATTCACGACCAGGGCTGATACCTTGTTTGGGGTACAGTACATTGCTTTGTCTTTAAGTCATCCCGTCGTCCAAAAACTAGCTACCCAAGACGAGTCCCTTCGTGAATTCATCGAACGAGCAAAAGACCTACCTCCAGACACAAAAGAAGGCTTCCTACTTAGGAACATCGTAGCCAGGAATCCATTGGCTCACGTCCGTGGTACTGCTGGACCTACTATTCCGGTTTATGTGGCCCCTTACGTCCTGGATGATTATGGCTCTGGTGCTGTCATGGGTGTGCCTGGCCATGATACGCGAGATCACGCATTCTGGCGAACCAATGCTGGCGATGAGCCCATAAGGTTAGTTGTGTCTACGAAGAAGGACGATTTGCCTTTTCCAATTGTACCACGAAGCGGGCGAGATGTACCCGTAACCGAACGAGGATTTGTTGCTGCTGACATTGAGAATTTCGGTGGCATGCCTTCCAAGCAAGCTGCCCGTGAAATCGTCCAGGCTATCATAAACACTGGTAAACAAGCCGAAATAACAGCAAACTGGCGTCTTCGAGACTGGCTCATCAGTCGCCAACGGTATTGGGGCGCCCCCATTCCCATCATACATTGTGACTCCTGTGGTGCTGTGCCAGTCCCCGAAAAGGACCTTCCCGTCCAACTACCGGATTTGCCTGATAGCTTCTTTCAAGGTCGCAAGGGAAACCCACTAGAAGAAGACGAGATTTGGAAAAAGACCACGTGCCCGAAATGCGGCTCCGCTGCTGAACGCGAAACTGATACCATGGACACTTTTATGGATTCATCGTGGTACTTTTTCAGATTTCTGGATCCCAAAAACGATGACGCTCTGGTCGATCCGGTCAAAGCCAACAGCGGTATGCCAGTGGACTTATATATTGGTGGAGTGGAACATGCCATCCTGCATCTTCTGTACGCTCGCTTCATTTCAAAATTCCTTGCTACGACTCCAACGTGGCCGAAAGGCTATTTGACGAATGGCGAGCCATTCACTCGTCTGATCACTCAAGGCATGGTACATGGGGAAACCTTCACCGACCCTGAAAATGGGCGCTTCCTTCGACCAGATGAAGTCGACTTGACCAATCCTTCCAAACCTCTTATCAAAGCCACCGGCCAGACGCCGAACGTTAGCTACGAGAAGATGTCTAAGAGCAAGTACAATGGCGTAGACCCCGGCGCCACAATTGCCAAATATGGTGCAGATGCAACGCGCGCACACATGCTTTTCCAAGCACCTGTCGGCGATGTGCTGGAATATGACGAAAAGAAAATTACCGGTGTACAACGCTGGCTGCACCGAGTCGTGAAGCTAGCGGCTGCGTCATGGCTACCTGACGATGAAGTCGAAAGTTTTGTCATCCCAAGCAACATTGATGAGAACCTCCTTGTTATCCTACAAAATCTCTCAGGAATAGAAAATCCAAAAACCGCCTCTCGAGAGACCTTGATCTCCATGCTCAAACCAGACGAAGCCCAACTCTGGATCAAAACCCAGCAAACCATCGCCAGCGTCACTGAATCCTATTCGCAAACTTACTCCCTCAACACCATCGTGAGCGACCTAATGACGCTCACAAACACCATCTGGGACGCCTCTCACGCCTCTCCCACAACATCCTACCTGAAATGGTACTCTGTAGCTCACCTCATTCGCATGCTCGCCCCCATCGCACCAGGCGTAGCGGAAGAATCCTGGCACCTTCTTACTACATGCACAGCCTCTCAAGATTCCAGCACCAACATCCCCACAGTCTTCGCAACAGGGTTCCCGCAAGCCGACCTCGCCATCATACCGCTCCTCACCACGACCCACAAATGCGTAGTCCAAGTCGACGGCAAGCGCAAGTTCGAAGCAGATATCTCGAAGCTCCCATCTTTCATTAATCCCAAGGATGGCAAGGCTGTAGCGCGATTTGTACTAGCCGAGCTGGTGAAGACGGAAGCAGGGAGGGAGTGGTTTGATAGGGAGACGGGTAAGATTTGGAAGGCTAGTCTTTCACAGGAAACCAGTGACGAATTTGATGGCGTAGTACCGCAGGGCTGGAAGGTTATTGCTGTGAATGGTGGTGCTCTTTGCAATTTCGTGGCACCGAGGAGGCCGAAGGGGGAGAAGACGGGGTAGGCGTGTATGATAGATGAATGCTTGATTGTAGTTTAGGTGTATAGTATGGTTTGTGCAAGTGGTGTTTTCTAGAAGAGAAAAGTTGATTGACTGGGTGTATGAGTAGATCACTTAAGTTTCAAGATGTGCAGCGCCTGCCAACACTAACTCAGAATTTATCCGCAACAACGTGCAGACCCCCGCATCTTAGGGAGCACTATTCGCTTATTAAAGAAACCGCGTTTCAATACATTTAGCGGACATGCCTGCGCCCTGTGCGTCTGCTCTCTCGCATCGCTACAATGCGGCATCTTGCACGAACAATGTCATCCCTCGCTCGCCTTGCTCCTGGACACACCCTTGCAGGCGCCCAATGGGACTATCTAATCGTTAGAGCTATCAGAGGAGACAAAACCCACCGATCTGCCGTCTACATAGCCAAGGTAGTTCCACATGATGGTGCCCTCGAGCCTCCTCAATGGTTCGTTGCGTAATGCCGCCCCTCTATGGACTGTTGAGGCTGACTCTGCTACTAAGGGCAATGATTAAAACAGCTTCGTCAGAAGGTCTAATCGCTACGGAGAACCTATGCAGCGAATGTAAAAGCTATCGACTTCCTGGTGTCTGCTTGGTTAAGTGCCTCCGGCAAATGTACGATAAGATTAACAATTGCACTCTTGCTTTTAAATGGCTAGATACTACCCTTGGGGAGACAAAAGATCAGCTTAATGCGCGCACATACGCTCTTATCAAGTCATGTTTAGGCGCAGCCTTGGCCAGTTGTGTCATTCTAGATGGCCAAAGACATGTGAACACAGGTACAGCTTCAAGCGTTCAAGAAGTTTGAAGGCGCATAACAAGTGTATATTGTATCTAGCTATGGCTAAGTAAACATTCAGGATTATAGTCTACTTGGCTATCAAGAAATCAGCATGACGAGGAGACTTGACGTCTCCTCCTATTGGGTTTCCATGAACTAACTCTAGCTGAGCCCAAAAAGGTAGATGTGCTGCGGCACCCGAGACTACCAGATAGACAAAGACCAAAGACCCGATACGCTGAAACCCACACTGCTTAACCAGTGCACTGGTAGTCGTAGTTCATGCGAGATGCCTCAGTATCTTTTGGAACCCAAATCGTAACCTTTTGTCCACTCGACTCAAGCGTACCTTCATACTCGTCAAAGAACGGGCGCCAGTACACTTGACCAGTGCCACCCTCACAATCGATATTGATCGTGACAGCCACGGTGTTGGTCATGGTAGTCTCGAAGCTAGCAGAGACGCCAATCTCTGCACTGATAGCGTCCCATGCGCTTGCACCCAGACTCAAGGATGCAGTGATGGAGAAGGTCTCCGACTTGGAAGTTGTCACTTCATAAGCACCAGCGTTTGGAACTTGAGCAACGAAGACGGCTGATCCAGGCTTGTAGACGTTGATTCGTGTGACTACGTCTGAGAAGCGGTCGGCTTGCTGCGTTTTATGTGGTTAGCTCTGTGGACAGAAAAAAGTTATTATATCGGGATACGTACTCGAGTTTCCAACCCATTCGCCTCTACATCCAAGGTTTGCATCTGAACTTTGTTCTCTTCGG